CCAGATATAGCCAAATAAGATGAGAGAAACAATTATGACCGAGAAAAAATGCGGGAAATTCATGAAGGGCTGGAGAAGAGAAGTAAGCGTGAAGAAAGGTCCTCGTACGCATGATAGTGGTGAATGGAGATCCTGGAACTATGTATAGACCGGAACCCGAAGGCGTCTGGGCCTACAAAAATGCTGGAAAATGGAGGGGTTTTTTTTCTTATTTGCTGAATTCAGATTTTGTACCCGTGGCTCAATATTTTGAAGAGGAGAATGTAAAAAATTGGGACATGCTGGTTTAATTAAGCTGTAATGGATGACAATTATTTTACTCACTAGAAAGACATTCGATTAAATAAGTGCAAACTTATACGCTATTACGCTTTATGCTCTTAACTGTCGCTACTACGCGAAAAATTGGTCACTCTCCATCGTAAAATTAGCTTTGAGGCATTGAAAATTTTTGTCGATCATAGTTTTCGAAAAGGGTATGGTGAGCGTCATTAAGTGAGGAAATCAAAATAGCTCTCGAACTTTTGTCAAGTGTCAAAATACCTATACATAAAATCTCTAAGATCGGTAAAAAAAAATTATTTCTTCGAAATTTTCACCTTTTTAGTAACATAAAGACGCTTAATCACCCCCCCTCCTCATCCGCCATGTGTCACTCTCTCAGAGGAGGTAGTACAGTCAATTTTTAGACGTGCGCCTTTTTGATCGCTTGAGAGATCATTTTTCTTCTTTTCAAAATGATAATTGATCACATCAATGAAATTAATTTAATGTGATTGAGCACATCTTATTTTCGGCTGTGTTGCTCATGTAGCCCTTGAAGCACCACTACAAATGAAACAAATGAAGCTAACATAATACGGAAATAGAGCAAATGGAAAGACGGCGAAGTGATACAACTATTCGTGCTTGATGGATGCATGTGTTGCATCTGAAAAATTGAAGGCGCGATGGCGCGAGCTGTGAATTCGCGATGCTCTGCAGCCCCGCTTTATGATCTCAATGAAGTGTCGTGAGAAAAGTTAGGAAACGAGGTTCGATTATTACGGCTCTCCTATTCACGGCTGTGTTGCTCATACAGCTTTTAAAGCACAGCGACAAAATACAAATGAGACAACTAAAACAAACACAGTATGGAAATAGAGCAAAGTAAAAGGAGGCGCCTTGATGTCGGCGCAGAGATACAACTATTCGTGCATGATGGATGTCCGTGTTGCATCTTCAAAATTGAAGGCGCGATGACGCTGGGCGTGGACTGACGTGAACTCACAATGCTCCGTTCTACGCTGCCAGTGAGATGTCGCTCAGATTATTGGAAAGAAAAATTCAAAAAAACTAGGCCCGATTACGTCTCGACTTCGTTGTTTGATGTTTGATTCTTTTTTTAATGCACAGATATTTACAGATCTACATCTACGGCTCGTATGTACCGCGACACCTTACAACTCGCAAGGCACGTTTTTTTAAACAAGTCTCCTGTCAATTCGACCGGGCTTCAGCATCTGAGGGTTAATGAAAATATCAGTCAAATATGACTGCACCTTGTTCGTCATAAACTCCGGATTCAAGAGGGGAGCCAAAAGAAGCCAATCAGCTAGTGAATTTTCAGGATTCGCAATTCACTTAAAAGCTCCCAAGAACTTAGAGCACTTTGTCTTGGGTTCTATGCGTGATCAAACTGACATGCGATATAATGGCAATGCGATCAATCTTGGCAGGTTTTGATGGCGTTTAAAAGGACGATAGCCCGTTCGCATGAGTCTAGAAAATACGAATCTACCAATTGGTAGGTATCGTCCTCATAAGTCATAAAGTTCATCTTCAATTTTGCTTCATAGGCAACACAATACACTCGTACCGCGGAGAGTATATAGTTTTATATTCGAAAAACAAACGCTAACCTTGCTCCATAAACTTTGATTGAACCAATAAATCAGGTGTAAACTTATTGAAATCCGTCATCAATCTAAAGTTCGCCTTCAGTTTTGCGCATAGACAACAAACATATCAAGGATCAGTGATCACATCGTTCTGTGCCTCTGTACATCTACTGAAGCGATGAACGATGTTGCCTCTCTTTGGTAATTATTGCAGAGTTGCCGGCGGTCTGGAAAACTGGGAAAGTTATGGAATTGGCAGAAACCGGGAAAAGTCAAGGAAACGCAGGAAATTAGTGGGATAATTCAGGGAATTGTTGACGCATCCACTAAGCACTAAAACATGCCACTCATCTTCCACGTTTACCCTTTCTGGTCATTTTTTAACCAGCTAAACTGAATGCCTTCTTCCATGATTTGAACTCCAAGCGAGGTTTGTCCAAAGTTTAGCGAGAGTCATCATTTTTCCAAAGAAAGGATGGGTGGAAATTTGGTCCGAAGGTCAGGAAAATTCAGGGAATTGGAAAATTTTAGAGCCAGGGGAAAACAAAAAAGAATCAAAGAAAAGTCACGAAAGTTAGAAAATTCAAAAATGAAGATATTATGGCAACTCTAGTATTTTCTACCTGAAGTTCGCCTGAAATTTTGCTGCTCAATCATACCCAGACAACACGAATAGCGATAGCTAAAGTGCGAAACCACGTGTATCTCATCCGTTAGCGACGTTGCAGACTGTCATACTTCATTTTTTTTTTTGGGGGGGGGGGGGAGACCAGTCAACATGATTTCTCGGAAACTTCCTGGATTTTTCCTCTCCGCCAGTGGTATAGTCTTAACTTCGGAAAAACAAAATAGATGAGGCGGAAATTTTGAAATACCGAACTGGAGACTCGTGGTTTTGCACTTCGGCCATCGATATGCATCTATTCGAAAAACATACATTAATCTCGCTCCATAAATAAATGCATGAACATGCGTAAAATCATGAAAGATATCATTCATATCTGAAGTTAGCCTTCAGCTTTGTTGCTTATCGACAGTGTAAGTTCACAACCACGTATCTCGGTTTGCGCCGCCATATACAGACTCCCTGACTTACTTTATTTTTTAAGTGAAAAACCACTCAACGGCAATTCTTAAAAACTGCCGTGATTTTTCTTCTCAGTGCCAAGATAATTCTGCGAAAACTTCAAGGAATGATGTCAATTTGTTCTCTTTTAAAAAAATAAAATAGGAGCAGAGATTTTCAAACACGATAAACGAGATAGATGGTTGCGGACTTACGCCATATGCAACATAACTGTACCCCCTGGTAAAAATTGGCGATAAGAGCTGCGTTTCAAAATACCATAGAAATTCTTATAGCCGGCTAAAGAAGGCTACAGAAAATCATATAGCTGGCTGTAGAATGCGGAGAAAATCATACGGCCGGGCTATACGAAGCGATAAAAAATTATGCAGCCGGGCTATAGTTCCTATCGCCGAGCTTTACACTTTATCGCATGGCTGTTGCTTTTTCGCCATCGATTATAAGGATATAAGAAATTGTGTAGAAATTCGTGTGCTTTGGGAATCATTAAGTTTGACACGGAACCACCTTAATATTTACAAAACACACATTACATTTTCCTTTAATACATATTTTTTTTCATCAATTACAATGAGAATAATCCATACAGGATGTGCAAACATTTCAAAATCATGAGTTGAATAACGCTGACTCCTTCATATTAAATATTGGAGCCCAACACAAAGCGGAGCGGCGACGCACTGGCGCCTACAAACCTAACAGAGATACTTCACGCATTGCGCAACGCGTGAAGTATCCCTGTTAGGTTTGTAGGCGCCAATGCGCGTTCCACGCTGGCTGCCCGCCTGCCGCGCCGCAGCGTGCCACGGCGCTTGAAGCAACTATTTCACACCAGAAGTATTGCACAGTATCATACGAAACTGAAGGCGCTCTAATAAATTAGGAATGGCAGACATCCATCAAAAGTGCGGAGCTTTCCTCGCAAAATAAATCAAGATACTACGGCCCAAAAAGAGAGCAGTAGTCCAAAAACTCACTAAGTCCTAGCATCAGTAATTAGTAACGTTTAACATACACTTTATCGCTTGGCTGCTGCTTAATCGCCATCGGCTGTAAAATGATATAAGAAATTGTGTAGCCGGCTGTAAAAGCTATTGGAAATCTTACAGCCGGCTGTATGGTATTTTGGAACCCAGATTCTACTGCAAATTTTTACCAGGGCCGTAGAGCGCATATTGATTTCTATTCGATTAACACTTCATTTCGCTCCGTAAACTTTGTTTCAGCCGATAAACGACTTTGTGAAGCTCTTGTCTCCATAGAAATTTCCAAAATTTCGATCCAAGAAAGTTAAAAACGCGCGATAAATAATGGAGGACTAGTTGGAGCCAAACGGTCTGTCCATGCCGCATTGCCATTTTCCCCGGATGACCACATCGCGCACGGAATTTGCAGTTTGTCAAACTACGATTTTTTGATACTTATTGTAATTTTTAAAATTTCGATCCGAGAAAGTTAAAAACGCGCTTTTTATCATAATGGAGTCGATGCGACTGCGGTGTGAGAAGATCAGATAATCTTGTGCTCCCATACCAACTTCCCCTGTTGAGAATCTAGAGCTCAGAATTTTGAGTTTTGTCCTTTAAGGATATCTTCGCGTCTTTGGAAATTGTTGAGATGTCGATCCAAAAAAGATATAAACGCGCTATAAATGATGGATCACATGCGACTGGTCGTGATATTCATGCCCGTTGCCATCTACCCCGACTTACCATCACGAGCGTGGAATTTTTGGCTATTCTGGCTTCTATGAAAATGTTTGAAATTTCAATCCGAGAGTGTTAAAAACTCGCATCCTGAAGCACGGAAAAATGCTGCATTAAATGTTTTCACTGCTCGCTGATTTCCCGCCATGCGCCGCTTGTAAGGTGCAATAGCCAATCAGCGTTGGGCGCGGTTTCAGTACACTGGCGGGAACCGGTTAGCCAATCAGAGACGACTTGCCTCCTCACTTCGAAAGTGAGAAGGGGTAGGTAACACTCTCTTTACTGACACTATGTCCTCTCTGGAGCGATTTCAATGTGAGGTTAGGTAATGAATGTTTTGATAAAACCGAAAGTTTCGGATGTTGTCTCCGTTTTTTACTTTTGTGAACAGGAAAATTCGTTTGTGATACGCAGTACCAAAGTGAGGAACTATCGGAAGGATCTCTTTATTCAATCAGTTGTAACCGCTCTTGTTTTATTTCAATCTTTTCCATGGGAGTATTGATTAACAGTTCGCAGCATCTGTGATAACACTCTAGTGATAACAACAGTAACTGAACATATCACTCTTGACATTATTTCTTTTTATCTAAGTGTCTCTTCGCGTCTGTAATGGCCGCACGGACAAGTAAAGTCTTATTAGATCTCCCCAAAGTGTACAACAGTGTCCTTGCCAAGTTCGACAAGAATCTAATCAAGTATGGTTTTGCGTATGGCTCTGCTGTTTTCAAACAAGATGGAACAAAGATTGCTCGTAAACCCATGGTAGATATAATTTTCGTGGTTAATGATAGCCTCAAATTCCATGAAACCAACTTACGCTTGAATTCAAGTCACTACTCATTCCTCAAATCTTTCGGCCCCGGCGTTATCTCCAAGGTGCAAGATAACTGGAGTGCAAAAGTCTATTTCAATACTCTGATACCGTTACAGGAATATAATGCTTTCTTCAAATATGGTATCATTTCACAGAATAACCTTATTGACGATCTTGCGAACTGGAATGAATTGTATTTAGCTGGTCGACTCCACAAGCCAGTCCAGGAATTATATGTTAGCAATGACAAATCTCTTTCTAAAGCATTAGCACAAAATTTAGAATTCGCTGTCCATGCAGCCCTACTGTTACTTCCTGATTCATTCACAGATATTGATCTTTACTCTACTATCAGCAATATATCCTACAATGGAGACTTCCGGATGCTGATTGGTGAAGACAAGCGAAAAGTACAAAATATCGTCATTCCGCAGATTGAAAAATTTCACGATCTGTATTTTCCTACTCTAGTCAAATTAAAAGACTTTATCTACATGCCTGAAACCAACCACCCAAGGAGGTGCTCGCAAGATACCTCTGCACTTGCTTCCTTGCACCATCTGCTCAACCTGCCAATACCAATCCAGCGTGAAATCGCGTATCAGTGGAATTTGATACTGGTGTCAACTCAAGATACTGAAGAAGCCCTATGTTCTTTAGCCAGTGATCCTCGAAGAGAAAAAATTGTGCAATCAGTGTTTAAAAGGATAGTGATCAATTCCAGCATCAAGCAGAGTCTCAAGGGCATCCTGACAGCAGGACTCCTGAAGTCTGTCCATTATAGTGGTCTGAAATTGATGAAAATGTTTAAATCACTTAAAAAGCCGACCAATACCTCATCATGATTTTTTGCAACAACATCCTTATTATTCTAGTCTCGTTACTCTTTTTAAAGTTTTTTAAAGATCATTTAAATTTTCTATTTTTTAAATCTTAATGCTGCATCGGACACAATTAATATTAAGTCTTTTCCCTTCGTTTCCATCTTTTACATCAAATTTTCAAAACTTTTAAACTGTAGTGATTTCTATTCTTTAAATAAGGAAATTCATAATTATTTAGTTTTGGATCCTTTCTACTCGAGTATATTTTTTTCCTTTAACTCGTCAAACTCTATCACCATTAAGTATCAAAAACAAGCTTCAACATCTCTGCGTTTGTCATCCAAGAATGAAGCTCAAAGTTCTGTAAGTATTAGATCAGAGTGAAAATAGCATTGAATACATTATAGGTATCCTCCAGTAGACTGAACATACTCTTAAGCCGAGTCATTAGGAGGCTGAGCATAGTCTTGAGCTCCGCCTAGGGCATGTTCATCAGCCAATGATTAAGAGTCCTATGTGCGGCGCCGGAAGTTTTTTGTTGACTGTCTTGAGATCCAGGGGAAAGCTACCATCCTTTTGTAAAACTATGATACTAAAACAAAAGGTAGAATATTTGAAATTGATTTAGTGCAAGTGCTCTAGCTGTGTGTTCAATATTTCTTCACATAATCTTCAATCTAAGAAGGAAAACAAATTTCAATACCTAAAAGAATAAGTTAAGAAAAATTAAATTATGTTTTTCTTGCTCTACAAAAAAATCCTTGCAGATGCCTCGCAGATTTTAGACCACATTTTACAGAAACTCGCCTAGTCGTTTCAAGTTTGAACAAATAATTTTCAATGATTTTGATCAAATTGATTCAGTTTTGAAGCTTGTTTTTCCAATACATGTTTGACATGTAGGTACTAAGAAAGTTTAGCTTAAAAGAATTTTGCTGTTCTCATTTCAGAAGACTTGGCCTGAATAAAATGGAGATGGATCATACGGAAAGGGCATACCGAGAGGCTGTCGCAAAATTGAAATTTCTGCTTTCTGAAAGCTACTCACAACCACCAGAAGTCATTTATTCTCATGTGAGTGCTGAAGATATCTTATACATATGTATCTTAGTTTCCAGTTGTAAAATTTTGAATAACTCATACTTGTGCATCTGCAATTACGTCTAGTTTTTACTTACTGACGAAATATCTAATGTTGCACTGATTTGAATTACTCTCTTCTAACATTTAATCATATCAATTTAAGTTGGCACAACTTACTTGTTTTTGAAAAATCCACCTTTAAAGTAAAAGATATCCATAGTAGCAAAACTCATTAAAAAATAAGTATATAAGTAGAATATCTATGGAGTATTTATGTAGTATTTTTAGCTATTGAACCGACATGAAATTGTGATTTTTCAGTATTCAGTACTTTTGAAGTGTATTCATGTGATAAATATATTATTTTTTAATAGGAAATAGCTTTTTAATAACTATTTATAATTATCAATACAATATTTAATATTATTCGTGCATCATACCTATATCAGGAATCTTTGCCAGATTCTAGTCGCTGCTGCCAGTGCGCAGGAACCATGAATACTTTTAAACATCATCATAAAGGTCGACTAATAACTTAGAAAAAATTAGATTTAGGTACCTATTAGTCATTAGTAATAATGAAAAACCTGTTAGTTCTAGCAATACATTTTTCTTGATGAAATGAAATTCTAGGGAAAAGATTTATTGATAATAATAATTTTTTTTAACTATTTGCATTTACCAAAATGATATTTCCTACCATTGAAAATTGACGAGTTTCCATTTTCAACTTTTGCTGCTACAAAGGTAATGAAGATAAACTTTGCAATTTTTCGTCTAAATCGCCCTAAATATTTGTCTCTCTTTTCGTTTAGACGCACCATCATCATCATGTATCACCACTGTCAAGATCCCCAAGAAGCAGATTTGACACAAGTACCCTATCTATTGCCCCAGGGCCGATCGTCAAGCACCCATCAGACTCAAGTCTAGCCACCGTTCAAGCTCCTCCGCATGAATTTGTATCCTACATTCAGCGGCAAGAAGATTATATTCAGCAGCTTGAGAAGGAAAAATCTTTTTTCCAAGTGAGTTTCACCGTAAGATAATTTTGATTCCATTTTCCTCACTGTGAATAATTTTGATTACCTAAATAGTTCAAACATGGAGTGGAATTTGAGAGGCTAAGGAAAATCAGAGAAGAGGATATCCTAGAAGAAATAGTAGCCCCATGTGTTCCAATTTTCCTATCTTTATTTATCCCCTCCTTTTTCAGAATAAATCAGGCGGGTTTTTACCTTGAAAAATTTCATTCCGAGTTCTTTCTGTCCTCAATAATTCTTCTCGTTTGTGGTTCTCAATTTTACTCAATGTTAAGTGCAGGGTTACCGGTGGTTTGGAAAACCGGGAAAGTCAGGGAATTTGCCACGATCAGGAAGATTCGGGGAATTTCTGACACGTCTACTAATCACCAAATATATCACTGATCTTCCAACTTTTTACCCTTTCTGGTCATTTTTTAGACTTGCCATCTTTTCATTAGTCACTGGATGCCTTGTTCCATGATTTGATCCCTAAACAAGGTTTAGCCAAAGTCAGTACATTTTTTCTTTTAAAAAAAAGGGGGATTCTGTTTGAAGGGTAGGGAAACTAAGGGAATCAGAAAATTTTGGAGTTAAAGAAAAGCAAAAATAGTCAGGGCGAAATCAGGGAAAGTCAGAGAATTTGAAGATGAAGAAAATATGGCAACCCTGTAAATGTGTTGTCAACCCTTTTCTTTTCGCATTTATGATGTACCTAGATAACTCAGTCAAATCATTTTTTTTTTTATACAGGAAGAAATGTCAACTTTAATGAATAAAGTGAAAGAGGTCCTTGTGGAGAATGAAAATTTAAGGAGAGACAAAAAATTGCAGGTGAATGTATCTAGTTCGGAGGATAGTGGAAGTGAAGAAACTGTGGAAGAAAAACCTCGCAAAAAAAGAAGTCAAAGTCAGGTGATCACCTCTCAATTCTACTGAATTTCAGTTCAGACAGGTTTTTGCACTGAATCTGGTAGCAATGTATTTTCCAAGGGGGTACACTGATTCAAAATCAACCCCTTTTTCTTGTGTACCTAGAAACTGGAAATGTTGTTTTGTAGGTTGGAGCTTAGCCTCAGGAGCTTGAGAGCATATCGACGGTGAAACTCCCATACCGCGTATCTTGTTTCCAGTGTTTAAAATCTCCTCATTTTATTTTGTTTTTAATTTTATTATAGGAGAACAAACCAACATTTTTCCTTGAAGTTTTTTTCAGAATTTTTCTGGCATGGAAATAAAAATCAGGGAACTTATCAAGCATTGACGTTGAGTTGTTTTCCATTTAAAAATGAAGTCATAATCATATAAATATCATATGTCCATATAAATATGACAGGAAGTCTGCACTGTCACAAACCGAGATACATAGCTCGGGAGTTTCTTTGTCGACACGGTATAAGACAAGGTGTCCCAAATGCCAGTAGCCCTACCCTACTGACCGGCCAACTCATTGGAAACAACATCTCTTTGGTTTGAAATTTTATTCAGCCATCCTAAGCTTGACATAGGGGTAATTACTTTTCTTTTTAATTTTTCTTGAATCTCTGGCTTGATTCTCAAGGAAGTTCATACAAGAATCTTTTCAGAACCTCACTGAAGTGCCTTTGGTCCTGCTCATCAATTATCATGGCCATAGACTGACCTTTTTTTTGTTATGTTATTTTCAGGAAAGACCTCACTCACGGCTCGCCAGCTCCAATATTGTCCTAGAATCCAAAATCAGTGAGCTTGAGGCACAGTTGATGCAAACAAAAATTGACCTTCAAAAGGCTCAGGAAGAAGTATCCAGTTGCAAAATGAGGCCCTTCGACTCTGAACCAAGAAGCTTACCTCTCATTCTTGACGACAGCAGTGGTGCAGAGGCCAATTTAAAAGATCAGATCAACTTGTTGCAAAGGTAAGGATTCAGTGACTGATTACAGACAGCAGACAGCTATACAATACATTTCAAACAGAGTCTTTTCACATCTATCAAAACATCTATGAATCTAGATCAATGAAATTAATCAAGAGACTTCTTTAATTGAACTTAACTACACTTTGCGATAAACCCTGTCGTGCATTCAACTCAATGCTCTCCCAGGTTCATGTCTGAGCGTAGTTGCGCCCTTTTGTCAGCTAAGCAATCATATAAAGGTGTGTCAGAAATGACTGCGGTTGGTATGAATCTATAGATTTAAACGTTGATGTCTAATAGTAACCTATATTTTGCAGCAAGTATTTGGTGCAAGAAAATGTGCTATCACGATTTTTCAGCCTGAAGATGTATGAAAAATTAAAAAGTTTCCTCTCTGAAATGAAATAATTGCCAGAAACTGAGCTTATCAACTACCAACTAAGGAAGTGGAATCTGTCATAGATTTTAAAATTAGGGGTATTCTCTTTTGAAAAATTTGACTATTTTCTTTTTCGTTTAATTTTTGGCCTTTAAGAAAACATTAAAATCCAATTTTTTTGCTTTTTGGTCATCTAAATCAATTATTTTTTCTAATTCACTCTATTTTGCGCCCTTCCCCCTCCTTTCTCTTGTTCTAGGGAAAAGGATGAATTACACGAAGCTTTAATAAAACTTCAGCTAGTAGTCAGTCATCTTGAAAAAACAAGTATGGTCCAAAAAGTCAAAAGTTTAGACGTTGTCGATCAGGCTCAGTTTGAAAAGAATCAGGTATTTGCCCATTTATTCTCAGTTATGAATACATCTACTTTATCAAGCATTTTTGAGATTGGTGTTTTCTCTCGCAACCTGTAAAATGAAGTTCCTCATGCAGATGGTAAAACTCACAAATATTGTATCTCAGTATGCGACGTTGTAGACCTTGTGACATACTTTTTAAATGAAAAGTTACTCAATGTAAATTCTTGAAAACTTCCCCAATTTTTTCTCTCCGTATTAAAAAAAGTCTGTGCCAACTATAAGGAATAGTGTTAATTTGTTCTCCCCCCAAAAATAGCAAAAAAAGTGTGCAGATTTTGAAACACCACTTACTAAATACATGGTTTGGAAGTTTCACTGTTGGTATGTGAATGGTTCTTTAAATAAGATGGTTTTGTATAGCTGCTAAGAAATGTTATTCAAATGAAAAATACACACAATTTCTCCACACCTACTTATGTGATGTCACAGGACTGCAGAGGTATTTTAGAAAAATATTTCAAAATATTGCGCCTAGTTCGTAAGGTGATATTAATATCAGTAATTTGTGATATCAATTGGTTACTGCCTCAATACTGAGAGTTGGTAATGGGCCTGTTGCAAACTTTTGCTAGAGCAAAAATAAGAGTTGTTTCTTGTAGATAATGCCTCAAAAATCACGATGAGCGCATCGGCAAAGTCTGAAATGCACTCATAACTTCACAATCTGCGTAAGAAATTTGCGTTTTTTTAAGCTTCCCGCTTCAAAAACGATACTACGGCGTAGGTGAACATTTTGTTAGAGGAGTCGCTCCATCGTCAGCAATATTCATCATGGCCGACACTTGCGCGCAGTTTTGCGCGTAATTCGAGGAGAGTTCAAGGTCAATCAATGCGGGCGTGGAAAACATGAACGTTAAAACACGCCGATTGTTATCTGGTCTAATCCAGTTCAGGTGTTATCTCGTCCCATCACACGTGTTTTGGCGGATTGGCGTCGGCCATGATGAGTATTGCCGACGATAGAACGACTCCTCTTACAAAATGTTCACCTGTGCCGTAGTATCGCTTTTGAAGCGGGAAGCTCAAAAAACCGCAAATTTCTTACGCAGACTGTGAAGTTATGAGTGCATTTCAGACTTTGCCGATGCGCTCATCGTGATTTTTGAGGCATTTTCTATAAGAAACAACTCTTAGTTTTGCTCTAGCAAAAGTTTGCAACAGGCCCATTGCTGTAAATGCAACAGTAGCCTTTTATCACTGTGATGACTGTCTTGGTTACTGTGACAATGGAAGCGACAATCTTTGATGTCAGAAGTAATAGCTATTGGTCACAGCAGCAGTGGACATGACAGTAAAAGATGAATAACATTTTTAACCAAATAAAAAGTTTAATCTCATAACTGTCAAATATTTCCTGAATATTTTCTCTATCAGAAATATAAGTAATCCTTGCAATGCTCTTGACAGGGCTGTTTTTTTTTTCTAATACTTTTAATCTTCGGGCAGTTGTTAAGTTATCCCACAAGCATGATGGAAAAGATTCAATTTTAGATTTTTTTTACTTGCTCTCTCACAAGAAGAACTGGTTCCATGAACAAGGCCTTTCAAAAAACCAAGCATAGTTTGTTTAATACATGGATTAATTGACCATTATAGGGGTTCCCATAGAATAAGTTAAAAAACTGCCTTGATTTTTGTTGCTTAATCTTACTCAGAATCTCAATTTTTATTGACTTTTAATGTAACTCAAAGAGATTTTGTCCAATGAGAATTAATTATATATATTTACATAAAAGGAATTAATAAGAGAGTCATTCCTTGTTTAATTTGAGGAAAAGTAGTCACCACTTTATTGCAATACAGCTCCCTGTTTTTAACTGCGACTAATACATTTCAGGCGGAACTTGAGGTTCGTAGGCTGATGGCAGAGTTAGAAAGAGCACATGAAAAACAAAGAGAAGCAATGCAGGTGAGTACTTAAACAATCTATACCTCATTAATTGGTTTCGTAAATTACCAATAGTTTTAAACCACCTTAGCTGTTACACTCATTCTTTATTTTTTGGATTACCAGATGAAGTGGGAAACTAAGCATTCCAATTCCTATTTCTTCATCAAAATTTCACATAGAACATGGTTCACAGAACAAAAATTACTGAAATAAACTCCTAACTATGATATTTAACATTTTCCAATACATAATTTCCAACCTCCCGCTCATGAAAAAAAAGTCTATGCGACTCAAATCGTGCATTAAACGTTATCATAACAGTTTCTGCGGTATAAAAATATGGCAACCTCAATCTCAATGTTTCAACTCAACTATTGCTTGTTGTCACAACTTTGAACAACACAAGGGAAGGAACATTGCTCCATTAAGAAGCCTGCAAAAACTGTCAGAGTGCGTATTTGATTCAAGCAGCCAATCTTTTCTTGTCAGTGAGGAATCCCGAATTCCTGTAACCAATGTAAACTCAAAACGTTGAAACCATAATTAGAAGTTGATTTTAATTATTTTTGCCGCCCAAACCGTGTTCCATGTGAAATTTTAGTCAGGAATCATGTATCTTATACTTAAATTCATACCTTCTCTAATCATTAGGAATCATCTTATAAATCATTCAAAGTGTCAACAGGGGACAACTATAAACCTCATCCATGCGGTAAAAAGCTTTTAATTCAGAATTGTTTCACCTGGTTTAAAAATGTATTTATTAGATTCAAAATATATCGTCTGACTTTACTGCAAGGAGGCTGAAGGGATAAGCAATTTTTTTTGCTAAGAATGTAAATCTGAATGTGTAAAAAACCGGGCTCATTTCTATCTACCCATGCTCCAGCAGTACCCTGTGGAACATTTTACTTTATTCGAATCAGAATACTGAATCTTTAATACTGAAGTTATTGACCTCAGAGGATTAGGGTTATTCATAAAAACAAAAGTCGTCAAAGTCTTGCTCCCAAAGCATCGTCCCCATGCCAAAACTTAATTTAAAAATTTCAGCCTTTTAATGAGACCCAGACATCCCTGCGGGCATCCCTAAATCATATGTATTAAGCAACTAATTTAACATTAATTCTCCGTCTGTTTAGGAACAAAATCGATTGCGGCAAGATGCAGAGCGCCGATATAACATACAGTTAGAAAAACTTACTTCTGATTTGCAAGAACAATGGGACCATACTGGAAAATTAAGCCTAGAACTTGATCGTCAGCACAGATTAGAGAATGAGTTGCGGCGAGAGCTAAATCAAAAAATATCTTTCATAGATGAACTGAAGAAAGAGTTGACAGCAAAAACCTGTTAGTATTATTTTTTCATTTTTACTTTTTCTGCTTCCCAATGGAGAAACAAATGGACAAAGAGTAAGGAAAGAAAATTTCATAGTTGAGCTTGTGTTTTGTGAAGTTTTTCAGATCAAGGTAATCAAAACACTGCGCTTAAAGATACTTTTTAAGCTGACAATTTGTTTTCCTTTTAAAACGTAATAAAAAAAGTTTATCTGATTTGATTAAGTTAATGAGAGAAACTAATTTAAAAGTCTGAGCTGCATGGTATTTTCTGCAGTTTTTTTACCTATTTTTATATGTATTCATCCTAACTTTGGCTGGTCAAAAATCACCGCCCCTTTTTGTTTTTTGAGGAAACATAGGTAGCTGTCAAGATGCAGTTTGCACAAACCTCTGAAGAACAATTCTCTCAAATTCATGCGAAGGATAGTATTGAAGTTTCTTCAATATGCACTATCCTACTGAAATTTAGAAATGGATTTAAACTGCTCGCCTTTTAGACTCTCTTGTAACATTGGAAATAGAAATGTGACCAACTCAAAATCAACTTTTTCGAAATCAGCCCGTTCCTGATTCTAAGTCTTCAGTCTACTTTCTGTTTACACTAGAAATTATAAAGCGGAAACACATAAAATTTCCCAGTCAGCGTAAACATTGAGTTCAAAACCAAGAAAACTCACCTCTCAAGCTTTTTAATTAATTTTGAAAGTCTACTAAATAGAAAATCTTGTGAACAGACTTTGCTGGTAAAAACTCATGAAAAGTTCAGCCTGTTGTCAGAGTATCTAACAATGAAAACCACTGCTAAGAATTGATAAGCTAATGGGGGGGGGGGAGGGAAATCAGGAAGTAAATGTAAAAATGTTTTCAGTCTTTACATACCCATCAATGCTATTTAGAAAACATGTGAAAAACAAGATGCATGCTCTTGACAAGAGAGATAAAGTTTAAATAAGAATACTGAAAAATGAAACTTACATTTATAGTTCTCCTTTTCTAAAGTGCCGGTCGTAAAGTGTTAAAATATTGTGAAGATACCAAGCCAACCATAAATTGATATTCCTCACAATTTTACCTACCCATATATTTTACTAATTCTGGAAGGATAGAACTAATTGATTTAATCATCAGCTACGGCGCATCTTTGATGGAAGTGGCTTGAAGCCTATGAATGTCCCATTGTTCTAAAATGCTCAAAGAAGTCTTACTTCTTCTACTTACTTGAACTTTAAAATCCATTCCCCGAAAGTCCAAATGCTAGGTTCCTCCCATAAATATTCTTAGCAGAAGGTTTAAAGCTTGCAGAATAAGAGTTCGGACTGTTTGCAAAGGCAACCTGCAGAGTGAAGCATTATCAGCAAGTGCTGAAAAGGAATCCCTGGAACGCGAACTGGCATCTGCTAAGCTGAGCACTGAACGGAATGATCGAGCTAACAAACAAGAGATCCAACGACTTCAAGCGGAGGTGACGTCACTACGGCAGCGGCTGGATAGAGCAGATGTAGACCTCCTTCATAGCCGCAAGGAAACAATACGGCTCAAAGAGCAGATTGCAAGTCTTGAAAAAGAGGTAAACGTAATATCTTAAGTTTGGGGGTAGTCAAATGAGAAAAACAAGTATGAGGAATCAATTTTTAAAAAACCTTCAAAATATACTTAGATTAAAAAATTGAAACAGCAATCAAATTTATCTCTTTGTTTCTGATTGGAGAGTAAAAAATAAAACCAACCTATGCGTGAATATGTTTTTCACGGAAGTTGGTAATCGGGTTAAAGTAGCTTGTTGTCCAGGAATTAGATCCTTTTGTGTATTCGAAGAATGAGTCTGCCAAAAGATAACTACTGTTACTTGGTTTTTATTTATCCTTTATTTTTCACAATGAATGGACTAGAAAAAGAACAAAATTACAAGATGAACAAGCTATAGTCACTAAACCTAAAAATAACAGAGATATTGAATGACAAGGCACCAAACGTGTAGTAAACTCAAAAATCTAAAATGCACAATTCTTAAAAATCAATTTCATGAAAACTCCATAACCTAAAGGACTTGAGTTTTTTTCGTCGTAATAGATCGAGGAAAATATCAATTTCCCTCATCAACTAGATTATTAAATCAGACAGATATCTTTATTGCGAATTAGCCTGTAATAACAATACTCACATGTCAGACTTCTTTGATACCTCCTATGCTCTATCTACATTGTGTTGTAATTTGTATTAAATTTTTGCAGCTGAACCTCACCAAACTGGAAAGCGTAGATCGGCCATCTGCATTGGATGGAAAAAGAGAGGATTTATCAGCTATGATCAAAAGTATGGACGCAAAACATCGTAAGTGTACCATCTTTTACCAGTACTGTTGCATCCTAATCACAAGAAGAAAAATTACGAGTCTTAAGGAGGAAAGTCCTCATCAGAGAAAGATTTGTAATCTTGACCTTGTCACATCTGAAATGATTAGAGTCCTAAAAATTTTACCATGAACAAAATTACCTGAGATCTGATTTGTTTATGAGCTAGTATAAGATGATAAAATTGTGCTATCAATATTAAGGTCAAGAACTGCGATTGGCTTATTCAATGACTTGGACCAATCACAACATTTGACATTGATTTATTTATACTTTGGTTTGATCATGTGTTACGAGCCATAGACTGCGTGAAAATTATGCCATGGTTTATATTTTTGCCTGCCTCCTAAAATGTTCAGCTTAGTCTCTGGTTGAATTTTAGGGGAAGGGGGTAAGAAGCATGCCCCTCATGTGCTGATTTTATTAATTTGGATCATTGAGTCTGGAGTACCTAACATGTGTCATTTTTCTGAAAGGACAAGCAGAATTACAGTGAAATCTCGCTGAGTCGAATTTTTAAGTGACTGGGAGAAATTTCGTTTGAAGCAGAGAATTGAAAATTTTCTTTGACGTTAGCAGCTTCTCCTCCCCAACAAAAGCAAAAAATTTGTCTTAATCGTAGTTTTTTTTTTATGTTTCGCTTTATGACAGTGTCTAGGGACCAAAAGAACTTTCGATTCAAGAGGATTTTGCCTCAACCGTGGTTCGACTTTGCGAGATTTCATTGTACTGCAAATCATGTATTCTATCGAAAAAGGGAATAGAGTATGAAGTGATGAGCATAACAGCACAGGTGAGGGAGGGAGGTTGGGAGAGCAGATAGTCAGCTTTGCGGAAGAGTGAGTGTACTTACATCCAGGCATAGTTAATTACAATGGATTATATTATTATTTTTATGAATCTCATGCCATTGCAGCAAACATATTGCTTGGTTTCAGCTTCATTTTTTTGGTTCTTTTTTTACCATCACTTGAAAATGACCAGCTTTTTTTTGTCGATTGTATTTTTTAATTTTTCCTGATTTAATCATGTTTTTATTCAATGATGTTCATAAAAATATCATACGCATGCAGCACCTGTGCCCATTTCCATGGCAAGGTAGAACAGCGATTCTCAACCTGTGGGCTGCAAAACCTGCAAGGAAGTTTCATTAGAGCAGGCTTAAAGTGGAAGTAGAATAGATTGATTAAATGGGGGAAAAAACAATTTACAGTACATGAGAGCAAAGGAACATGGCAGCATCGAAAGAAAGATTCGCCACATTTTAAACACCTCATTAACCCCTTGCAGCCACGCTATGAGTTTGCAGGTCTGTATCTCATATAATTTCAGCAACAACATCACATTTTTGAGGAGGAAAATGAAAACTGATCATTTTTTTTTTGAGGAAGGTCCAAGAGCCGTCCTAGTCGGACATAGGGGTCCACTTGCTGAAAAGGTTGAGAACCGCTAAAATAGAAGACTGTCTTTCACACGCTGAATCACCTGGTTTGCAAGCTTCTATCTCTATGCTATGAGAACGCTTGCATGCTTTGCTTTTTTTTTTTCACTCATTTCTGCCATGTGGTTGCGTAGGGAGTGGCAGAAATAGTCAAAATGAGATTATAGGTGAATTTGAGATAACAGTCAAGTGCTTATTGTTTATTGCATGGTGGATCAGCATGCATTATTAGCTTCATTTGTCTGACAAGTGACAAGTAGCAAAAAGTTCTGTTGGCCGAACTCTCTGTAGGTTTGAAGTAATTATCGGCTAGTTTAGAATATCTGTCTTACTTGTGGCTGACATGAAAGTTACAGGAACAATTATAGCACCCGCGTTCGTTTTGTACAGTACTAAATACTTTATTTATGACCAACCAAAGATCTTATAGAAGAAGGAAAAAAAACTAGGAACGATTTTTAAAAACATCAGCAAATGAGTTTGAAAGCTTGGACTGAAAGCTAAGCATAATATTTCTAATAAGCTTAAGTCGGTGTTTTTAGTTTTTAGATATTTCATTATTTGCTTCATACTACAGTTTTTATTGTAAATTTTTTACACAACGATTCCCCTCCCCCTCTCTAATTTTATCCCTTTTTAACTAATTTTTATTTACTTCTGATTCTGCATGCTTGGCAGACTCCTTACTTGGAACAATATAGCCTTGTTGCAGCGTTGGTGTGAAAAAGGGGTATTCAAAGGCTCCAAGACATACCAGACAGCAGGCAAGCCAGCCTAGTTGTTCAAGTTCCTAAACTGGAAATCTCATTTGTTGATCAAGTGATTAAAGACCAAGGAAATACTGGAAAATGTCAAGGAACTTTAATAAATCTGGGAAAACCTGGAAATGTCTGGAAAAATGACGAAAATGTCTGTGAAAAATGTTAAGTCGCCTTTATTTGCTTTTTAGACTGGGTTTGGTGGCTGGAAGAACACATTTTGCCTGAAAACTATTTCAAATTATGTCCTTTTAATCATCTTGCATATCTTCATTTATATAGGAATTTTACCAAAATGTGTTAGGGAAAGCAGGGAGTTTAATTTTTTAAATTCTGCATCAACCCTGATGGTGTCCAGAATTTGAGAGACACTCGCGTTTTACTATGCATTAATTATACTATAGTATTTAAGAGAGAAAGTAAATTAAAAAAAGCGTTTGTACACATTTTTATCATGAAAGAAGAATCAGAACAATCAAAGTCATCTCCAAAATCCAGGAAGAAAAGTTTTAATTCTCTTGTCCTAGATCGTGTTTTTTTTTTCATTTGTAAGTTTAAAATTGGAAGTTTTAAGTTTGATCCGGTGAGGATAATGCTTTTGTTTTCTTAAGTTTTTATTCCTCCTAGTTTCATTTATTTTTTTTTATTTATTAACAGAAAAATATTAGTTAAGTCGAATTGATTTTCAGTCCAAAACATTGCTGATCTTGAATCCATGATAGAGACGCAGACAGAACTAATGGACAAACTGAAAGATGAGTGTCAGAATCTGACGCTGAAGCTTGATGAAACGTCCTCTAGGCACAAGTAAGACCACTGCACTGTTACACGCTTCTATATTACGAATCATTAAATTTCCTGTCAATTTATCTAGAGCATATTACTTGTGTTTCCCACGTATTCATTCTCAAATAAAATTGCTGTCCTGTTGAGAAATTAGTCCCTTTCCCCTAGTTTTAAATGCAATGAATGAAACTAATATTGAACCATGAACGACAAGGAGCCAACAAAAAATACTCTACATTTTGAGCCGATTGTTCAAATTTTGTGTTCATTGATGGACAAGACAAGGCTCAGGTGAATTGGAGTAAATGCTTGGCTTTGTCAGTCGTCTTTTTTACTGTAGTTTTATCAGAAGGGATTAACTAGCTGAAGGCTCCTTTTGAGTTGCTGATAGCTTGTCATCAATTTCATCTCACACCATTTTGCAGGGAAAATAAAGCCGAGAAGTTCCACAAATTAAAATTAGAGTCAAAACAACTTCTTTTATTTCTAATGAGTACCAGTACAAAACTGAGGGAGGAGAGTGTTCAGCTCAAGCAGTTTGCATTGTTAGACTGACAATGAGTTCACTGATGAGTGTGATCTGCTGATGAAGTTTAAAAAGACCCAAACCGGTATAGATCTCTCGGCGTGACTCCAACTTAATATTCCAATGCAAACTGCCTGAGCTAAACACTCTCCATCCTCAGCTTTGTACTGTTACCCATTAGAGTTAAAAAAAGTTGTTTTGACTCTAATTATAATTTTTGAAACTTCTCAGCTTTGTTTTCCCTGCAAAATGGTGTGGACCCAGCATCATTTCTCCACCTTGTTACATACAGTTCGGGCCACTTCTTAGTGTTTTTTTCTCTCATTTCACCTCACACAAGCACCATTAAGAGACCCTTATTTTTTGAAGCCTACTTTGAATATCGCCTAATATGTAATTCTACGCTTACAATTGCAAAGAGTCCTCTCCCCTTTTAGTCCATATTCCACAACAAGTCCCAGGCTACTGTTGATTGAGATCATCAAACTAGGGTCGCAGAGCCGGGAATCGAACCCAAAGCCTCCTGATCACAGAATCAGCGCTACAACCAGTATATCCTTAAGAGGCCGAACTGACAAAGCCAACGGATCACATAACTCCAGATCACCTCAGTCCTTGCTCGTTCCGTCAACAAACCCAAAATTTCAAACTTCGGCCTGCAGCTAATAGCAAAGAAACATAGGTTGTCGCAGATCATTTTCTTCAGTAGGCACACACACTTTCTTATTCCTATTTCCTTTATTTAAAATCAAGTTCACCATAAGCTGAAAAGTAGATAGTTCCTAAAAAAACGCACTCTAACTGGTTCATGTTTTAAACTGCATTGCATCTAGACAGGGCTGGATTAAAGAGGAAGCAGGAGGGACTGAAGCTGCGGAAAGCAAATTTCAGGGAATGGCAAATTGCGGAAATAAGACGGCAAATTTTGAAAAGAATGACCTTCCCCTCTCTAAACTTGTTACACTGCGAAGCAAAATCATTCAAAATTCCAAAGAGAAAAAAACGACATTCCTTCCGAAGTCTGGGAGAAGCAAATAGTTAGCCCTATGTAGACAGAAAAATTTTCAATCCAACCTTGCTTAAAACCTGCAAGAAACCAGCTTAGTTTTGCCCATTCTCTGAAAAAGGATAGTATTTTAGTGGAACTATGCCATTCTCAAATTTCTCTACCGAAGGATTCTGTAAATCTCTGAAATTAATCCAAGAAAAGCCCCGTTTTTGTGAAAACTCTCTTCAAGTTCAATGAGAGTTCGGCTCAACAACATTTGACAATAGCTCTGTCTCTGGGGACGTTTATTAACTTTAATTGAGTGTAAAATGTTTGTCAGTATAAGTAAGTATATATTAAAGTTTCACCTGAATCTCAGTTTTCCGAATTGGAATAGAAAATCACCTATTTCACTCTTTTGAAAAAAATGACTCAAACTCACCAACTCCTTCTCGAGTGCTTTTAGGTTCATAGTTACACATTTTACTGAGACCATCTATCATTGTTCTCTTCCAAAACTCCTTATTATGAAACAAGAGTCTTTTTAGAATTTTGCATACACAAGTTCGGAGTCTATTCATTGCATGATTATTTTCAGTGTAACAAGTTTCTGAATTTTCATTTTCCAATTTTTTTTTTTTTTTTTCATTAAAGCTTCACTTCATCCCTTAGTTCATCTCCTTCAATCATGCATTTCTTCTAAATCTGAATTTTGTTTTGTGCATTATGATTTCAAGTTCTTTTAGAAAATTAAAAATTTACAAGCAATTGCAAAATATATTTCAGGGAAGAAGTGATAAATTTCAATGAATTTAATGACGGACTAATGAGTCGACTAAACCATGTTTGGTCGAACTGTCACGAACTCCGGCGCTTGTGTGAAGTACATGGAATTTATTCTTTTTCACAGGTTGGCTCTGATATTCTTTTACAATCAATTACCTTATTTATGTCTTATTTATTGTATTCTCTCTTTCAGCATTTTAATTTCTACCCCAAGGACAAAACCGTGGAGTCGACCAATGAGTGTAAAAAAATGGGTTAAATTCATGGATGTTTCTCTCATCATGTATGTCTAAAAGATCTGTGAATTTTTCCTGCTCCCTTTTTTTACTCCTCTACGTTCTTGAAGTGGTAAAAATTGTAGCAAAAAATTCTGTCATTAAAAAACAAAAATGATGGGATTTCTTCTTTTTTCATGCATTAACATTAGGGAGGAAATTGCTGGACTACAGAACCACATAGATTACATTAACAGTAAGCTAGAGCCTCCGGCTGCGTATGAAAATCAGTGGCAAGGTATTTTGATTCCTTCCCTGCTTTTTCAATCGGAAGGATAGCTTCCTAGGCTTGCTTCATTGCCGTTTCCACTGATGCAAAGATGCTTTTCATTCACATGTACAACAGTCACCAATCCTTTATTGCACCCAATGACCGGTAGAAATTTAACCCACTTTTCACGCCACAGTTGATGCTTTCTGGTCTGAGACCAGTCACGAAGACAGTTCTTGGAACGACCAGACACACATGCCATAAAGAAACATTGTCGTATGAGAATTACCATCTGGGATCCAACATTTTTTTATAAACAGCAACAGACGCTTTTATGCTTGATGATGACTGATAAATGTTGCATTTAGCTTGTGCTAAAGAAGTTTGTCATAGACCGAATAAGAAAAACCTCGTTGTTGTATTGATTTTAATTGTTCTAATGCTGAGTGTAAATAATCTCGTATAAATGCATGGTACATTGAACTAAAAAAGATCTCCTAATCGTATAAGAAACTCACGAAAGTGTAAGTTGGCATTTTTATGCAAGAATCAAACATGGAAGTTTTGTGCTATGCTCGCTTAAAGATCTATTTTAAATTAAAGACGATTGATAAGTTTTCTGACAATAAAAATGGGTACTTAGTCCTTGCCATAGTGGCTAATTCTTTATCTAGGATTTAGAAAAAAAAAAATAAACTTTTTTCATGGAAAGCAGTCACAAGTTTCGTTTTTCTATTTTGCTTCTTATTATTTTATATTTTTGGTGAATAGCTTCAGATCTGATAGTTTGGAGGACCAAAATCGTTGATATGTTTTTATTTCGGCGAATATTTAAATTTGTCATCATTTAGAAATATTTGAAGAATCTCTATTTTCACCAACAAGTTGTTGTATTCATATATTTTGTCTAATATTTTGTGTTCCTCTATTTTCAAGATGAGCAAATGGTCGGAGAGTATGCCCAGCAAGACTACACACTGGACGATCAACGAGACGATCAGCGATAGTTTCGCCTATACATCCCTGGATGATTCTTGTGTCAATTATGGGCTTTTATGAGTCTTTCAGTACTACCAAACCCTTGTGTTTCGCCTCTCTTCCCTATATCTTCACCCAGTAAGCCAATGAACTCTCCTAAGAATGACACTGCACCGAAGGAAAGCTTGATTTTGTAGTTTTGATTCATGGACCTCATTAGATCATGGTCTTGTGCACATGTGATATCTTTCTGCATCATCTTCATTCACTCTGCCCTCTTGTGAAAGGTCTCTTTCAGCTCTTTTTTCCCTTATGAGCCAAATATGTGTCAGTTTGACTTACAATCCATCAGACAATTTTTTACACCTTGATCCCCAAGGTGGAAACTTTTTTTATTCTCTACCAGGGCTTGACGCAAGACTTGTAACAAATGTGAAATTATCTTCAAACTTTGGTCTTAAACAGAATGATAGGATATTTTTTTCAAAATGTGAATACTCATCAAAACAGCAAGTATTTCAAGTTATGAGCGCAATACTAGGGTGTTGCCTTTCCCCCACCTCATTCAAATTTTATAAGGAACATGTGTTACGCGACTGGAAAAGAAAACATTCTATTGTCAATATCCCTCAGAGTGATGAAGAAACTCTCCTCACCTCATGCTCAGCAGATTACCCAATAATAACCACCCAAGATCAAGAGGATGCTGAGTTCATTATATGGAAGTTAGTGGCCGAGTAAATAGGGCCTTGAGGTTATTGTGAATTAAACAGAAAAGTTAACCTTATTATGAACCTGGGAAAGTGCTTAATGACCAGTCCAACAACAGCTAGTTAAGCTCTTGCTAAATGAGCAAAACGCCTACCATGTCCCCAAACAAGATACACCGTCAAATAGATTTGTCAAAAATTAAAAATAATTTCTGAGTGGCAAGGATGAAGTTCTGAATATGTCAGCATAAAAGGGGAAAAAAGAAATAGACTTTCCTCCAAAATGTTGATGAGAGATTATAATTTTGGATTTGGAGATCATTCCTCAATTTATTTTCCCTTACGATTCTAGAAGTAATTTTCCACCATTGTGATACCTATTTCTAATCAATGTTGTCTTTGCAATGACCCATTTTTGCAGTTAACTATCATCTTTATTTCTTCCCTTCGTCTAAAAATTAGACAAAGTGAGCAAGGAATTTCTTTCAGGTCTCATTTAGACAGGCAGCTAGCTATTCTCTCAACTTATGAGTGTAAGCAATGCTTTGCGCCTGCAATATCAACATGTAGAGCAATACTAACGAGACAGAGTTGTTTTTTTCTTTTCATTTTATCGCTAATGGAAGTATCAGTTTAAGTTTATGTTATTACATAAATGAATCTAAATCAAAGGAGAAAAAACCAAAAATTTTGACGAGGCTGTATGTAAAATTTAACGAATCCTGTTTATGTATCTTGCTGTAAAAATATCTCCTCTGCCAATCAAATTTCATTTCTGTTGTCTAAAATGGCAATGAATTCACTATAATTTTTAAGTAAAAAATTTGTTTTGAAGAGAACGTGATTAAAATATCCAAAATTCCATCGCACATTTTGCACCAAAGAGTTTGATTTACATGCTTAAATAAAAGGCAACTCGTGTGAGATTCAGTGATAGTTGAAATGAAAACTTGACAGGAAGACAATCTCTCTCCTAGAATAATTATTAGTTTCCTGACATTCATCCATCTCTTTTTCTACAGAAATTGTGATTTTCATGCTAAGCTTTAACTATATATTTTTAGTAATAAATGTCATTGTTTGTTGATGTTATTGTTTGTCCTCCTTTAATTGAGTTTGCAAAAATATAATTAAGGAAGCAGAGAATGTAAAAACAGTAAAATGGCTCAAGCAATTAAAGTACAATTTGTACCTGATGGTTCAAATAACTCTTGAGCAAAGCACTGCTAAACATTACTTTTAATAAGATAATTAGGAGTTTAAACTACCCCACAAGTAGTTAAATATGTAGAAGAAAAAGAAGAAAACTATTTTTAACTCAAATGCATGCAATTTGTTTTGGATATGATTTCAAAACAAATTTAGAGTAAGAGAGTTAAAAGAAGTTTTCTTCTTTTTCTTCTATACATTTAAAAATTGCTTGTATGAATCCACCTCAATTTCTTGAAACACTTTTTACTGTTTTTGAAACATCTCTTGGAAGGTGAAATAGCTAAGAAGACAAATAATATGCAGACAAAATTCAATATCATTACAAATGTATTTCCATATTATACGGGGTGTACTCTGACAGCAGTAAAATTACAATATTTCTTTAAATTCAATTTTCCTCATTCATTTAACGGCTGATGCTATCTCAGTACATAGGTTCATAAAAAATTAACTTGATATCAGTGAAGTAAGTGCTCCTGCTTGGATGTAGAATACAATATTTTGGCTTTCATAATTATAAGTATTTTTGGAGGGAGTAACACACATGAAACTATAAAATATGATTTCAGGTATTAGAATCTTAAACCATGAGAAATAGATGTAAGACATTTTGATCGACCTCTCTATGTAAAATAATTGATGATACTAGGGTTCCATTCATTGAGTGATGAAAAGAGCATTACTTTGAAAGCTGAAGCCAGGAACAGAAAACTCATGTCTTATGGTTGCTGCTGTGAAAAAGAAATGAGGAGTTCCATTGGAAAAACTCAGTAAATACTAAACCAAAAATGAACCCACAAGAGTCAACAGACTTACTTTTACCTTTCTTTTATACTCTGTTGAAAACTCATTTCTGGAGCTGGATGCCATGACAAACGTATAAAAAAACGCATCAATGTCAGCACATCTATGTATTATAAAAGCTGGCATACCCGTCAATTTGACAGGGTAAAGCAATCCGTATCAATGAAACACATTGGCGAGGATTCTGAAAATTATATATACCTAGTGATGCATGTTTAACGATTCCCATACTATGAAAGTATTCCAAGAATGGAAAATCAAGATTTATTTTATACCTCATGAATTGTTTCAAAATCTTCCTTGCAAGCCACACTTTTCCCCCTTCTGCAACTATGAAAGCAGAAACTACATCATGAGTAAAATAAAACAAAATTTGAAATCGTAACGATTACGGTGTGATGCAATGAAGAGAGAAAGCCTCATATGATGCTGCTTCCTCAGAACAAAAATAATTGACTAAGAATAAGAAATGAACTAGAATCTGAATTGGATGAAAGTAACAAAACACACTTACAGTAGGACCAAGTAAGAGTTAGCGCGTTGTAAAATTACAATATTATCATCCGCAATCATAACAAGAGAGGTCTTACTGTGAATCAAAGTTCAACTTCAAACACCTCTGATGTTGACACTGATATGAAAGATGACAATCTTAGGTTTAAAATCAATACCTTGCTAAAAATGAACCAATTTCAAAACACTAAGTAGTCATTTGAACGATTCAACAATGTTGCTTCGAATAATAAACTCTAATAAGAGAGGAAAAAATGAAAACAATGCAATAAAAATGACCTACAAGTTACATTCACGCCAAATCAGTTGATAAATGAATTACTGGTATTCTATGGGGCGTCATCTAAGTACCCTTTAGATAGATTCCATACCAAATGAAAATAAATATCGTCTTAAGGAAAACTGCATTGACATCACTTTGAATAAGTTGGGCTAAGGATCAATTTCGAACCACTGATAGCAGTCTTGCATGACATCAGTATCAGTGAATATCACTCTACGGATTTGCCACAAAATGGCAATTGCGCTAACGAATTGTTTTGACTTTGAGAAATACTGGAGAAATTTTAGGTCCTACCTTTAAGAGTGCAAACAGAATGATGAACTGACTTGAGGTTTTTCACAAAGAAAAAAGGTGAAAAGCAACAACAAAAAAGTTTTGAAAGTTACTGCGAGGAAATATGAGTCCAGACTCGCATGGCTCATTGGTTTTTTAAAACCTCAACAGTTTGATTCCGTAGTTAAAAGATAAATATAAAACTTTCCATCCTATTCGAACTCTTACGATTACCAGGCTACATAGTAAACACAAAAAATTACAGAAATCACAGAGAATAAAAAATGGACGGTAATACTCACATGTAAACAGAAAGTAACCATTAGAAAACTTAATTAACTCATACAACTTAAAATTAATCATACATAATAAGTAATGAAACTTGATTCTCCACCGTTTAGTTCCTGAAGGAAAACTTCTGAGTTCATTAGAACCATTGGAGAAGTTTCCGTACCCTTTGAAGCAATTAGACATAGATCGGAGGAACATTTGAGCACAGCCAGATTCGCGGGAGTTTCCTACAGACCTGAAGGTCTCGATAATATTGGATGTTAGATCCTTAAAACTTATGCAAACTTCAAACTAATAGCTCTGCTGTTAAGGACAGAACCAACTGATGCGGAATCAAGATATATATTCTTAAACATTTGGCATTTTAAGCACATTTGATTCACTGCAAAATACTTAATAATACATTTCCTGATATTCTCACACTAAATTTAACCCCTTCTCTAACCTCTTGGACATCTCACACTAATAATTCATTACACGAATCACCAGGGTTACAGTTCACGAAAATTTCATTGATAACTGGGAGGTTATAACGCTAAGCCAAATTAATTTGTGTTAATTGATGACTGGATTGAGTAATTTTGGCTCCTAAGTGATGAAAGAAAGTCAAATGATCCAATCAACCAGTTATAGTCCTCCATTTCTACAGAATTGTTTGCTTTCTCAGTCAAGAATGCACCCTCGATGAAGACAAAATTTTTGGCAATAAACCCTCAGAATACGAACATATTAGCATTCATTGAGGAATTTACATTTTATTCTCTGTTCATTTAAATTTTGCCTTTATACCTTTGCTTATATCTCAAAATCAAAAAAAATAGTAAGCTTGAAAATTTTCTATTAATAGCTCCTGCATAAAAACCAAATTTGATCCTGATTTCAATGCAACTCAAATAAGTGTGTATAATTGGAAGAAATTCTTGCTAAACGGAGGCTCAAGAGCTCAAGACTGAGGGAGCAGAGATGGATGTAACTTCAACATTTTACCTCTGAATTTTCGTGCGATTTTAATAAATAACAATTTTTACACCAACAGCTCTCTTTCAACATTTTACACTCACAGTTTTCTTTCAGCACAGCTAAGTTTTGAAAGTGCATGCTTGATCCAGTAATAATCGGATTGCATTGAGTAGAAAGGAACTAAATCATAACTGCCATTGTTAAATTTCATCAGATGATTTATTTTTTTATAGGAGCGGTAGTGTTAACTATTTTGAAAATTTCGAAAGATTTCTTGTGTGAAATGATAAAAATTGATGGAAATTTTATATAAAATCTGAAGGACCATTCCCCTGTAAAAAATTTAAAAAAAATAAATCAAAAAGCTTTGATGAAATTTGATGATGATTGATAAGACTTGCTTGGTGCAGTACTTACGCACATGATTCACTCCATTCATAATCAAACATCTACTCAATATACTAGAATTTCATGAATTTGGTTTCCTTCTTAATTTAATACGAAAAAGACACTTCATCACAGAAGAATTAAATCTACATGTAACAAGAGAAATGACATTTAATCTAACAAAACAGTGTTCCTATAAAAAGGACAGATCTTTGCAAGATAAGTTTTATTAATAAATAACTAGCTGATTCATTTCATGCAATTATCACATTTTACTTTCAGAAGACACTTCAAAATTAAAATAAATTTATTCGCTTATGATCATCAGCTTTCAAACATTTCGACCCCTTTTAATAAGCTACAAAGTCTATGTTTACATACTCAACAATCTCATGCACAAAAATTCCATGAATTTAAGTCTATCAATTCTAAAATTTTAACAATTTTATCGGCGCGACAAATCAAGGAAGAGCATCAAAGTAAAGAACATTCGTTTTAAATATAATCAATTATTAAGTAAACACGTGTAGAAGAGATGGTTTTTTTATTCCTATTTGTAAGTTTTTGTATTGATTTCGTTGGCAGGTTATCTACCCAAATTTTCGTAACATTAAAAATTTGATGTCAGTGCACATCACCCCACAAGGATGTGACAGTAAAGGCATATTTTGGCGGAGACCAGTGATTATTTAAAATTAAAAAGAATCAAGTGTTTTTCTGAATATTAATGATCTAAGAGTCTCTTTACATTTAGAGGGGAAAAAAGGTAAATAGATCAGAGCATTGAACAAAGGTCACCAGCTATAAAAGAGTCAAAATATATATATTAAAAAAAATAAAAAAAAAACTAGAATAAACAAACAAAAAGGAGCATTCCCTTTCATACAAACAAAAACAAACAAAATTAGATTTCTTAATTTTTTTTTTACTTCTTGAACGACAATATTTTTTTAATTTTTTTGTATTTTTATTTTATTTCTATTTTTTTTTTGTACAAGTATATTTTTTTTCTCTCGAATTTGTATGAATTTTTTATAATTAAACCTTTCCCTCCCCTGATTTTTTGGATTTTTCGAGTATCAGCTTATTCGTTTTACGGCTGGTAAAAAATTAATGAAAATAACAAAAAATAACTTTCGCAGAAAGTGGGGAAAAAACATTTCTTTGAATGCCTGCCTGCATGTGAAAGAAAAACAGATGATGAAACTAAGCAGAAATGTAATTATTCAAATTAAAAAAGATAGGTCCAACTGAAATAATTAGAAAAAAAAATTTTAACAACAAAATCTTAGAAGAGTCATGTATCAAACACAAGTATACGATCTGTAGTAAATATGTGGCACGCATCACAAAATCTTGTTCTGATGATGATCAATTAGATAGCAGCAGAAAATAATAAAATCTATCACAGCTCCAAGTTACCGCATCAAGTAAGAACAGAAATGTTGCCTTATAAGGCAAACAAAGATTAAAATCACCTAAAGCAGTAGTGTACATCATGATTTTATGCGCTTTGGTAACATCCATGCTGTCTAGCGAGCATTCAGAGCATGTCTGGCAATGTGTTCATCACTTGCGAGATAAATATGTATAATAATATGTAGCAAAATAATAGATCATGACATGCACTACTGCAGTGTTTCACATAGAAAACCATTTTTTTCAAAAGGCGATACCTCACCTAATATTAGATGTGCAAACTTGGCGACTGGAGAGATTTTATTAAACAGATAAACAAATAGCTTCTATTTTAGATTGTGTAGAAGTGATATTTACATTTAATTTCGACTTTCAGATTAAGATAGTCGATCTTCACAATCTTCTTTTATTAATCTACGTGTCTCAAGAATCAATTCTTAACTCTGCATTTACGCAACTGATGCACTGATTTGGCTTAAGAACCCACCAAAATCTACAAAGGTTCAATCTTTATCATTTTATGCGGAGCATTAAATGCAAGGTGATTACAGAAGCAATTTACCAAACACGAACATTCTGCATTGAGGAGAACAGCGTTCATTAACAGGGTTTCTACCAATGCTTAATCATTACAATCCCTTGCTTATTCATTACATTTTGATCATTCTCATTTATTTCCACAAAAATTTCTTCTTTGAAGGATTTCTAAAAATCGTTGTTCTGCATACAAATTTTCTTTTTTTTTCCCCCCGTGACTCACTCATATTATAGACTTTGCGAAATACAGAATTTCTTTCCCAGGCACTAGAATAAATATTTTTTTTTCAACATTTGGCATAAATAGTTTTCCTGGTAGTCCCAATGTTCTGCAACGAAAACATAATGAGATTCACTTCATTTAGGGGAAACAAGGTCAGCTTTAGCTTCAAGTGGCAAAAAAGAAAATCTGATTTAGGAAGTGGAATGTAGGAATAATACAGAAATGGACAGTAATGAAGCAAATTATGAGGCATTGAACTACAGGAGGTTGATTAATAGAACTAAGTTGAAAAATTGCAAACCCTAAAGGTTATTTTTTAAACTTAATCTCGGAAATTCAATATATTTATACCTTTCCACGAAAAATCCTTACATTTTCTGTGCCGACCTTTCTAAATCTGTAGTTTCTCAATGCATCTGTTCTGTTTCCCCACAGTAGAAACCTTGATTAACTACTACACTAAATTATACTGCTGTTCTAAGAAAAAACACCAAGTGAACCTTCGGTTTATGCCAAATTTACTTTGATAAAATACAGATTTCCTGGGAAACTTGTGAAAATTTTTCTTCATATTTTTCAGAGAATTTTGCCCGCAATTTGATCTAGACCATCAGAAACTTTTAGATAAAAATATTAATAATTTTCTTTTAAATTGCGTACTTCATAAGTAGAAATTTGGCAACATTTGAATGTTCATACAGCGTTCTTCCATAGCACAGCAAAATGATTCAGTTACAAAACCAGAGTCTAGAGAGCAGTTTGCACCGACTTTGCTGAATAAGAACAACAGAACGAGTCACAGCAAAGAACAAAAATGACTCAATTTTCAATGATAAGCATCTAACGCTACAGTTGAACATAGGGTATACAATACTGGAGGTTTCATGATTTGGTGCGATTACGTTAGAATATTCTGCAGGCTGATTGTTGAAATTGACAGGCAAAGAAAAATAAAAAGATTCTATTGATTGAAATAGGTGGTTGTAATGGACAAAGGATGTAATAGACTTACCATCGGCAACTAGCTTGAGACCCTACTTTTGGTCCATCATTTCCCTCATAGTCTATGACAACCACAAATTTCAACCAATAGGATCGCTTCAGTCTTCTTTGTTTATCGCTTTATCTGTCCATTTCAATTATCAGCCCCTTACTCTTGTTTAAAGACATGATGCTCTCAATTCAAAACAGCTTTTGAGCTGCAGGACGCAAACGGTAAAATTATTCATTTAAACTAGCCATCCTTTCTGGTAACAATTGACAACACAGAATTTGGAGAGAATAACAAAATAGTGAATTTTTATGAGGCAACATGAACGGAACTCAAAAATTGTATGCGTCAATCTTATATACAAAATTTATATATGATACAAAATGAATTGATATAAATGTACAATTGCATGGTAAAAAAAGCAAACTTGAGAAATTCTAAACAAGTTCCTAAATTAAGACTATCTTATATCTACAGCGATGAACAGACTCAGATGTTATTGTAATTCAACATACTTTGATTTTTTGCAATAGATTCTAGAATATATGTAAATTTACCTCCTAACATTAACTTGACATTCAAAATGATATTGAAACAATTCAGATCAAGAAACATGAGGAATTACATATAATGACAACATTGGTATTTTGGATGAGTTGCACAAAAGTAACTGAGGCAATCTATTTTTCATGTTACTGATAGGGTAAAAAAGTAATTTTATCGATAAATAAAAAATAAGAACAGAATTAGTCAAAAGTATATTTAAAGAGCGATAATATTTCTATCAGAAGGACATGAGGTAATGAAAGCATGAATATCTTCTTTGTTAGGGTACTTTCTTCAAAATTTTGATAAAACATTATTTCTTCTGGACTGCACTAAGTCATCGTCTTCCCGTTTGAATTAAAAGCTTGTGTATATTAAGTAAAAATGTCACTCATATGACATTCACAGATTTAAAATCAAAGACTAATGAAGTCTAAAGTTGTCTGAATCGATAAAAATAGTGTAGAACCATGATATCGTTGTATTGAGGCAATAATTGTGCTCCTGATATACTTAAAGACTTCAAAGACTCAGGGAAACTACAGGCTACCGAATTTAATAAGCTTTTCCGGAAATAGGATAAATACAGGAACAAGTGCTAATACAAGAAGTAATAACGTTTGCACCTCATTGAAATTATTTTCATGCATGTTGGAACTTTAAAATGAATCTTAAATAATATTAGAGATACTGAGAATACCGAAAATAAGAAACTGACAGAAAACATTTGAAGGGTTTGGCAGAGATGCAAAAATGATTTGAAGTTGAAAAAACATGGGAAACCTCATAAATCTTCAAATTTTGGTTCCTAATATGATCTATGGTCTTTGACAGTTCTGAGAGTATCCACAAGAATCTTGAAATCATTAATTACTTTCATACCATTATTTAACAATAAGTTTCATTGAATAACTCTACGGATAGCGCCTTATCAAACAGAGAGTCTTTCAGGTGACATGAATTATTGTAATCTAACAGCTGAGGCAACAATATTGCACACAGCAGCCTTTGCTCCCATTGTCTCACTGTACAGTGGATGACCCAAAAATTTGTGCGATGATATGGTGCCAAATTACTCAACAATGTTGAAAAAAGAAATAATAGGACTATAGGGAACTAAAAAAAAATGATACATACAGATGAGTCATCAAAGAAAAAATTAACTAAAATGAAGAAAAATATTACATCAGGTAAAAAAATAAACAACATGAATAAAAAGCACCTTCTTCTTTTGTGAAAAAATAAAAAGTTAAAACTCAAGTGTTTGATTATGCAAACTCTTCTTCCTCGTCGAATAACACTTCATCCAGGACTGAAAAAAGAAAATTTCATACTTTTAGAGAGGTGTAATAAAGAGGAGCTTCTAGTTATATAAACATTATATAAATGCATGGCTCCCTGAATTTTTCCTCTCCTTTTTCAACTTGCAGTCTGTTAATTTATTGACTTACTAAGTAGAAAGCTTGTATATTAAGCGTTCATAACAGGTTCTCAAGGAGGATAGAAAAAAAATTTAGTTGGGATGCTCTTATATTGGTAATTTATCACTGTCAAAATTAGGTAAGCCATGAAATGAGCAAAACTCAGGAGAATGTGAGGTCACTTTATTTCCAATTGTAAGATGATACAAGAATACTGTTATAAGTGTTGAGCTGGTCACTTCACTCATATAAAAATTGGCATGAATGCAATACGTCGTAACATCAAAATATTATGAACACTAATGCCAAGTTGAGCGACAGCTTAGAGCTGTCACAATGAGTCAATGGAGTCAAAACTATATAGGATTAAGTACTGCGTAGTTTTGACTAAATGAGGAAAAAAGGTCACGGCAGAGAAATCTTCTTTTTCACTGGCTCCTTACCCCAAATCTACTCGTTGTAAAATGTGTGATTAGGATGAATTGGACTTCATTTTGAAATTAGGAACTACAATTTCTGGTTCATCTGTAAAAACACTTATGTGCATAGGGAAACTAATGGTACATACATTGTTTCTAAACTGGGCTAGAAATTGTAGTTCTTAATTGCAAAATGTTGGACAGATTTATCAGACAGCCTAACTGCATTGCACATTGCCTGAATTTCTTTCATATTTTATTTTTTTAGCAGAAAATCTAACTACTTGATGCCTTTGAACTTTTCGTGAGTTTACCCAAGATCTTGAAGAGGATACTCGCCAAATTTCAAGTATCAGTGTTGCTTGGTTTTTTTTCTAAAAGAAAACATTGGGAAAAAATAGGTAACGGCTGATGTAGTTAAGCTGATTCCAAAAAATTCCGTCCAATTGCACAATGAAACCGATTAAAGTCCACCGATATGTGAGATGGCTGTGAACGGCGAGTAAGATATACAGACATGCATAGGGGAGAGAATCTTTGCAACTGAAATAATTAAAAACGGAACTTACCACTGATGAAATTACTAATTTTTTTGAGGTTTTGGAACGTTTTAGCAAGATCCAAAGATGGATTTGAGTGTGAAGGAGAATTAGGAAAACTTGTGCACTCCAGTTGCTCAATCTCCGAGGAAATTTGATGACACTTCACTTTGTCTTCATCATATAAGATTCTGAAATTACAGGAAAATAAGTTAAGGTGCTCATTTCAATACATTAAAACAAAAAAAACTCTCCTTTTACTTTCACTTTTCGTTGACTTCAACCGTCAACCTTCACTAGGTCGTAAGCCGCATGAAACACATTTTTTGCTAGGATGAATTTTTGCCTGGTTCTGTGGAATTCTCATTGCACTAATGATCATGAAGCTAACTCAAATCGCGAGAAAAACAGCCTTTGTTTAATTCAATCCAAATTTTCCCCCCAGAGATTTTTTGAACTTATATATCTGTATTATAGAACAGCCATACCAGCCTCATTAAATGAGACTACTGCACCAGCTGGAAATTACCTAAAGAAAGAGTATTTTCATGAAAAGTTGTAGAAAAAAATGCATTTACAAGTTTCAAAAAGCTCAAACAAGGTAATTAAAATGCAAGAAAGAGAATTAAAGTCAGAGTGCTAAATAGCACATTTCTAGTGAAAAAATTGCCATTTTCCCTTGGTAAATACTTCGTTAAAAGTGAATGTTCCCTTCTGAGACTTCATTAAAGCTGGTTTTTTAAAGATGAAGATTCGCGTAGTTTCAAAGGTACCTCCTTAAAAGCAGAATTTTGTTGAAAGCAAGTTTATTATAAACAGGTTTGACCCCAAAAAAAATTGAGAGCCCCACTGAGCTTTTACAATTTTAATTTTGAAAAATACTTCTTCATCCCTTTTTTCCATGTGAATTGCAAATTAAATTAATTCGATTCATTAAGACATTAAAACAGTAAAAAATTACCTAAGTTTTTTTAGCAATGCTGAGGAGTTTCCTTTCAGTTTATTGGAGAGTTTTAAGACAACTTGGATCAGATCACTGTCGATACAATTCTGAAAAACGGAAAAAAACAGGATGACGCATGTTGAGAGAAAAAGATGTTATGGAGCTTTCCATGTTGCTAGTAACTGTGCCAATTTATTCTTTGTAATAACAGGAGATCCGATATTTTTTTTGCACCAAAAATTGGTACAAAGCAGTTTTTCTAGAACCTGTTGCAATTAATTACATAGGGTATTCAAAAAGTTTTGCACATTTCCAGGTTTTGAGCAAACGAAAGTAGCTATTGATTTGCGGTTTATGTGTGCTTAAAGTAGACGCAATTGCAAATAAAATAAGACCAAAAGCAGTTCTCTAGCTTAAAAAATGACAGAGATACAGGGTTTTGAAAATGACATGTAGCGTGACCGCCTCCAGGATTTTTAGCCACAAATATGTTTGTCAAGAAAAAAAAGTTAAATGAGAATTGAGTGTTTTTATTGAAAAAACTTACAAAATCCTACAGAAATTGACAAACTTCAAGCTTCTTCATCGGATGACACGACATTCAGCTGTTTTTCGAAGTATTTTCCACCACTTTGAACACAAAGCTTCAGCCGTTCTACTCACTTCACAAGGACCATCTCTTCGAAGTCTTCTTGACGAAGGGTTTTGAAGAATTTTTGAACAGCAGTTTTGATCTCGGCTATGAAATCAAACCGTGTGCCTCTCAGAAATTTCTTTAACTCAATAAGGGGCCATTATATAGCTGAGATCAAAACCGCTGTTCAAAAGTACTTCAAAACCTTCCGTCAAGAAGACTTCGAAGAGATGGTCCTTGTGAAGTGGGTAGAACGGCTGAAGCTTTGTGTTCAAAGTGGTGGAAAATACTTTGAAAAACAGCTAAATGTCGTGTCATCCGATGAAGAAGCTTGAAGTTTGTCAATTTCTGTAGGATTTTGTAAGTTTTTTCAATAAAAACACTCAATTCTCATTTAACTTTTTTTTCTTGACAAACATATTTGTGGCTAAAAATCCTGGAGGCGGTCATGCTACATGTCATTTTCAAAACCCTGTATCTCTTGTCATTTTTTAAGCTAGAGAACTGCTTTTGGTCTTATTTTATTTGTAATTGCGTCTACTTTAAGCACACATAAACCGCAAATCAATAGCTACTTTCATACGCTCAAAACCTGAAAATGTGCAAAACTTTTTGAACACCCTATGTATTTCCGGTTTTTACTAAAACTTCAAATCAACACTAGTTGACAGACAGCTTCAATTTCAAATACCTGTTACGATTCATCTTCCAAGTTCTCAAAATTGAGGGTCAAAATACGCTTGGCATTATCACAACAGTGGAAATATAGCTCTGCTAAAATTGAATTAAACTGATATGTTCATAGGAGGAAGGGCAAGAATTCATTTTTCCTTTCGTTGGTGGTACATAGAATAAGAGAATTTAGAAATGGAAACTGGAATTTTAACAAACCTCTGATGCAGCAGTATGTCTTGAAGAATAGGACTTTAACGAGATGTTACTGTGCAGAGATATTCTACTACCTTGACAAGCTGGTTCTTGAGAGGACTGAAAAAGAAGAAGAAAAAAATATAATATGTACAAAAGAAGAAAGAGGAAGAAAAATAGAAACAACAGATGATATTGCACCATATAGTGATAGATTGGCAATGACAGCTATGCATAAAGCTTTTTGATGAAAAAGCTGAATGTTCTTAAATTTAAGCATTTGAAATTGCTCCAACGGAAATTTTTAACTCTTAATTCCTAAATAATTCACAGCAGACTTAAATTTTAAAGCGAACGACCATCAACACTCCTAATCCCACTTTCAGCCATTTTACAATGAATTGGTATATATATGGAATGATAATATTGGAGAACAAAAACAATACTACCTTTGCGGCTTGAAGAACTGGCCATTCATATTCATCTCCATTAACGGATATCGTCATTTCCTCATCATCTTCTTCTGAGGATATGAGGGCATTGTTAGAAGGCTGTTGAACACCATGGAATGATGCTGAACGCAAAACTGGATTCCCAGGGCTAAAGAACAAATTACAAGAGATTAAAAAATTAAATACGTTTCTTTCGTGGTTAACGCTGCAAACTTAAAGTACAAAAAACCTTGACGAGATACAAGTCAGTGAAATCGTAGGATAACGATTAGTCTCAAAAGAACCATGATTGGTAAGCAAAACCATAAAGGAATACAAGGGTCACTTGCAAAGTCTTGTGCATTTTAGTCTCCATCAAAAATCGTTTTCTCTGTTTGAATGGAGATCGAAAATTAAAACTGTCCAGAAAGCCAAAAAACGAAATTCCCTCATGATATGACTGAAAAAAGTAAAAATGTTGTGTTAAGCGAGTCCTCTTTCCTATGATTTGCAAGATATATTCTGCCAAATTAAATACCTACATTTTCTGGATCACTGAAAACTCTTGTACTGACTAAATTAGATCATTCATACTATACACATAAAATAAATCATTAATAACATAAATAAATGATAACCTCTTAGGAGTGGGCTCCACGCTTGTCACAGATTGGGACATAATATCCGTTGATTGCTTCTTAGCAGCAACTTGCTTCAATCGTCCCTCAGCTGCAGCTTTCATTGGATCATAGCTTTTGCGTCGTTTCCAGTTTTGGAACTCCACTTCCTTCAGAGAGAGAGTGGAATTGCTGCGGCCATTCGTTGTTGGTGTAAAATTTTTCTTCTTGACAGGGTTACTTTTATTGACAACATTTTTGGGGGTGGAGACAGCAGGACTCTGGTCAACAGGAGAGGAAAATAATTCGTATTACTGAGACAGAACTAAAATAAAATTAAATAACTTTTGGCCACTAAACTTACATGTAGGTCCTACAGAGAAGTGAGCGTGAAAAAGCGCAAGAAATGTCCATTTACGTAATCCATGGATCACAGCAAATTTTAGGTAAATCTTGGACTGTAAGGTATTTTGTAGAAGAGATGTCCTTTATTCCCTGCTCATAACTTTAAAAAAAAAAAAAAAAAAGAAGCAAAATTGGACACTCTGTAGAGGGCAAATTGGAAACACTGTGAAGAAAATATGTGCGTCAAGCATCATTACAACCCTTCCCCTTCTTGCCCCATCACTGCCGAACACCTGTGCTTTTTGGGCTGCATTTAGAGTGAGATGATCAAATTTAATCATCTTTCCTGAGGATTTACAATTTTATGAAAACTCATAGTACCTCTTAGGGTTGCCACAGAGTTTAGAAAATTAAATTTCCTGACATTTTCCTGATTTCTTGGACACATTTTAGTAAAATTCTCTGACATTTGATGGTTAAAAATACATAATTAGAAATATTTTTCAGGCAAAATTTGTTAATTGAAACATCAAACCCATTCAAGAAATCAAATTATGGTGACTTAACAATTTTTCCCCGACACTTTCATCAAATTCCCTAACATTCCCAAGTTTACACTGACTTCTCAAAATTCCCGGACATTTCCCCGTTTTCCTGGTATTCACTGACTGTAACAACCCTGACCTTTACTAAGTGTTTCCCATCTTTAACAAAATCTTTAATTAAAAAGACATAATTTGTACAAGTTTAAGGGTAAGTAGACTTCATATCATGAAGCCACCTGTGCAAATTGTTCTTTGATGTCTAGATCCCAAAAAGGTAGAGTTAAATACAAGGAGTGGACAGACCGGGGGAAAGGAGGCGTGCACATTGAAATTGAAAATTCAAGGCCAATAAAAAGTGAGGAGCTGCCAAGTTAGCCAGTGAAAAGAGACATGACCTTGGAGAAGACCACTGCCTCTATTAATAAGCCGCTCTACATCTTTGAGGTTTGAGTATCTATATTTATCATCTTAATTTATAGGGGTTTTGGAGCGGGAAGATCTATTTTTAAAATCAAATGAGGGAAACATCATGGAGTTTAACCTTAGTAGACCACAGTCATTACCTATTGAATTTAAGCTTTACAAATATATTTTCCAGCTAAAGTCGACCGAATTGTACTTTCTTCACCACGTTTTTGTAAAAAGAGTAATTATGGTGAAAGGGCACAAGTGCTTCAAACTCAACAAAAAGCATCGTGTTGGAAGAGAGCCATTTTTCTCCTCCTACCATTAAAATCTGACATTTTCTGGAAATTTGTAATTGTCTAGTTCGGAATTCACGACATTATTTGCAGTTTTGAACCCCACATCCCACTTCAACAATATGTGATTTTGAGCCACACATAATACAGGGTGTCTTGGTTTGAAAGACCCGACTGGAACGGCATTATGGGTTAAGCTAAGAATTTTTTCTTCTAAAATTTTTTCTAAAAGGATCCCAGCTTAGGACTAAGGCTTCCCTTGTTTTGAAGAAATAATCATTTTTTTCCCTGAATTTCAGGAATCACTAAGGAACACAGCTCATAAATTATTACTAATCCACACAATTATTGCAGCTAGCTTCATACATGGTCTTTAAAATATCAGAGCCTCAAGATCAAGGGGGATTATAGGGGATTTCAGAGTAAAAATTTGGTTTCTAGGCAAAAAAATTTCAGAGCACCATTGCACTGGGCATACAGGAATTTTTATGAGTGATAATTAGCATTGATTCTCTCTGCAGCTTAGTTTTTAAGAAATTTGATAGAGAGGCCGAAAATCCAATTTTTTACCTTACAGGATCTAAGATCCTCAGAACCCTCTTAAACTCTTGATTCCAATATTTGAGAGGACACAGATAAAATCAGCGCCGAAAATTATGGGATTAACCATTTTTCATGAGTTTTGGTCCATAGACCATCGGTAAAATTCAATTATAAAAATTATATTATCAACAATTTTGGAGGATAGGAACTCCAACTGAAGGCACTTTTCGAAAAAGCTTTGTGTAAAGAAAAATCTTATTTTGAGGCACCAGATCCTAACCTTGTAAAAAAAATGAATTGATTTGTATCAACTTACAGCAGGCTTTGTAGAAGAAGTGCGCATACTGAATCTTCCACAGTCAGTCCTTGAAAAGGTGTTTGCAGGGCGGGCAGATGCAACTTGTCGCAAGTTTGGCGGGAGGATTCCAGGGCTTTTATTGACTTCTATCACACTTTTAGGTTTTGGTTTTGCCACTGGTGAGTGAGGAGGTTTTGGTTTTTCTATGGGTTTATCAAGTCTTCCTTTTCTCAAACTGTGGAAAATGGGGGGAAAAATCAGTAAACTTCGTCATTCAAGGCGGTATAATTTCTCGACCAACCCTGATTTTTTAGATTTTTTCCGTTTGTTCATCTACCCAAAAGAAGCAGAAATCCACGTTTTCAAATTTTTTGGACCTCCCTGTACAGAGCAGGATCTTTCGGTCTTCCGGGAGAACAGGAAGGTCCAAAAACTGAGGAAAAAGGATTTTTGCATCAATTGGATACATGGACAAAAACAAATATTTAAAAAATAATTAACAATGGTCTGGCAACAGTCCCTGGATAACTTCAGATAGAATGGTCTTCACTATGAATACTTAGAGCAACGATAAGTAAGTGCATGAAAACATATCAACCACGGAATCAAAATTTTAACCAGTAATGATTAAAGTAGTGTTCATTTTGATCATTTTATAGTGCTAAGTTAGTCTTGATTACAGAGCAACTGACTGGAGCTGCATATTTCGAATTCATACTTAGAATTCCACGTACAAGATAGACATTTTCTAGTTTGAAAAGAAAGAACTCAAGACGACGCAACAAAGCAAGACCAAGTAAAGACGGGAAAAAAAGATGACTCACCTAAAAGCTCTATTGTATCGAGTCGACTGAGATTTATCTGCAGGTTTATCGGACACAGGCGCTTTTATCTGACTAGACGATTCACTACAACTGCTGTCCGATTGTTCATTTTTGTTTAAAATCTTACCAGAATAATGCTTAGGTGAGGTGTTCTGTACGGTTAAATCTGGATCGGAATCCCCCTCAGAATCTACAGACAGACTGACTCGATTTTCGAGGGCAGATACAATTTCTTGCGTCTCCCTTAAGAAACTCTCAGTCTCAAAGCTACTATCGCTAAAGTCTTCTATTGGCTGACTCGATAATTTTTTACTAATTAATTTTGGACTAAATTTTTGAGGTTTGGCAGCTATGGTACGGTCTAGTTTCAGTAAATTTTGATTTTTCTCAGTTGATAAAGGACGTTTTAAGAGGTGAGACTCAGGTGATGGAATTTTTGTGAACCCGCCGAAGGACTTCCGATGTGGCTGATTTTGAGGGATAACTTTTTGCTGGTTGTGGCGAACAACATTCGAGGCCCAGTCATTGATCCAGCTACTGTCCTCTCTTTTACAGTTGTTGACAATTTTTTCGGTCACTCCAAATACCTGAACAAAAGCAAAATCAGATTAAAATTAAAGGTGAGGTCTTCTGTTGTGTCAAAGGTAACAAAAAAATTTATAAATTAAATAGTAAATTAATATTTAAACATGTAAGCTCCAATTTCGTCAGTAGCTAAAATAAGTTCATCACCCCCCGTAAAGAATGAGATCATTTGCGTCCACACAAGGATATGCTTCAAAAACTCGATACTCCACCCTTAAATTGCGATTAATTAACAGTGCTGTGGCCAAATTTCACCATTTTCACTGAACATCAGATCCATTCAATCCTCAGAAGACGCGGTCATTTCCATGAGGTGGACTGTAAATAGAAATCTGCAGAATCTTCCATGCTTCTGCATTATTGCGAGTCTACTACCGGTATAGCATGTATAGCTCTTCAGATTTTTACAGACCTACCTTGTAATGAAATCCTTTTCATTGAATTTCATTGATGATGATCCCCACCTTCTTTTACTCTTACTTATTTACTGTACTTTAACCGACATACAGAGCAGTCTAAAAGTCCTGCACCACCTTTAAACCCTTTGAGGTTCTTGCCCCTTTCTAAAGGGAGCCCCTTATTTTTTTTTTTTTTTTTTTTTTTTTTTTGGGGGGGGGAGGGGGGGCCAAAAGTTACTTCCTATGACCAAGGAGCATTCACACAATTTTAAGTCTCAATCTCAATTTCTTCAAAAGTTACAGAGGTAATGCCTGGTGCTAGTGGTGCGGGGCTTTAGGATTGCTCTACATGAAAGAGGTGAAAAATGTAGAATCTGTATCTCAGCTTCTCTACATTTCAAAAGTGTTGTGAATCTTTAGGACGAAGTACTAGGATATTTGAGTAGACATGCTAGACAGAGCTGCAAGCCTTGAGAGTGCTTTTCAAAGTACCCATCTGAAAAGTCAATTGTTAATGAAATTTGGATTTTTTGTTTCTGTCAAAACTTTATTTTAGCAGAGAACTTCTAATACTGAGATGGATGGTATCAATCCTTCAGCCCCTTAAATCCTCAACTTACTTTAACTTAAATTACGAGAAGTTGCCAAATTTAATTACCTTGTCAATACTCAAGCGGGCTTTGATTACTTCCTGATCTTCTTTATCTATCGTATACGTTCCAGTTTCACTATGTGAAGATTCAGTATCTGACTGATCCGAATGGTTGATCAGAAAATTGTGCGGTTCATTGGGAGAGACAAGTAGCTTCTCTGTTGGTAAAGAGCTGGGTGATTCCAAATCTTCATCGAATTTTGTTTGACTTTTTTTCATGTCATCCTCTGCATCACTAGAGAAGTATCCTTCGGAATGATTCCCTGCTTTTTTCATCTTACCTCCATCGGCTGGAATGTTGCTGGGATACACATTTGTTAGCGGGAGGGATAGGTTCCTAATATGACGCTTGATAAATTTGTTGGAGCCCAGGTTGTTGCTCTGTTTCTGATTATCAAAATGGACGGTGAACGCCATCGCCTGAGGAACTGAATCTTTGCTTGCACTGTTACTAGTTGGGTCTCCCATGGTGATTAAGTCACCAAGATTCAGAGCTGCCAAAAAAAACACAGATATATTTACTTTACTCGACAGTAGACAATAGAAACAATATAAGAACATAGGTATTTTTTTAAAGTAACAACAAGTAAGAATTGATACCGTCAATTCTCTTAGACCTCACTCAATCATCTTTAAATCATGTAAAATCGGTGTAATCATCTTTTAAATCGGTGTAGAATCATCTTCAATCAGGTAGACAGTCCGACCCTTACCTAGGGAGTCGGAGCCAATATAAAGTTAAAAATTTTCGGGCCAGATTGAAATTTTTGAAGTTGATAAGAATCAAGAGAAATCAGGAAATTAAACAAGAAATACTTATTTACTTGGATTCTTAAAGAAAATCATACGGAATAACTTTGCGCTGAAGGAAGAAGCCCTCTATGCATTGAGAAGTTTCCAAAAACTTGTGAATCCTGGATAAAATGAGGGACACTACATTTTCATGTAACCAGCTAGGATGGATACTTAAGTATTTGAACCTTCAAAGTGTTCTTGAGTCCGGAACGCGGAAGTCAATATTCACAACGTCATAAAATACTCTCCCTCAAAGTTAAGGTCAAGAAACGAAAGTAACATTGTGCAATAAAATATATTAGAACTTTCACTATGGGAAGAGCCTGAGAAACATTGGACGATCGGGATGATGAGCCAAAAAATGTCATGAAAGGAAAACAGATCACAACAGTGAAGCAAACAATTGCAACTTGTCAAAAAAAGCTACTCACGTCACTGATAATGGAGAAGAGGAAGAAAAACGTGATTTGAATGATTATGAATGCCATAAATTGCATGGGTATACAAATCGGCGATGGATTACATTAATGAGTCAATAACTTACCATATTTAGATAAAAATTTCAAGTTCTATCAGAGCTGGTTGATTCGTGTTGTGTCCTTGTCACTTGCCTTGATAACGGATCTCGCACAATTTTCGTCGAACGCATTTCCTGGACGCGATAAGAAAATAAATTTTACTGCGATGATAACAAAGAACTGGCTTAAAAGTTAAGAATAAATATTTGTCACCGCGAAATTAATTCGGATACAAGAGAAAGATACTCAGTTCAGTCTACCATGGAAAGAGGTTAGTCGTTGATTCTTGATTCTTGTTTCGTAGACATTTCCATTTTCTTTTCGGAAGTTTATGGTAGCTACGTCACTCTTGCGATATTTGCGATATCCAACCGCCAACCAGAGACGAAGGTTTACTAGCGGCGCGAAATTTAAAAAAATTGATTGAAATTCTAACTAGAAAGAAAAGAAGTGGTAAATATATTTGAGTGATAGCTAAAGGTTGCTTGAATAATATGACTGCGATTTAAAGTTAATTTTCAAAGATGTAACGACATACCGTATGAATCAATCGAGTCTTTCTCCCTGAAAAATGTTAGATTTTCTCTCCAATATAAAATTAACACCATGTACATATTCGACACATTATTATTTGTGTGCCATTCTGATGAGTAAATATTTAGGAAAAGTGCATCTCCAACATTGAAGAAGCTCAGTTCCATCCTCATCAAAAAGTATTTCATGTGCACAAGTGATTTCACAATGGCAGAAATGGTACCTTAAATTGCCAGTACCTATGTACTCAGGGAAACTAACAGCACATGAGCTGTTTCTGAAATGAGCCAGAAATAAAGTGGTTCGTTATTGCAAAATGTAGTCAAAGTGTGCAACTTCAAGCTGCCAACTCAATTTTCCTGCACTATAGTTCTTGACACATTTTAAGCCTCTTATTATGCATGTGGACTTGAGTGTCAGATGATTTCAGTTACCTTTTCACTTTATTCAGTGTAAAATCAATGTTTAAGAAAGCATTATGAAGAACCTATTCGCACTCACCTAATTGGTTGTATTAGAAAATGAGGTGTAGTGTATTTCAGCTTAGTATAGGAAGCCGCTAATAGGCAGAGCTGAGTAGTAACGAGGTGGCGGCTGTGATCAGTTGGCAATCAGAATTCGATTAGTACAACGTAAATGTGGATTGCATTTTGAAAAAAGGAACCACTAGGATTGCAATGTTGCTAAGATTGTGCAACTTCTTTTGTCTTGGAGGAAAAACCCGATTATCCATCAATAGTTTCTATTTTACTCGCTAAAAACTGTAAATTTAAAACAAAAATTACCATCTAAATTTCATAGTTTTTCACGATTTCCGCAATTTTATTGCAAAAGATGAAGTTGCACAATCTTAGCATCATTGCAATGCTAGTGGTTCCTTTTTGAAAAATGCAATCCATGTAATGTAGGTGCACCATGTTCGAAAAGTATTCGTTATGTATTCGTTTAATAACCGTGTCCTTAAAAGCCATGTTCATGAATAAAGTGTTTCACTATATGTTAAGCCTGAGTTCCTCAATTCAAAGACTTTTCACAAAATCTCATCAGTTTTATACTCTTCATTTTCTCATGTAACATATGTACTGGAAAATAAATTTATAATCGATAATTAATTAAGTGTGTTGTGCTACCTTCTATTCTCCTTATTTCTACCAAAGCCATTTAATGTAAATTACTTTACTAGTCGTTTAGCTACTAACTTACGTTTCATGTCTAGGGTGAAAGGTTGAAAAATTCCTCATTCATTTCCGAGGAATGAAAAAAAGTTTAATGAAAATATGTTAAAACTTTCAGTGGTCCATTAGAGTTAAGATTCACAGCTGAAATTTTCGTTTGAATTCATTGAAGCTAAATATTCTAGGATTGAGGTCTGATATGTTGCTCTTGTGTCATTTGCAAAAGATCTAATGGGAACAGTACAGGTAGTAATTAAGTCCAAAACATTCAAAAGTTAAAAAATGTATGTATTTTATGAATGGATCGATTAAAACAAAACATTTCAGCAGGGCTGTTGCTGGTAAAGGTACACAAATTAAATTAAAAAGATAATTAGTTGCCTCAAAACACGTATGTCCAATGAATAAATAGGAAATTCCTCCATTTGGTAAAAGGCACCTTTCAGGACAAAAATTTACTGCTCTGAGAGGAGTAAGTTGACATCATCATCAATTATAATATTCTGAGTTGTAGGAAAAAGACATGATAGCATTAATGGCACCATTAAATTCCTAATGCGAATTTCGATTAAATTTCAACAATGTGACAAGATCTAGAAACCATCACCTCAACTTCATAAATGTCAATTTGAATGATTGCTACAAAGCTGACAAGAATTGGCCTACATGTTACAATTATGAATTGCAATTTTTAGCACAACCGTAAAAACACTTATGTGCATACTGAAAATAATGGTACATGTGTTATTTCTAAACTGAGCCAGAGACTATAGTTCGTTGTTCAATTAGCCTAACTGCGTTTCTTACAGTACAATTTCTTCTGTTTTGAATTTTTCACAAAAATTGGCAAAAAACCGCCTTAGAACTTCCTGTGAATTTTCTAGATATTAAGAAAAATTCACTAACAAAATTTTTACATAGAATTTTACTTGCAAGGAGAGGGTCAAAAGAGGCCTCTCCTGATTTTGATGCAGTTCGCAAGAATAAACAGCTCAAGCACAGCTGATGAAAGAATGGGACTTTTCAGTTTTTCCTTCGAAAGGTGGATTTGGCAAAATAAGGCCTCATCCTTTACTGTCTTCAGCTAGGTACACTGGTACATCAATATTTGATTCTTTTCTAATTGTTGGAAAATCATTTTCAATAAATATTTAATTTTTTCTGCTTCTTTGCTTTTTTTCCTATTTCATAAACTACAGACCATTTGAAATCAAAACCTAAAGAATGATAATTTGGGCTGTACCATGATTCATTTCCACACCCTTGATAAGTTGACCTGGATTTCCAGAACGTGTCACACATAGTAAGAACTTATAGTACAGAGTTCATTTTTGTGTAGCTATCATCTATTTAGTACATCTATTTCTAAGAATAAAAAAACCATGGACATGAAAAACTTGGACTTGAACTAAAATCATAGCTTCTGCAGGGAACCAGGAGTCAACTCTCTAAGCTTGCTTCCTTAACAGTGTGGCAAATTTTGGGCTGATTAGAAGTGATTAGATGGCTGGAGGATTTTGAGTCAGATGAGTGCAATATTTCATATCGATAAGCTCCGTATTTTCAGCCAATTGTCATTCTTATTGAGTTTTGAAATCGCATTTCTGTTTTCACAAGACTAACATAACTAATTTACTTACAAAATTTGATAAACAAATTCACCATATTAATAGGAGAGTTTTCTTTTAAAGGAAAAATATCGAATTTGACTGAAATGCCAATACCAGTATCGAATAAGATATTTTCCCTTTTAAAAAACCCTGCCTTCATTATGCTGAGGACTTGGTTTATCAAATTTAGTGAGAAAATTCTTCCGTCTCTCAACAGCAGAAATACGACTTCAAAATGCAATGAGAATGACACTCACCTGAAGGAACGGAACTATTTAATGCGATGTATCACACGTCTTCTGACTCACAATTCTTCAACCATCAAATCATCTTAATTTGCCTCTAATGCATACAGTCATAACAATTTACCCAAAAGTATGCAGCTCACTTGCTGTGGAGAGATCAAAAGGACGAAGGCAATGGTGAGCGAACCATATCGGACTCCAAAGCCAATCAGTCATGAGAACAAACTTTCTCTCTACTGTTCAGAGGTCTTCTACATACATAGCTACAGAATCAAAAGATTGAGTTCTTTACCTATTTAAGCATTAGTACAATGGGGCCGGTCATAAAATATAAAGTACTGAAAATCGGATTTTTGACTCCCTCCTTCCCTTAAAACACGCCTGAGACACAGGTCTACACTTCCTAAATAGATTATGTTACGCTCTATTCAACCCCCTCTCCTCTAATTAGCGTTTTGAGATGAATTTTTGATGAAAAATTACCAACTTGCATTGAAATTTCGAAAGATCGGCACTTAGCACCCATTCTACAGTTAAGCCTGAGTGCCCTTTCTCCTCCCATTAATGCATCCATAATGCAGGCTTAGACCGCCTTTCCCCCTGAAGCATTACATAGGTATTATTCAATGAGCAACCATTACTTAAGTATTCGGTTTCAAAAAAATTTGCTCACGTTGAAAGATTTCAAAATTTTGAGTTCTGAAACTGAAAATTCCACTGCAGAGAACTAATAATAGAGAGCTGAAGACTCTGCTTCACTTACAACTAAGCCCGATCTGTAAAATCATTATGTAACCTTGCAAATAGGGCACCTTATTAAACAGAAAAGTATTTTAACTTCATCCCCTTCATAAAAGACAATGCATTATCTTTGAATTGTACAGACAATTTCACTCTTACATGATTGGATCTATTGCCAACAAGATACACTGTCAACTAAGTAGATTTTCAGTGGGTAAAATTGCCTAAATATAATACAGGGTGATCCAAAAGTCCTGCAACCTCCCTCCCCCCTTCACAAGCCTTCTTCCCAAAATTGACATGTTTTATGTGCTCGATTTAATTTTTGTGCAATTTTACCAACAAAAGGGCGACTTAGTTGGCTGTATTTCTAGTGTACAACAGACCCATTGTCATAGAATTATAAAACAATAGAGGACATACATTAAAGTGCACACAATTTTCACAAATGAATTTCTTACAAACAAAAGTTAAAAATTACAGCCTCCTAGAATCAATGAGTTCTAAAAAGCTAAAACGACTAGCAGATTATTCACACGGAGGTATGAACCTTATGAGCGAATTTTTAAGCTTACACCTCCAAAATCTAAACGCTAAAAATTGATTAACTAATTGAATTATCCCAAAAACTAGGAAACATTAAGCACCAAAAAATACACCTAAAAGTTGATCCTTGAAATTATTTGCCAGAGACATGAAACTTTTTAAAGGGGTTTTCATTCATTCGTTTTGCTTCATTTAATTGTTTTTATTATTTTAATCTGATAAAAGTGTCCACGAAATTGAGCAACAACAGAAAAGCTACATCAGTTAGAAAGTTCTTGCACACAAAACTTGGTTCAAAAATTTCTTAAAAAAATTACGGAGGGTTTAGATGACTAAAGAAGAAAATAGATTGAGTCATTCTTCCTATGAAACTGCCCAAAATCAATTATACCGTTATATCTCAGTTCATAAACTAGACCAAAATGTTCATTGGCACAACATCAGAACTCAATGATTTTTTTATAAATGAGAACAAATTTAGAAGAGGCTTATGATGGTAACTTCCAATTAAGGTGAATCTAAGTGATCTAGGTACAAGATCCACCATAATGTTGGATGTCCAAAAACATTACACCTTAGAGGGAATGTGCCATTATAAATTGTTTGCAAATCCTCAAATGGAACTCAAATTGACCTGAAAATCAACCACAAGGGAAGAAATCTACATATTTGTCTGGAGTGACTCTGCGTTTTGACAGTAATTTTGATGGGTAAATTTGTGACACAATGATAGATTTAAAGCTAAATTATTGCTTGATAAGAGTTGATACAATTGAAAAGAGACTAGAACCTTCAGAAAAATTGTTTCTGCAACCGAGGAATAAGAGGGTTCTCCTGGATTGATGAGGGGAGGTCATGTCGTGTCTTACCTTGATTTCGATTAGAGAGAGGTCAAAAGCTCCTTCATTCAAAACTGAGGAACTTCTACTCAGCCATTTTTGCGAGTGAACTGCAGAAGTTCTGAGGAAAAATTTCAAAAGATTGGCGAAAGGGATCAATTGCCAAAGTGGCAAACTAACGCTCTTCACATTTCAGCGTTGCAATAGTCTATTAGCTCAATGCATTGCCCTCTGGAGGTCAAAGGATTGAATCCTGGCATTCTCATGTAATTCTTATTCATTCCTATGATTGTTTTGATTTTTCCTGACTGAAAATGTGACTATTTTTTTTTATATTTATATATGATAAACGATGCTCATCTGTAATGTGGATTATTATTGATCAAATGGTTGTATTTCTGCTAAACAGAACTAGCCCCACTGGAGGAAGAGGGGAGAGGGAGGGTTGGATTGGCGGCTGTTGCAGACCGTTGAGCGCATTCTGTATCATGCTCACAGTGCTCCTCCATAGTGCTTAGTTCCGTTTGACAGAACGCGCTATGCGGGATTCTAAAATCCTCAAATGGAACTCAATTTGGCACTTGGTTTCATTCAGCAGAAATATATCCAAATGAGCACTGTTCAGAATTCCATGTGTTCAGAATAAATGTCCTCCTAATTTTCGTTTGTGTTTCTCTTTAGCACTCTATCACCAGCAGACTTTTGCGTCACTTTGATCCATGGCCTCGGTCACAGATTGCACCAGCAAAAGATCAATTAGATCAAGAAAGAGAGAAAAACAAACACAAAAATGGAGAGGACTCTTTGTTTGAATACTTGAAAGCTGGGCAGTGCTCAGTTGATCAGTAATAATCAATACAATAAATGATCATCATTTCTTATATACAAATTTCAGAAAGGTAGTGTATCTTCCGGAGAACTATTATTCAAGAAAAATTACTTGAGACAGTTAGGAGTCAAATCTTAGACCTCTCAGTCAGAGCATAGCACTTTGAGCCACAACACTATCGAAGCACTAAACACCAGAAGCGCTATTTCGCAATTTCAAATTTTTTAATTTTTTTTTTCTTGGGGGAGGGAAGGGGGTGGATTCTGGGGCTCATTGTTCAAAACAATGAAATTGAGGTGCAGTGGTTTTGTTACAAGAATTTTTTATCCACACTCCGATGAAAAAAACAGGTAGGACACTCCCAGATCTCCCCTAATAAGATATTCTTTGGCCAGAATAAAGTATTGTTATCTTCCTTGAGGCACAAAAAAATCAGCGATAAAAATTACTTGAAAAAGGAAAAAGTAGTAAAAACTTTGTGGCAAAGATACTGGGAACCGTATACTACGTATGTATGTATTATTTACAGCCTGACATTATGTTTATACACTAACTACAATAAGTATTCAATTGCCGTTTAACAGTCAATCAACCTATTACTGAGACAAAAAGATTCTTATTGAAACTGAGGCACGAACATGGTGAGGGGCATGACTATAATGAATTTTTTTAAAATTTCCAGGGATTTTAAATTTTTTAGTTCAAAAACAGCAAGGCTCATATTGAAAATACTATTTTAAAACACCTTTTCACCGAATTAAGAATATTAAGAAATATAAAATCAAAACATTTTTCAAATTCTTAAAAAGAGTACATGCAAATGCTATTGCATAGAAAAATATAGACTAGCAAAGAAAATTTTCGTGACTCACAGCTTCTTGAACAAATTTAATGAAAAAAGATTCGGACAAAACTTGCACTTCTAGCATGAAGATGAAGAGAAAATAGGATTAATTTTTAAAAAGTGTTTCGGAAATGTATGGCAAAGTACTATGGGAATGATGATTACATGTGTGCCAACCAACAAAGGCCTCTTATGTTCTGTAAAGCACGTCCTTTCAGTGGCTGTCACCAATAGCAGACATATAATCCACACTGATCTGTAGTACAACTGAGTTTAGCGGAGAGAAAAGTGATTGATTTCTGGCTGCTATCTTCCAAGAATTCCAGTTAACTTTAAGAATATCTGTAGACTCATCCCATGGATAGGTTAAATCTACATCTTTTTTTTCTTCTTATGCACAGGGAAATTAAACGGATTAATATTTTATCCAACAATATCACAGAAAATTTAACTAAATAGATACGATTAGGAGATTATTGAGAACCTTTCTCAAACCAAACTTAAGATTATGAATCATCATTTCTTAGAACAGGAAAAGAGTTTAACAGCTCAAATTAAAGTTTGATAGGATTATTTAAAACCTTTGTGTAGGAATGAGCTTGTGAACTGAATCGAGTCCGATATAAGAAAAGCCAGATCTTTATCTGGTGCTTAAGACAGAAATACTGAGAAAATCAAGTGTTTTACTTGATGTGTATAGTTACTGGATGACGCATGCATTTTTATTGTGCGCCGTGACACCAGCTCGAGTTAAATCCCGCTCAATCTCATCATCGTCTTCAATTCTGGAATTATACAAAGACCAATCATTAATTGAAAAATTTCTCTAGAAATGAGAGTTTAAAAGTTGGATATTCATACTTCACACATTTACAGGCTGAGCATGGAAAAAGCTCATCCGTCTGCTTTTAGCCTGCGCTCTTATGAATGGTTTTTTCATAGAGTGCATAGCCGTAATTTAAGTGGGAGAGCTGGCGCCACTTTTAAGTAATTTTCAGGTCCTAAATTATGTGACGCCAGGTCACTTTTTCAATACACAGATACCCGTCCATCAAGCCAATATATACAAAGAAAATGGGAATTACCATGTATTCCACACCGCCATTTTGGATCGAACATGTATCGAAAAAGTGATCCACGCTCGGCGCACACCCGGCTCGGAACTCGTCGAGCAGAACATAGAGCCAGCTCTCCCATTTACATTACGACTCTACTATATGGTTTTTGAAAAAAAAACTTCCGACTACAAAATTTTGATTTTGCAAAATTTCAAAACTTCAAACCAAAGAAACTTCCAGAAAGGAAGTTAAGCCTCTAGAACCGATGAGGGTTCCTTTTTGTTGCTACCACCTGCCAAAGATGATATCAATATTTCACGGTGCCCTTAAACTTTCCTGTAATTTTGAATAACAAGCTTAAAAAACCCAGTAACGTTAGTCAGTCATTGATGAAACAATAGTTGAAGACTTATCATCAATAACGTGCTAAGTGCCAAAAAATGGAAAACGGAGTTAGCACTGGAAATGCATGCTATGTGCCATTGACAACATAGGGTAAAGCGTAATAAGTGCCATTGCACTTCGTTGCAAATCGTTGCAATGACACTTAGCACGCTTTACCCTATGTTGTCAATGGCACATAGCATGCATTTCCAGTGCTAACTCCGTTTTCCATTTTTTGGCACTTAGCATGTTATTGATGATAAGTCTTCAGTTAGTAGCTCTCAGTATATTTTTATGAAATTTTAACATTTGAAGTAAAATTCATTTTGGATCCGAAGCCAAAATATGGTAAATAAAAAGTTTAAATTCACATTTGGACATGCATTTATTTTTGTGCGGTACTACATAGACATCTGGATTTCCACAGTAAATGAATGTTTTGTATTTCTAAAAACACTCTTATTCCTGTATAATCATGAGTAGAAGAATTTTTTGTTGATTTTCCAAAGAATATAAATCGCACAAGCTTCCGATGGGGAAAAATTACAAAACTTTGTCTTGGAGCACTTCACAACTACAAAATATCTGCTGCTTCACCAGCCGCGAAGAAGCAACAGCAAAACTGTCGTAAAACTCTTAAATCATGTACCTTGTTTGAGGTGTTTAAAAATGTCCGCTTCTATTCCATGTTTTTAAAGACAAGATGCTCAACATTGTCTCTTAAAACTGTTTTAGAATTTGCTTCTGACAGACGAGTCAAATCAGGGAAGTTTTTAAGAATTTACACTGAATAGTTTTCCATTTAAAAAACAGGGTATGACAGGAAGTCTGCAACGTCACAAACCAAGGCACATGGTTTGGGAGTTTCACCATTAAACAGTATTGCTGTAACAAATGCGGCAAAGTCTCTTGCTATTATTTGCTGGGATAGCAGCCGATAATTTAGATGCTCTGTATTGTAGGTAAGTAAAGGTAAGAATCTTGGAAGCGATTTATTTTTCTTATGAAACTTCTTTTGAGACCAGCAGGTTACTCAATATTAATATTAAAATCTTTATTTGATACCATTCACAGAAAATATACCCTCAAATGAGGAAAGTTTGATTTGAAGAATATGAATTTAATTAGGGCTACTTACGCTTTTTCCTGTGAATCTAAATGGTGAACGAGCTCATCTCGTTTGTTGACAATGTTAATTAGCTCTGCTAGTAGTAAGTTTTCTCGCACTTTCTGTTCTTCAGTCTTCTGCCAATCTATTGAGGAAAAATTGATGAGAAATAATTAAAATTGTAAAATAACAAGAACCATACAGTATCTCAGGGTTTGATAAAGTTCCCTGCTTTCCACAACTACACGTGAGCCGAAAAAAAGCTTCCACAATACTTTTAGTGGTCAGGTTTTTTGGTGGGAAGAAAATTTAGAAATGGAAGTAAGAAGGGTTTTATCAACGCTTATTTAACTTAGTTCTGAGATTAAGAGAAAGGGCATTGAGCATCTGGATAGTACTGAACATTATGTTTTTTTAACTTTTGTTTTGCTGTGCTTAGTTATCATTTTCGATAGAAATTGATGACAAAAGTTCACAACAATGTATATCCGTCATGGTGTTTCAACATTTCCACTCCTATTTCATTTTTCCAGAGAGAAACAAGCTAAATTTATAGCTTGAAGTTTATACAAAATACGATGCCAGCACAATGTAAAGGCATATGTCACATCTGAAAAAATTGATTATCAGGCTGTACTTTTAGTATTCGGATATGTGTAGGTATGTTTGAGTGTAAATATATAAATGAAAGGTGCTGAATATGTACCTTCAATTGCAAGGATACTCCTAAGTTCACGATTGAGCAATTCAAACCTCCTTTCAAGATCATCTTCTTTTTCTCTGAAAACAAACATTTAAACAATTTGGTGAAAAATCTATACTTATTTTCAAAAAGACAAAAATAGAGATGTAGACGGATTTCATTCCACATGCCAGTTGGTGCTTGTTTCAACTCCAAAGCTTGAATATATTCTTTTTTGAAATTAATGAAGAAATTATAATACTCACAAAATATTCAACTGCATTTGTCTACGAAGCAGAGCATTTTTCTTGTTGACTAATGTGAACCATTGCGCCATTAGCCGCTCTTCTCGATCCCGCTCATTTCCTGCAAAGAAAAAAGTAATGTTCTTAAAACTAAGACAGAACTTGATATTAAAATGGGCATTCATGAAACAATGTAAAAGCAATGTAAACACAGAGAATTTAAAAAAGAAAAAGAAATTGTAAACAGCAGTTTTACAGTTCGATTATTTTGGATGAAAAAACTTTAAAAACTCAAACAACTGCTGTCTAAAAATTAACCTGTTGTTATTAATTGTAAGCAGTTTTATTTTATTAGTTAACTTCATTTTACAATGAGAATGCTTGGATACAACAAGAACCAAAAAAATAGATAATTTGAGGCATTTCTTAGAATTAGCTTGGCCACAGACTTAAAACCTCACTCAACATTTTATTAGGCAGATTTTGATATTTTCCGGAGACAAAAATGTTATTACATAAAAATGGTACATTAAGCATTTAAAGGACCTAACTCTGAGTGATATATAAAGCAAAATATATCTAAAAGTTGGATCTGAATTATCCCTTAGAGATTCTCATGGCTCTGAAATGTAACAAAATTATAAAATGAAGAAATAACGTAGCAGCTACTTCAGACTTACCTTTACCCATAACAGTTCTAAGTTCCTTTTCTAACACAGCAGCTTGCTCATCTATTTGCATCTGCTCTCTTTCCAATGCTACTAATTCATTTTCCAGATAATTAACTCCCTGATCAGGTGTCTGTAAAATATAATAATAATTACCTCATTATTTGAACAGGCTAAAAGGAGACCTCAGAACATATTTTTTACTTTGTATGATTAAAATAAAGGCCATTGCCAAGTCTACTAATCTTGAAGCTTGACTCCACATAAAAAAATGCATCAATAAATGAAAACTTCAAAAAAAAACAGGAGGAGGGATAAATTGTACTTCAACTGTTATAAAAGATTAAATGAACTCAGATACTTTTTTAAGAATTGTCACAAGATGTGTGCAAAATCCTATCACCACTTTAAATTGAGAAACGATCTGGTGAAATTACATGTAAGCAGGATTACTATTTTTTGACTTATACAGGGTGTCTACGAAAACAGACTAACCAGAAATCAGTACTTCTTTGGTACTTTTTCAGTCCCTCCAATTGACGAAATTCGAAAAATTTCAATTTCTTGCTCAACTTGCGACAAAAATGACAATAAATGAAAAAAATTCCAAGCCTTTTTGCGGAATTTCCACACTTTTTCAGTATTTCCGGACAGCCCTTAAAAAATCAGTACTATTTCCGGACTTTTCGGAAATTCCGGACTTATAGACACCCTGCTTGAAGAATGAATATGCTTAAAGAGGTAAATCTGCTTTAGATATTACAGGAAAAAAAGAGGAGTGATTCTCGCTGCTGAATTTATGGTCCGTAAATAATTGCTTCAGCTTTCACAACTGCTTTACTTCCGTTGCTACGGGCCCCAAAGTCAAAAAATGAATTCAAAATTTCACTATTCTTGCAAAATTTACGAAATGACTAACTCTTTATGTCAAAACATTGATATCTCAATTAGTTTTAAAAAATATCTCAGGATGATCAATCAAGAGACTCCTGAGTAGAAAACATTGACTATCTGAAGAGCATTTTATACTGTCTAATCCAAATTACACTAAAAAAGTGATAGCAAGAGGGTTTACCTAGGAATGGAAGGTTGAAGTGTGTTTAAAGAGCCAAAATCCCGAAACGCAGTAGACAGTAGGAATACTTCCGCAAATCCATCTTCAAAAGAGAGGTACCAATAAGGGCCGTTTTTGGACACGCCCTCAATTTCCTTATCTCTGCAATTTTTTGCTCATCGCAGGTCTATATTTGACGAAAGGCATCATGATTTGGTCATTTTCCGTCTCTTCTTGGGTTTAGTACTGGCCTGGACATGAGTTGGAAGGCCAATTTTGGCAAGAAATGCAAATTTAGCGGATTTGAGGCCGAATGCTGAAAAATCCGATTTTTCCCGCCAAAATCGTCCTTAAGACTTATGTTGAGGCTGGTGTTGGATCCAAAAATGACCAACTCATGATGCATTCCATAAAATGTAGACCTTCAATGAGCAAAAAACCGTTGAATTGAGGAAATTCATCTGAGGTGGGCCTAAAAACGGCCCTTGTCAGTACCCCTATTTTATTCATTTTTTGGCCTAAGAAATTATTTTGATTGAAAATCCTCTAACTTCCATCAGAGGAGGGAAAGAGGATCTAGAAATCTGATTTACAGTGAGACATGATTCATGAATGACTCCTGTTCCACTATTTCTTGACTGGATGTTAGTGGCAGCCGATATCAACAATGTCACCACTTTAAAATAAAGGGCAATATTTTGCCATTTTTTTTACTACATGAATCTCTCACAATACTAACCAATTTTGAAGGTTTGTGCTCAGGAGAAATCCGCTCGATGAGTGACGTAAAGGACTGGAGAGGTGGATTCTTCACTGTCTCAATGTCTCCTTCTCCACTGGCTTCACTTGCCCCTGAATTTGTAACATCCCATGAATGTACATTTCCATTCTGTTCAGTCTGGAAAAAAGAAAATTTTTTAAAATTTTAAATTTCTTAAAAACTCCCCCGGTTTTAATCTCCGTTACCAGAATATTCTGTGTAAATTTTAAATTTATAAAGATACCATGTTTTCCTCTGAAATAACAACATATTAGCAGAAATTTTGAAATACCATAATGGGGGGGGGGGGGGCGGTGTGTTTTAAAGATCCTTGCTTTTACTGCTCTTTTTTCTTATTTTTTCTTTAACTTGCACACATTTTTGACTCTGCAAAGTAACTTGCACACATTTTTGACTCTGCAAAGGACAGCATTTTTTTCCGTCAGTCGGTTAAATTGGAAATTCTTTCAACGTCTAACATAAATAGTTTTCTTGGTGCTCCTTAGGATCTTCAATATTCAGCAACAAAAACATAATGAGAGCTATGATATTCACTTGAGAGAAAAAGCTTGGTTTTGGCTTTGAACAGCAAAAAGGAAATTCTGATTTGGAGAGTTGAATGTAGGATGAAAAAGAGATGAGCAGTAATGAACCAAAACAAGAGGACTCAAACTGTTGGAACTGGATTGTGGGGGCTATGTTAAGAAATTGCAAATACCCATGGCTAATTATTAAGGTTCATCGAATAAATCCTGTATACCGGTACCTTTTCACAGGAAATCCTTAAATTTTCTGTTCTTTCGAGCTAGCAAGATCCAGTGAATATGTACTTTCTCCTCACAAGACACACCCTTTGAATGTACCTTGAGAATCAATGACTTGGAAAAGATAAATAATGGAAAAGATATGTATTAAATTACCTTGTTATTATTTTCACTGAGACCATCCTTAACAGGAATTGTGGTAGAGAGAGGATTATTTTGAATATCCACTGAATTAGAAGGTGATTTCTCATTTACTGAAACAAAGAAAAATGTAATTGCATAATTTCAAAAAACTTTTAGAACAATTTTTACGATGCTTAAACAGCTTGATCAAGACAAAGTTGAAGACACACTTTACAAGTATCAAAGAAAACTTTACCATTTTTCCTTAAAAAATGAAGACACCCTGAGAAAAACCAAAGGACAGAGATGGAGGACACTCTTTGAAATAAAAGATTACAAAATTGTAAAACTGAGTTAAAATAAAAACAGTAATTTTCTTATCCTGAAGCTGACTTTCATTTTTGAAACCCTGACAAACCTGTATAGGAGAGACAAGTTAAAACCTGTTATTTCAACCTCCAAAATAAATAAAGGGAAGTTAAAGAGGGTTCAAGGTTTAAACCATCCGCAAGAGGAATGGAACAACTGACCACAATGGGCCAGGGATTTTGCTGGGTGAACAGCCTATCTTTTCTGTCAGAAGGGGGGGGGGTGTGTGAAAATATTCATATTTTCCAGTCATTTTGATGCATGGGCGGTGATCAAAACTCTGGTTTTAAGGCTTCTACTACTTAAAAATATGAATATTTTTCAGTACCAGAGTTTTGATTATCTTTCATTCATCAAAATATTAATACAACACATTTTTTTTTGATCTTCAAAAATTCTTAAAATCCAAGCTTTATACACTAAAAAAAGCGAAAAAATAAATACATACTTGACTTACTTGACGACAATGAACCTGGTGTAGTTACAACTCCTCGTCTGGCCTCTGCGATTAATCTCCGAGCCCTCTCGCGAAGTAATCGTTGCTTTTCTTCTTCCTGGAATACAAGAACATTATTATAACATTCAGAATGGATGGATGCACAACTACATAGTAAGAGAGAAATCAATTCTTTTAATTATTTATACAATGAGAAAGAAATTAATAATTTTTAATCCAAATACATGGCAATTATTTTGGTGTAGTCCCTAAGCAGTAGATCATGAAAATCACTTATTTAGCATACAAAGCGAGCCAATTGCCAAAACAGTAGGTTGATGCACAAAAACCCATGAACAGAGCCTCTGAACATGAGGGCAAATGAGGTACACCTGAACAGGTAGTAAAATGAAAATAAGAAGTGAGGGTGGGGAAGGAATAATATCATTTAATTTCATCCAAAAATTATGAGATACTGTTAATTCATCTTGGATAATTCTATGCAAAAGAGAAAAAACAATTCTTAATAAATTCCAATGGGTAAAAAAAATAAAACAATAAGGGAGGGAAATTACCTGGACCGGAGACTGAGGCAAAGAACGTTTGGCGGCCTCCTTGCGTGCAGTTTTCAGCAATTTTCGAGCTCTTTCTCGTAATTCATCATTGCGGTTAAGTAAGAGCTATCAAGTCAAAAAAAATTCAAAATCATGCAGCAAAAATATATATAAAAACCAAGGATGCGGTGAATTGTGTTAGAAAAATGTCAGAAAAATTCAAAGATACAATTAAGTTGACTAAATTCATCATTAAAAAACCTTTGACTCTGAAGTAAATCTCATTTCTGACCAGACTTTCTCTTTCCGATGAAGAAGCTCTCTCTTACAATGTAAATGAGTAAGCAAATACTTGGTACAAAAATCAACTCCCCTAACGGACAGGGAAACTCATGGCAAGCATATGTACACAACATTATAGTGGTCAAAGTGTTAGATCACTTAGGTATGTTGAAGTGTTAGATTAATTATATTTTTAGTACAAAATAATTTACACTCCTTTTTAAATATTTTCGAATCATTACTTTTGTAATAGGATCCAGTCCTAGAAATCTAAACGAAATTCACACTCAATATTAAGTAATAGGCAGATGTATTTCGCTTCAAGAGAGCAGCAGGGCAATGTAAATGATACTGTCACATACATTTCCAACAAGACAAAAAAAATGTATTCTTACTTGTTGCTGTTTTGTAAGATGCTCATTCACTGGAGTGCCTGCCAGATTTGTGACTGATGACTGACTATTAAGCCTGATAGAGCCCTGAGAAAAATAATAAGACACCTTTACATTCACTTATCCAATACAAGGAGGATATTCAAGGAATTAATAGAATTCACACTTAAGTAGAATTTCTGAATATCACATTACAAGGAACTTAGTTTGAACTATGACCTTTCCTCATCAAATTTCTACAGATTTAAAAAATAAAATACTGAAAAAAAGCAGTTCCATTCAACAACATTTCACTGAATGAATTCATCCAATGCTGTAATGAGGCTGTGATGAATAAGAAAAACTGCAAATCTAACCTCAAAATTACAAAAATTGCTAAGTTTCACCTTTAAACTGTAAAATCTTCAGTTTACAGATAAGTAGTATTGCTCCTTAGCCAATGATATGCAATGAATCAACACTGACTATGGTAACGATTCTGACTAAAAAAGAGCAAACTGCCAGCTGCAAATATGAACAGTGTAAGAATTTAAAAAAGAAAAAATTATTTCAAGGCCATAATGTGGCGTATTTTATGTAAAAATAAAAAATATATGCACAATGAAAAAAAAATACATTTTTGCTGCTTTAAATTAGTAAACATTCAAAAAGTGTTTAATTACAAATTACATGTACTTAAAAGATTTATGGTCAGAATAAAAAATTCAAGCCTGAATGGGTTGTTTTTTGGCAAAAATAAAACAGTTTTAAACGCCTTGCCTACAAGTTGAGGGGAAGGAATAATTTTACTTTTAGTTGAAAAAATTCCAGAAGGAAAATAGACTTACACTATCTTGAGATTGAGACCTGATTAAGTGCACACTCCCTTTGCTCTTGAAACTTTCATCTTCCTCATCAGAGCCAAAAGGATCTGTTAATTGCCTTCGAGTCATGAGCATCTGCTTTTGTGGTTGTGATTTCATTTGCTGGGGTAAAAAAATAATCACATTTCATCAAATACAATTATTAACAATTAAGAGTAAAAGGAAAGATGCAGGCGCATTCGGTTTTGCGCAAAGAGTGAAAGCTTTGATTTTGCTTTACTGAAGGACTAAGGTAAACATTGTTTGTGATATTTTCAATTAATCCTTTGACCCATTGACTTCTTAATTCCAGCTAAAATACGCAAAAATTAGTAGCTTTAAGCAATTCAAAATAATCTTTAAACTCATTCTTTGGAGTTGAAAATCTTTATATCATGCATTCATAATAGGGTCCATGATAGGGTTCTTTCAAGGATCTTTGCTTCTAAAATGTACAAGAAATGGTGGTTTCTAACTGCAAAATCAGTACTTTAGAAACTCAATTCTTAGCTCTTAAAACACTCTCTCCTCTGTCCATCAATCCATGTGATAGAAACTAGGAACAATGATACAGCAAGAAATCACAACATACTTTGTCCTTAACTTGGTTGAACTTGTCCTTGGTGGGCGAGAGTACTTTCCCGAGGATTGTTTTAGAGCTCGACAATATTTTATCAGTGACATCTTTCACGGATGCAGGGGACCGCTGATTATTATCTAAATCTGGTCGGTCGATGGAATTGCTGCCCAACTGCAGTTTTAGTTTTTGCCGATTTTCTTTTGTATTTTCATTCATCAGATCTGGCCTATCCTTGTGCCTGCAATATAAGTCACTTACATGTAAATATAATCCAATGTAAACTTACATTACCACAACACAGAACTAACCTTACTTTGGATGCAATATCAAAAATTTAAATCAAGGCAAGCGCTACTGCTCCTGCTGCCATCTTGCACCCATGATTCGTATGTTTGTGGAAATTTTCGCGGAAAGATTCTATTCAAACATGTTATGGACGCTCCTACAAAGGCGAGCATTTGGTCTTCAAAGGGATGATTTTTTTACGTGATTTTATCATGACTATTGTTATTCTTTTATACACATAAAAAAACTGTAGGAAACAACTGCTTGCAATTCGAATTGAATCAGACTCATCTAACTTTCTGAAATGTTCTCACATAAAAGAACTACACTTATACTCACTCTTTGATGGTCTTCTTGTCAGCATTATGTTTTTTCAGGTTAATAATTTCCTGTTCGAATAACTGGACAGAAATACCGGTATCAGTATCCGTGTCAAATCGTCCAATCATGTAAGAGGATTCATCAGTGGTTTTTCCGATTTGCTGAACTTCTAATTCATGGCCTGAAAATAAATGAGAAAAAAATTCAGTAAAGGAACTCATCATTTCAAGAACATAAGAAAAAACTATGGTAAAACCTCTGCGCATAGAAACTCCCTCCCTCATAAAAATAAATCATCTTCCAAAAATTAACAGGACACTTTTGTCCTTGGGGGACGATTTCATCCTCAGAGGACAATGTATCTTTAATAGGACTATGACCGGACTTTCTTTTCAAGGTCTCCACATGCGGTATAGAGTTTATATATGCATATTTACAGCCGGACACTCTTATGGCCAAATGTAGACACTAAAACCAGCAAAATTTGAGACCCCAAATCTCCACTGAACAGACAAAATCCACCAAACAAAATGATAAAGATGGTATCTAGATTGTTAGATTGGCGTTCATACAATATGTGGGTGATAAAGAACTGATATAACTGGCTTTGCGCTTATGAGGGCATGTGGTAATTAGTGTTTTTGTTGAAACTATAACTTAACTGAAAATTTCTCATTGCATTGTAGCAAAAGGTTCACTTACCAGTGAAATGAGCTCTTAATTGGTATAGATAGGTCATAATGGCAAGCTTGTCTGGCACGCGTAATAAATCCATATCACTAGGATCAATGACTCGAGGGATGCCCAATTTTTCACCGGCTTCAAATGCTTTCTTGCAGTTTGATCGAAAGTCTTGAGAAGATAAGCGATCAATATCCCTGGAACAAGAAATATTATGGAGATTAATTTTTTTTTTTCAAAATTTCATTCACAGTGACACAAAAAGTGACCAAAGTAAATTTGAGTTTGTTTGATGCTGATCAGCTTGTAGAGAATGAAAAGCAAGAAAATAGCAAATATTCTATTATTCTCTGGCTCGGCTGCATTAGTCTTAGAATCAAGTTTTGATAGTTTCAGCAAACGTTAATGAAATCTGTCCAAATACCAAGACATCCGATATTATTGTAAAAACCAAATTTTATCAACCAAAATATTCACGAGAATGATTTTTTAGAGTAACTTATTTCTTTACTGATGAATTTTTAGTTGGACATACAAAGTAGGACCTCACAACACTTACTCTATCAAATCAGGTCTAAAATGATGGATAATAGCACAAAATGCAAGACCATTTCTCCAAGATGTTGTTAGATTAGTGACCTTGACACCAGGGTATGATTGCGTAACTTCTTTGCACCATTCGAGCAAATCTTGTCCAGGAGTGCTTTCCTCTTGTTTTGAATTGTTGCTCTGAAAAATTAGAAAATAAATATCAACTGCAAATTGCTGACCCACAATAAAGTTAAAAAAGAATTAATATCTTCTAGTTACTCCTACATAACCGTGATAACGCTGTGTATTGCGTGCACCTAAATAAAATACATGATATTTGCCCGGGAAGCGGCAGCAACTGACTCGGAAATTATCAAAGAAACTCAAGCACTGAAAATGAAAATGCAAGAAAAGCAGTACAAATTGTACGTATCAGTCAGTATCTTGTTATCTTGTCAGTAAATTTTAGATTAAAAAATGATGTGATTCTTCGATTAAATGCTTTAACATTTTGGAGCTATAAGATTCGGAACGGGTAAATTTTAACTTTATTTGTGGCGACAGTTTCGCACATGATTCCACTAAATTACACTCTTAAGGCATATCTTAAAATACAATCAATCCCTTGAACAATTATGTTTTGTTTCAAAACTGTCAATGTAGAAAGGCTCTGCTTGTGTTTATGCATTTAACTGCAATGTTGCTTTTTCAATTCCAATTACAGAATTTTGAACCCGAGTTCTGAAGATCTTTTTTTTTCTACCCGAGTTCCGAAGATCTTTTTTTTCTATCTTTTACCTTCTTCAGATTGAGAGGCTGCAGATTTAATCTGACATTTTGCTGCCCATCATTTTCGTTTGATCTGCAAAAAGTAAACAAAAAAATTAATTAGAGTTAGAATTGAGTGGCTTATTGAGGCTTAGTTTACATTCAAATTTATGCTCCGAGGCATTTAGGCAAAAATTCACTCCTCCATAATAGAGTTTTACCATGCAATAAAGATTTCTGATTTAATAATCTATCCCTATGTAAGACACAATGGTGACACTGGTTCAGTCTGAAGCTTGATTCTTCATGATAAAAACATAACCATCCATTATGGAAATAATTTCAGGACAATAAAAAATAGGAATGACATAACCTCTTTCAATCTTTTCAATGGGAATAAATCGATATATATTATATATTGCTTTTAGATGACATAACAATAATACATGGAGTACTTTTATACCTGAGGTAATCATTTGTAAATTATAAATCATGTTTTTGGGCTCTGAAAAGAGACGAAAAGTATGTATAGTTTTTACATGAGCTCTGGGCTTGTGCAGTGAGAAAATAAACTTGGTTCTATTGACTTTCTTTGTGAAACTTTTAACTTAAGGACTCCTTTGACTTACTTGAACAATTCACCGCTGTGTTCCGTGGAATTACAACTATTTTTAGAGAATCTGCTTTCTGCGCCTTCCGCAGTTTTTGTTTCTTTGTCTTCTACCTCAGGGAAGTGATGACCATCTCCAATCAGTGGATTTTCATCTTTGTTTGATGTGATGCTTGTGACTGGAAAGTTAACAAAAATAATTAATAAAGAGAGATCTTTGAACACACCAAAGGCTATGCCCAGCTGCAATCATGTAAAACAGGGAAAAAGTAAGATAAGAATAGAAAAAAACGGCGCTCCGCGCTGTTTTATTAGGGGGACTCCACCCCCCTGACGCGCGCGTTTTAAACTTTGAGTGTCCGGCCTCAGTTGTTCTGTCTTTTTTAAAGCGACCCGCGCGTCCCCCACGGGAGGAGTATAATTTCTGAAAGGGGAGGGATCAATCTTTTGAGGTTATTTTTGCGTTTACACTGTTGGAGGAATTGATTATTTGAAGGAATTCATGTCGCCGGATTGCAATTAAAATCCCTCATGTAATGTCAGATATGAAAAAATTTCAATAAATGATGTGGCAAGTTTGAATGGCGATGGCTCAATCTCCGTGACTCACTGTGCGACAACATTGCCGCCGTGTTCACCAATTTTCAGTTTGTGACCCACTATGCGACAAAACTTCCACTTAGATTTTTTTCTTTTATTTGAGACCTCACTTAAAATGTCCTCAATCCGACTCTACAACAAATGCATACAATTTAGCTACCTACTTGACATCATTACAACTTCAGCAATGTGACCAATGTGTACTAAATCTACAATGATAAAACTAATGAAAAATTAAAATAATAATAATAAAGTAAATGAATACCGCTCATGGGACTGGTAGCACAGTCTGAACTGCTTAAACTATTTGTTAGCTGGTCTAGTTGAGTTGTGATCTGTGAGATTTCACGCAAACTGCTGAGCGAATCGTCTGTGAACAAACAAGAGTTCAAAACTTCATGATAAAAACTGCTTTTGTCTAAAGAATAATATCAGAAAACGAAAAAATTAAATTAGAAAATTTTCCCTTCCTTGCTGACTGTTCTGATTACGGCTGGCTCAGTGACAACAAAGAGTGATTTGAAGAGACTTTCAGAGTCCACTTTTTTTCCTGCAAAATAGGGGATTTCAATGAAATTCAAAAGACATTGAAGACTTTTGACAGATTGGCAGATTAAAACAAAAGGAAAAAATGACTGGGTTCTGTGGCACTTCCAACATTCATGGAATGGTGAGGGGTATGATTTCATTTCTGGTAGAAATTTTTGCAAAAACTTTTTGGTGCACACAGGTTAGAGGAATTTTGCTAGCTGGCAAAGACTACCTTTTCATGAATTTGAAAAAAAAGACAGCTTTGTGGTCGCTTATGATACTGAAAATGAAAGCAATTCGAAAAAAATCTTTCCCTGTGGAACTTTAGCTTAAAACTAGCAGGTAACTATAGTCTGTTCGAGATGGGAAGAACCGTGGAAAGTCGGAATAATTAGCACTATTTTGCAGGGTGGGGGTGTCTCAACCCTTGTCAACTGTCACTTTTCGATGTTTCGCGCACGCTGCAGCCACCGCGCAGGAGGCTATGGGCCTCGAAGCGGTGGTATTCCCCAGGATACGAACCTGGAGCCGCAAATTCCTGTGCTAGGCGCCAAGCGGCAAGCGACTCATGAGGAGTCAGCCCTCTGTGCGGTGCGCCACGGTCCAGGGTTGGTTCGGTGCTTCATCGCGGACAATGGCTCGAATGCTACCCTTGCTTCTACATAGTGCAATTAATTCCAACTTTCCACGGTTCTTCCCATCTCGAACAGACTATAATCAATCTCTGCAAGGCTTGATTGACTCAGTCCCTATTGATGATTAGAAGAATTAAATGCCACACTAGAGAAGCAATAACTTTAGAGGACAAAAACATAAATATTAAAATTTACCGTCAGCATTTTCATCAAAATCATCCAATCTTGCAATGTCGTAAGTTGCTGTGCTCATCCAGCTAGCCATACTCTGCATATCTTCATCCCTGGATAGAACAAAAAAACATAACTTGATAAAATATTAAAGAAAATTTAATAACTGCAAGGAGACAAACATTATAAAACAACTTGCCTACAATAAGAAAAGAAGCCTAAGAAATACCTAATAAAATGGATGGCTGAAAATACCTCCTATGGCACTGATGAATATTTGCATAAAAAATACAACCACTATACAAGGTACGAGTTGATGCATTCAGATATATGTTTCCTTTTCCAAATTTTAGGTACAAAGAACACGATTCTTGCAACGAAAATTACTGAAATTGATTCCTGACTAAGATAATGACTTTTTTATTTGGCATAGGCTAAAAAAAATTTAATTTTCCGCTCGTGAAAAAGCCTGGAGTCTACATGAATCCAGTCGAGCACTAAAATGGTTTTGACAGGCTTTCTGATCGAACGGTGTTCCTTCTCCATCTTGTGTTCTCCAAAGGGGAAACACTGTGCAACAGCTGAGCCGAGGCGCCGGTTATGAGATCAACATACTTTCATACTACAAAACTTGTCAAGGTGGCCTTTAGTGAGCGATTTAACTCAAGTAGATTGTGGGTTTTTTTTTTTTTTGAGCCGGAAATTTTAATTGAAAAGTTTGTCATTCTTCGAGTAAAGAACTGAGTCAGGCGGATGGATCAACATGCTGTTGATAATGCCTTTGTTTTAAACCTTATGACAATGGTAGCATTGTCATAAGGTTTAAAACAAAGGCATTATCAACAGCATGTTGCTCTACATTGATTTTGCATAATTTTAATGACCCTATTGATTTGCTTTAATGGTTGTAGCAGTGAGCTGAAGGTAGAAAAAATAGATACGGACCTCAAGCGCTGCTTTCAATACACCACTTTTCTAAATGGCACGACTTCATAAAATGGGTTTATTCTAAGATTTCCTTAGCATTATTTAACATCGGAAATCAGTATAAAAAATTCTGAAATTAAGTTTTCTAGGAACTGGATAGCAAATTCATCTTTCAGAAAGGTAATGATGAAAAATTAAAAATAACTTACGTGGCTTTGCCTTCACGCAGAAATACACTAGACAGGGTGCAATCCATTGATGCTGATACAATTTTCTTACTCACAGGTTTAAAATCCAAATGCAATCGATACTGCATTGATTCTACACTGGCATAGCGGCTTACATTGACAGTGGCTACGGCTAATGGGCGGCGTTTGCCATCTGGCGCATTCTGACAAAAAAAACAGAAAGGGAAGTTGAGTAAAAGATATCTTATGGAAAAAGTAAAATTCCTAAAAAGTAGGTTTCAAGGGTAGGTGAAATACATGGTAATTGACGTTGATAATCTCTATTTATTTACGCTTCGCAAAATGAAGAAAGCGCATTCAAAGATTGGAGTGAAGTTTGCAACGCTAATTTCATAGAATAGCTACTTGTTTTTATTCAGAAATTCCACTACACTTCAATAATAATGTCACTTTACTTTACCCCAGAAAATAGATTAAACGCATGCAAAACCTAATCTTGTGATATCGTTTTTCAATTAAGTTTGATTGGGGGAATACATTTTTGCACATCTTGAGAATAATTTGAGAGAGCTGCTAAGAAGAGGATCTTCTGAACTTGGTGAAACGACACCATACCGTCATTCACATTGCATGATACAATTATATATAATTTTAATTTTCTTTCATGTCTTGAATTCATTTTCAGAGAATGGATTAGTCAGGGGAAGAAAGCTTCTTGGCGATTTAAACTACAGGGGTGTAAATATTTCTAAGCCTCCACAATTTTCAAAAGATCTCATTTTTTTCTGGGACGCACTCAATTTTCGCAAAAAGGTCACATAACGCCCTAACTAAAAATTTGGACATTTTTCAGTTGATCAACGACTTTTACTCAGATATTTGCACAAGGCGATGAAAAAAACTGGCCCCAATTATTGGCCATAATTAGCACTGTTTCCTTCATCCCCTACTTTCCCTTCTTCTTCTTCTTCTCTGCATTATTACTTTATTTCTCTTTTTAATGAGAAAAACAGTCAGGCATAATTCATGAAACCTTGGTTCGATATTACATCATAGAAATAAGGGGAATATTTGAAGGAATTTCCAAGTATCTTGAAAGAGACAAAATATTACTGGAGGTTTTAAAGCACTGAAATGAAGTCTTGTGCCCAATTGCTAATGTTGGATAGTTTTTTTCTTTCATGAAACTTCCAAATTTCCTGCATTTTCTTTTGATTCTTTCATCCCTTAATGCTGTATCAATATATTACTCAAAATTACTTTTTTCTTTCTGATATATATTTTTTTTTTTAAAAAACAATGAGAAAAAAAAGAATACCATACAAAACTTACATCTTCAATGATGAAATTCCATTCTTTATCCTCCAATTGTTGAGCTCTTGGGTCTTTGTACAAAGTGATGGTTACCTCCTTGTTTTCTGGTACAGGCCATATTACAACTCCTCTCAACGGATCTTTTAGACTGGGTTCCCACAGCAACTGTTCTGTTGTAACACGCTTACTCCTTCTTGTCCAAATGACACTTAATTTATTTGGTGTCCTGAGTGCACAATAAAATTAAGTTAAAGAAAACTATCTTCAAAGAAACAGCAGAGGAAAACTATTCAAAAGCCCTTCTTTACATTTTTGGAAGAAGAAATCTTGAATGTTTTGAATACAATTTCCTCATGACTCAATTTTTAAAAAAAAAAAAAATCATGATCTTGAAGTAAATCATTGACAATGAATTCTTTATCCTGACTTCAGATGACAACTTTATATTATTACTACTTTTGATAGAAAAGCTGCGGTGCCACTTCTCTAGCAATTTTTCACTTTAGAAAAAATAAAAATTTTCCCTAACAAGCTGTCATACCAAGGGTTTTGACTCATCAATGAGGGAAAACTGGCAGCAACCATTGATGATGTTGAGAGCTTCTAGCAACCCTCGATTGACCCTCTTAAATCAAAACAAGAAAAAATGGGGGGAGATCAATGGTGCCCAGGAATCAAATGCCAACACTGAAATCCAACTTCTCCATGAGAAAAAATAATGTCTACTCAAAGAAGAACTACAAGGCAGATCAAATTTTGTTACTCAAAAAATAAGAGAAGTAAAGGGAAAACAATCATGCTGACTGCACAACTCAGTGTGGCACTGGAGGAAACCAATCAAGTTGGGAGCTATTGACAATGAGAAACCATAGGACTTCTGATAGAGTAACACAGAATTAATCAATTCACAACTGACAATTGAAAAACGAAATGAGATTAAATGGATCTTCCTTTTACTTTGAAATGATTGCCTACACAGTAAGTTCTCGGTATATCTCTCTGAATCCCTCCCTACTTTCCTGGAAATTTCATCTCCAGAGATCCCATGTTCTAATGCTTTTCATTTCACATGCGTATGCATTATTTCCATAAGAGTCATTTTAATAATGATCACATTGTTCAGCTAGTTTATCTGGAATCGTGATAATGCTTGTAGTTAGAGATGGTGCTTGAAGGGAGAAAAGGCAGGAAAGAGAGGGCTGACTTCACTTTTTCTACATTTTCATAAGCTTCAATGGATTAAGGAAAATAAAAAGGAGAACATAACTTCAAAGGCACTACTTCCTCTCAAGCCTCTGTCAAGCTTTTAAAAATAAAATATTTATCTAGTGGCATCTGGCAAAAAGCTTTTGTTCCAGTCAAACGTCACCACCATAGAGGCCCTCGGCCTGCTGGGCCTAATCAAATGACCTTGGTCAACCAGGCAATATCTTCAAAGGTTATTATCTAATCACAGTTAGATTACATTCTGCAATAAGGAACCACTATCTCTGGCTCTTCTGTAAAAGCACCTTTCTGTGTAGAGAAACCAATGACATATGTGTTGTTTCTGAAGTGAGCCAGAAATGGTGGTTCCTTATTACAAAATATGGTCCAGTTATTCAATACACTATTGATGGGGTTCGGATTCCACAACTTGAGAGATCATAATGCTTCTGTATGATCAAAATTAAACAAATGAATACAAGGATGGAAAGCAATGATTACCATTTAGGTGTTGTTTCCAAATTGATTTGATGGTATGAGGCAGTGAATCGGAACTTTGCTGCTCGCTTGTTCACTCTTTGTAGTCGTTTCCAAACGGAGCTCATTTTTTTGCTGTAGATGTTTTCAGTCCTCTTCTAAAAAGAAAGAAAAAAAAACTCAGATTATTAGGCCTATGTTGATGAAAAATACCAATGTAAGTAGGACAACCAACTTAGGGATTCAGGAAAAAAACCTCGCATTTGATGCAATTATCAATTGCTGTTTGAAATGTGCGGTATTTTTCCAAAAAAGACCCTGCTTTCATCTCTATGAATTTTGCTAATTTTTTGGTTTAGAATGATTCTGTAAGCTCATGCACAGGGGCTATCGTTCTTTTTATGGACTAAAAATTCCAAATTTGCCAAGATTTTTTATTTAATCAATGCGATTTATCACACGCCAGTCCGGCCACCCCAGAAACCGTGACAAATCACCATGGAGTACATAGAGTCGTATTGTAAATGGAAGAGCTGGCGCCCTTGGCTTTTCTTTTGGCTAAAAATTCAAAATCTACTGAGATTTTTGGCACAGACATGCGATGTATTGCATACCAGTTCAACCATGCCAATAACCATGACTAATCACCTTGAAATAAGGTACTGAGTAAAACCCTTGACTACTTACATTCACAATTGATTTTGGAAATTGAAGATCGCAATAAAATAGAAGTGTACTGTTTTTTACTGAAATTGTTGTCAGTCTATAGATTCCAGCAGCCTGATTGTTGAAACTTGAACTAGCTTTGTCCGCAAGATAAGACAAGACATAGCCCAATCTGCGCCGTATAATATGTCGTTTGCTTCTTGTCATACCGACATAAATTTCAATGATCAGGCTGCAGAGCTATTTGATTAGAGTCTGAGGTAGCTAAACTGTTTCGCTTAAGGTCATAACCAGATTTATGTACTTGCCATCCCTCGGCCGTCAAGATTTAGCTGCCGCCACGACTTGTCACTGCAGGGGGAGGGGTTGGGGGTCATGCCTTATGTGAATTATATACCAAAGACATTTCATAATGCAGATTTTCAGACTCTCTCATCATCTATTTTGAGATCTGTAATAGTCCTCATCAAGCACCTGACAGTGAATTGTCATATTCCTGCACCGCTCTACTGGCGGCGCAGCGTTCCCAATAGTGTCCTATCTTTCTTTTCCTCTTTGCACATTATTTCCTGCCCCCCCTCCCCCAATTTGCTGCGGCCTCCACAGACTAAGTATGAATCTGGCCGTGCTTGAGGTTTGAGGTTTGTTCCAGATTTTTCTCCCTATATTATTGTGTAACTGCATCAAAACCGTTCATCAGGTTGCTGTAGAATGACAAGGTCGGTAGAGAAGCACAAACTATTACATCACAATGATAAAAAGAGCTCAAAAGGCGAGAGACCTAACCTCAGCGAGTGGATCGGTAAATATTTGAGATGCTAGACAGATATGATAATTCTTGGCTAAATTTAATGACAGCTGATTAAAACGTCACTGAAGATTCAAATGAACCGAAGATGCAATGATTCTGAGAGGTAGAGCTGCAATTTTAATTGAAAAAGGGAAGATGGTAATGGATAAAGGCAGGCATCAATAACCTTAGGACTTACCATCAGCAATAATTCCGATGCTTGAATTGAAACTACTACCTCGTGCGTCGCAAAACACTCAAGGGTGACACTGCAAACCACAATTTCACTTTAATTTTTTGGGAGAAAATTGTTATTCTAAAATTAGACAAGGTCAAAAAATTGAGCCTATGTCTAACCCCCTGAGAAAATTTGAGAACTGACAGTCGAAAACATTGATGAAAAAGACGCAAGCTACTAGGGAAAGGTAGTAAAAAGCACTGAGGGACAGTTGACGCGTCAATTAAACGACGTAAAGTCTTTTGAAAACAATTAATCACAATAATTGACAAATAAACGGGAAGATGCGGAGTAAAAACAAATGCTTTACATACATATCGACCTAGGGACTTCGATAAGTGGTGGTTCTCTACAAAGAAGAGTTCGGGAGCTCTTGATTGGTTAATCTCCAAAATTCGAAACGCGGAAGGGTGGTGTAACCAATGAGAGTGTTGTTGTAGCTGTCACTTCTCTCTTGACTCTGGCTGTCCGTAATCAATGATGCAAAAGCGAAGTCCAAAATTCTTATCAATCAGTGGACAGGGACAACAAGAAAGACAGCCGTTATCAGAACTAAACTTGACATAACCTGAATCTTAAAGCAGTCGATTTTGATGAAAAAGTCTTAGGAAGACGGAAATGCAACATTCCATTTCAACAAAACAACTTCACCATTAAAATTAGACACATTAAGATTGTATATATACATACGTTGCGTTGACGAATCCTGCAGAGAGAAACCGGAAGTCCGCATCTAACTTCTGGATCCGCAATCCATTTCCGCTTCCACTCGATCTTTAGGTGAACTCCGCTGCGGCAAGTACAAATAAAAAAATTTAAAAAAAAAAAAAAAACTATTCTATACTGGATGCGAATAAGCAGTGTCGGATTTTTATTCATACGGCTAAATTGTTCAAGCTATACCTATCTGTGATTAAAACAAAAAAGTTGAGTACCTAATAAGTATGTACTTAAGTCATTTTCGGATTCATCCGTTCTCAAAAATTGAAGAATTGAGGGACGGATGGAATTTCCACTTAAAAACTCATTTCATCTATTATTATTTCAGGGCTGCATATTTCACATCAAATATCCCGAGAACTTCTCAGTGCATTGCAAAAAAAATTCACAAAATATTTAAAAGAAAGAGTCTGAGCATAGGTCCGCCATTTCCAACCCCTGCATGAGCTTGAAACTTAGACTATCGAGACTGAGGTTGAAAATGAACTGATTTAGGTAAGGTTGTATACAACCTTTCTTCAGTAAGTGTAAAAATCAATTGTTAAAAGAAACTTATTCACTTACGGATTTTCTATCCCCAAAGAGACTGTTATACTGTTCTATGAGGACAAGATAAGACCATTGTTCAGTGATTATAGGTATAATTATTTACTCATTGTTCACACACATGAAAACAAAATTCAATCCTTGGTTATACCTCTTTAACATTTGAAATTTTATTTTTTAAAAAAAGAATAAATACTGATCAAAATATAACAAATATTTGATTGAAACAGTAAGGGGTAGCCCTCTTACACCCATGCATTTTCAAGCTGGGCCTTTCTCCAAGAGGAGAGGTGTGAAGAGATTGGTTCAGATATGCTAATAGTGGGTCCTATCAACAACTGGGACGGACATATTGCTGTGCATTTCAAGTGGAGCATGGCCATGCCCCCTTCGAGTTGGATTCTGTTGTACCGATCTTTCACTCATATGTACTGCTGGCAGTTATGCATCCTATGAGAGATCCACGATTTTATCATAACAGCAGTACAATAAGGACACACCACTACCGGATGGCCATGTCCCTCCCCCACCCTGTCGCCTCTGAGGAACAAGACAGGGTGTTGGAGTGGCACAATCACCCACAGGCATGATGACAGATTTATAAGTGACTTAGAAAACCCGTCACCACCATGGATCGAACCGAGACCCCAGTGCTAGCAGCAAACTGGATTCAAAAAGTGCTAAAGGAAAACTTTTGGCTCCATACTTCACAAAGTCTACAAATTACAGAGAACTTAAGACTTATGCGAAAAAAATCCAATTGCAAGTGATAGTGTCAACAGACATGAAAAATTTGTGTATCATAAAAATCCCTGTAAATTAGTAATATTTCAGCAATTTATTCAGCGGAAAATGATTATAGAATTAAGTCTAAACATTTCCATTATTACAGGAATACTTTAACAAGCTTTTCAACAATATTTTAAAAATCTTTTCATGCAAATTTAGAAAACATTTGTTCCAAAGTTCATTTAAATCCGATCACTGTCAAAAATATTTAAAAACATTCTTTTTTTCGAAAAATTATTAAATATTTTTTTCACTTTTAGCACTGAAACAACCTCTCAATATTTATGGAATATTTTCATATTATTTTACATATATATTTGGTTTTACTTGGAGAGAAAGAAAAAATACCAAATAGCAAATGACACAAACTTCATTGAACAAAAAAAAAAAATACAAAATACAAAATATTTTCAGAGATATACTTTGGTACGATTTTAATAAACAGAGAAATCTTGCAATTTTCAAATTGAACAATGATAAATTGATAACCTATCAGAAAAACCATAACATATGAGTACATATAAATAATTAAGTGAAAGAAAAAGGGTAGCAATAACTTGGTAATAATTGAAGGAACAGAAAGAAAACTTGAGTGAGAAAGTTAAGACTAGATAATACCTAGATAAATAATAAAACAACCAGAAAATATATAGACCCTCTACCACATTTCTTGAAAATTACAAAATTATAAAGCCCTGGGAATCTGAAAGTAATAAGGCTAAAAAAATGTTGAACTTCTGCAAAACTGATATACGAAAAAACCATGCAACATAAATGCAACGGGAATGTAAATTAACGCAATACCAACCAAAGCAGTTTTGGAGAAACACTTGCATTTTAAGTCGCTCTGGGGCAACTAATGCTACAGATAAAGACGTGTACAAACATAATATAATATTTACTCACAAAAAAATGTTTCGTAACTGTAAAAAAAAGGAAAGAAAAAAATTTAAAAAGAAAATTCCAAAAAGTACACTTAGCGGTATGAACCTTTTCAAACGTTTGGCTCAAATACAACTCATTTGTAATATTTTACTTTTCTTTTTTTTTCCGGATCTCACAGATTTGTCTATCTAGTTTTAAAACTAGTTAAGGCATTTTTAAAAGGCATGTTGATTCAATTCCAAAAAGCAACTAATGATTCGTGGCTCAGTAATCTGAAGAGTTACGATAAGTTGTTTGGGAAGTTAAACTAAATTTTTAGGATTAAAAGACTGAGGCGGTTTCTCCCTTGAGTAGTTTGCTTGAGAGATTAAGCTTTTTGCCCTGGATCCGTTAAAGTAGAGATTACTTCAAACTTTGCATCATTTTTCATAAGTTCTTCAATTAAAGAAGTCTTGGCAAAAGCAGCAGCTGGAGGATAGACACCACCACTATAAAGAAAAGGAAAAAAGAAGAAATCAAATAGTTAAAAATCGATGAAAATAGATGAAAATAGATGAATAAAATAATTCAAGTTCAATAATTCACCTGTCATTACATCAACTTACAATTAACAAGTTTCTGTCATTGAAACTCTGGGAGAACATTAAATAATTATGAACGGAATTTTTCTGGTTTTATTAATTTTTTATTTTTGTGAAGTATTTAATATGCCACCTCAAAATGTATTTATTTTTGCAATATCATCATTTTAAATGGAAGGACCATGACCGTGCCTTATCATTTGACGTACCCTTATAAGGCGTAGGTCCTCATCCTTGGCAACAAAACAAAATGGAGTTACACTCTCTTAGACCTCCCTTCCCTTTATAGATCATCATATACTTTATAAAAGGGCTCTGCTGCCATCAGACGCACTAGGGTGTAGAAAATGCCCAACGCTCAAAAGTGACCACCTTTGCAACCAACTGCGAAGTGACCACCACGAGTATGCGTCTGCAAAGTGAGCTCTGCCCATTGTCACCGTGGATACAGACTGGAGTGGCCAGGCAGCCACATTGCATCACTGCTCATTCAAAGAATGTGTCCCCACTCACGGTCAAATCTTAATTCCCCTCTCATGGTCAAATCTTTTTAGGGTTTCATGGAGGTTTATATTTTTAAATTTGAAAAATTACTTACCTTGAGGGCATATTCTTAGATTCTTTGAGGATCATGACAGCGGATAGGATGACAGCTGTGGCAGTAAATCCATAACCAGGGCTTTTAAGTGTGATCTGAGGGGCAAGGCATAAAAGTATAAATCAATGAATTTCTTAAAAGAAAAGAAAATGGATATTGATTTGGTAGATTGAGATAAAAATGAGAAATCTGGAAATGTAATATCAAATGACGACAATCTGGCTGATAAATCGGCCTTACTTCTTCTCACTTTCAAGATGTTTGGTTCAAATCTGAGACTTCAGCTGAGTTTGAATATTCTAGTCAAAGTAACCATAATTGGGCAAGGGTTTTTAAAATTCAATTTTTCTTTGTATGTATATCTAAGCTGGGGCTTGGATTACCACTAACCACATTAAAAGAGTTAAGAACAAAATATGATTTCAGGCTGATGATTCATGTATTTTGCGCACACTAACAAATTTTTGCACCAGTCATTTTGATCAATTGATGTAAAAAAGGCATCGAACCACATATTGATGGCTTAAGTCCGCAACCACATATCTCGTATTGTGTTTGAAAATATCTGCTTCTACTTTGTTTTTTTAAAGGAGTACAAATCGACATCATTTCTTGAATTTTTCGTAGAATTTCTTGGCACTGAGAAGAAAAATTACGACTGTTTTTAAGAATTGCCGTTGAGTAGTTTTTCATTTAAAAAATAAAGTATGACAGAATATCTGCGACGTCGCAAACCGAGATACATAGCTGCCAACTTACACTGTCAATATGTTTCACTCATTTCAGGCTTTCCCGTGTGAAAAGAAAAAAATTATAGGATGTAAGGCCTTGTTCAGACGGGCGCGGATCATGGAACTTGGGGCGAACTTGTTCCAGAATCTTAAGATAACTCAACTATAACTTATTCCGCGAAACTCTAGTTTATGGAGCTTATTCTCCAAAAATACACTCGTGGGAACAAAGCCTAACTGATTTCCTGCCTACAATGTGCTTTATCTTTATTTGAAAGCTAAAAAGTAGCTTACCTTCGAGATAACAGTTTTATTAGGAAGAAGAGAATCGGCCTTCTCTTTTTCTGACCAACCTTTACCATGAAAAACGAAACTTATGACAGTGTGCTTTTCCTGCTCTTCTGGTGGACCTTCATGAGAGACAAAACCAAAAGAACACAGCTTTGGATACTGTAACAATCAAATGAATAGTTAGTAATCAATGAAAGATCAGCAGTCGATTTGAATAAAATATGACAGCATGAAATGCAAATACTTACGAATGGAAATAAAGGATCTTTTGGACTTGTGTAGCCTTTTAGAGTTATGATTTAAACTTTTTATAAAATTTAACAATGCATTGGAACCACGGTAATTTCGTAAAAAAAATTATTTCGTAATACACATACCGTTTGATGACTAAAGTTGCTTGCAGAGAAGCCAAAAAACAAGCTCTTTTGTCATATTTGATACATTTTGTCACCATGGTATTAGTAAATTTATAAACTTGAAAAAGCAAGCTAGCTTCTCCTCATCTGCAAGAATCATGTATTCATTCTTTGGCTGTAATCTAGAAGAGGAATAAGTAAGGAATAACTAGAGGAACCACACCTGACATCCAAGCTACATTTTCAATTGGTCATTTTTTGACAGGTTTTTTTTAATTTCTAAATTTTTCCCTACATGGTTATGATTATGAAATCAGGTAAATATACTTACTTGTAATAAGATTTTTCGCCCAAGTTCAAAGTTGGACATTAGGAGGAAGAAGGCACCAAAGATGATTAAACCAATGACAGCAAGAAAATTCTGAACAACCATGTAAGTGCAGACTTGGACAGGTCTTTCTTTGCCAGTGTCATAGAAATGACGTTGCGAACGCATGACAACAGACCTGTCAGCTCCTAGGAACGGCAAACACCAACGTCCATTCACAACTTCGTTTTTATGAATAACCGGCCTGCAGACAAATTTTGCTAGATAAAAAAATTACACTGGTGGAAACAGAGCTGTTCAAGACATTCAATACTGCTTATAAAAATTAATTAGGAATCATATTATCTCATGATTTTAGGAATTTTGAATCAATCAAGGGTTTTCAAAAATGGATAGTTCATGAACAGCATGAATTTTATTCTATCATGTCTTGTAGCTCAAGGTGACTGAATGGAAGTTATTAATTTAGGCCATTCTCTCATCATATTCTCAAGACTACTTGGGACATCTTTGCGCTGTGTCAGAAGAGTGACTTAAAAAAGTTGTTGAAGAGAATTATTTACTCAAGAGAGAAAACAGTTGTTAAAAGCCAATAGAAGCAGCATTTTTTTCTTTTTTGAAGAATTAAATGAGTAATTAAACGTTCTGTCTGTTCCGAAGAGTTTGTCTTGATTTAGAGGCATGGTCAATGATTTTTCTTGGAGGAAAACTCACGATCAAGCGATTGGATGGTTCAAATCACGTAGTATTTGGTCGAGAATTCCACCATTTTAAATTGAAACAATGACTTGTCTATTAAACCTCAATAATGATAGTGTTTACCTAGGTTTCAGTTTTGGTTGAAAAGCTGGTAGTCTTTGTGGATACAACTTGGATCTGATGCTACTCAATTCATTGGCATGAGCTAGTCCATAAACAGCACTTGCCCAAGTTCCATAATGTATTGCCGCTCCTCTCTGAAAAAATGAAGGTGGGTTTGGTTGGATTCCGTTAGATTCATCTAAAAATGAAGCGCCAGACATGTTATGTATTGAAACCCTTTATTACACGTTTCCTCTTCAAATGTTTACCAAAAATTAGATTCACTCTATGGGAAGTAAAAAAAATCCACTTCTAGGAAAATTCAAGTATTTATAATTAACGCAGGTTAAGAGTCGAAAATATGAATGACGAAACAAATTGCTTGGCTTACATATGTTCTTGATAATAATTGAATTGGCTCTTGCGAAAATGTCCAATGCCCAATACACTGTTTTAGAATTGCAGCAGTGTGTTTTGCTCTGTGACACTGATTAATAAAGTTGATCACCTTGATAAATGTTTGATTATGTGTGCCAGACTTTTTATAAAGTTATGAACTATTAACTATTAACTATTATTTATTATTTTTATACATTCCTGATGTTTTGAGCCCAATTTTATCCTTGAATTACGATGAAATCGCCCAACAACATTCTGGAGCACTGTATTAAATATCAAACTTTTTTCCACAAGAAAATTCAAATATAATAGAGACAGATGTGTTGACTTTACATGATAGCCATTATCACTTGTTTCTATGAAACAAAAATACTCATCACAAAGGAGACCAATATTATCAAGGGTACAATAAATTTCAACATTCAGCTAGAAGCACTCACTGCTGGTTAATTTTTTTCGTTTCCCAATGCGTATTGGAATAATCTAACGCCCATCTTTGAGGGTTCTGCCACGACTCAAAGTAGTCTTGATGTTGTGGTAAGACCCTCAAAGCTGGGCATTGGATTAGCCTGGGAAGCATTGGGAGGACAAAAAAACTGACCGGGGAAGAGTGTCTTTAGAAGACTCTCTTGTTTCCTATTGAACTCAATTCTGTAAGGTGTTTAGAAATTTTCACGATAAAATCTGCACAAAAATGAACAAAAAACCTCCTATTTTATTTTTGAGACCACTAAATAGAATTTTCTGTCAAAAGCTGGAAAACTGATTTTTCAATCCATTTAAACGAAATAACTTTCCTGGTTATTTTTTACCTGTGGACTGTGGTCTGAGGTCCCATCTCCTCAGAACAGTCATACGTACCACAGTTGTTAAAGTGTGCTTACCTTGATTTTTTTATCTGTTTTTATTGCTCCAGGCTTCAAAAATATTTCAACAGAATTCAGCCCACCTGGAATGGTGTTTAAATAAGCTTTAATATTTCTCATACAGACAATGTTAACAAGATTAGTCTAACTGCACTTCACTTTGCCTGATTTCCCCCTGCATTTTATTTTTTCCATCAAAAACTGAAAACATATTCCCTTAAAATTTTCAGTGAATTTTTAGATTTTAAATCTTGAAAATGAATTTTAGATCATGCATTTCCACTGATTATGACTTGTTTACTACACTAATTCGATTATAAAAACATGTTACCTACTATTGATAAAATAATGCTAAAAAGTTACATTAATAAAAACATTTTGTAATACACAGGTACAAGTTGTAAAGCAGCTGTATAAGATCCATAATAGTTGAAACTGAATGTTATGTTTTAAGTTATGACTACATACATCAAAAGCAACAAACCAAGTGATATTTTATTCAGAGCTTCAATATTGAGCCTCTTTTGTTCTCTTAAAAATGCTGTTTATTCGAGTTCCTTTAAGGTTTGGAAACAAGTTCCTTCTGAAGAGTTACCCTACGAGTACCTTCCTCTACATTCAATGCATTGGACCACTAGACAAAGTACAAGTTCAAGCATTGTAATATGTGTTTACTCATTAAAATTTTACATAAAACACAATTTGTACAACAAAAATGATTAAAAGTACTTCTAAAAAAGATACTAACTTTTTTTTATGCATAAATTCAAACTTCCTGCTCATAGAAAAAACAATAATCTGCTTGAGTTCAACCACACACTAAACATTGCTGTGAGGTCTTTGCAGTGGGAAAAAATGACATTCCTGATATCAGCGCTTTGGCTCAGCTATTGCAAATTTTTCATACTTTGAACAACACTAGGTGGGGAAGGAATACAGCTCGATTAAGAGGCCTGCAAAAAACATTGTAAAGCGCGATTTTATGCACATAGACTCTTGTTTTTCTTGCAAGCTCAAAATCTAAATTTTTCTGTAACCAATATTAAATAAAAAAGTTATTACATTAGTTCGAGGTAGATGCCAGTACTCTTATTGCACGAATCGTGTTCTATACAAGATTTTGAAGAGGAAAAATGTATTAGAATACCTTAACTTGTAGCTTGTCTAGTGGTCCATTCCTTGATCATGCGATAGTCCCATTACAGACTAACAAATAGAAAAGAGGTGGAGAAACTTTACCCTCAAAGTGTTTTTGGAGAAATATGGTTCCTAAGTCAGCAGGAATACAGTCGAAGCCACAGGCACTAACAATATACACGCCATTTTCTTCCGCTGCTTTGTGGTATTTTAATTGCATTGATTCCATGAACTGCAAATTATACCAGGAGATAAGTACACAGGTTTTAATTTTTGGTAATACAGTATCTGAGTTATGAAATGAGGCAAGTCCTATGCAAACACTTTGTATCAGTGCTACAGAAAGTAGACGGATTTTTCAATTAATGAAGAAAAAAAGTTCCTGCATTACATTTTTTTCTGAGAGGGGATTTTAGTGAATTTTGTGCAAAACAAAGACTTTGGTCAGATTTGATGACAAAGATGATCAATTTGAAAATTTATTAGCATGAAAAGTGGTACCACAAAATATATATTTCCATTGCTTCCATTGAGATTTATCCAAAATTATCATAGACTTATGACACAGTCCAGACCTTGCACTAGGCCTGACTTTCGGCAGGAGAGGGAGGACAGTTAGGGGGGGGGGGGGTTGGTAAAGACGCGCCTTCAGCTTATTTGATACAACTTGATATGCAACTAGTACCAAATGACACTCATTGCAGGAGTGCAGCAGCATAAGCGGGCGTGTCTGTTTTGCCCAAGGGTGGTTTACGTTCATAGATTTGCAATGGCACTCAAGGCTGATGGCTGGATGGTACCAGTTGCAATCTGGGTTACTTATCGCCTCACCGAAATATTGTGATGCGTAGTCTAGATTGTCTAGTAGGTCTATGAGAATTATATACCTGCGTATTGATGGCTAAACTCAAAAATGCTTGTTGTAGATTGCAATGTTTTAGGTCTCCGCTTGTGTTTTACTTTTGTATGGGAAGAAGAAGAAACCAACAGTTTTTTAGTGAATCGGGTGTGAATTTTTTTCACTCGTTCTAAAAAAACATGCGAATTGTACGGAAACTTTTAGATTATTTTTCCTTGAAGACAATCAAATATAATCAGAGTTTTTAAAGGTTGCGATTGATGGCAAAGCTGATGATCAAATGTGAATCATGACTTAAATAGATGTTAGTAGGCTCAGAAAATTTAAAAATTGATGGCTAATAAAATAATATCTATCTACCTGTGGTTCACCACTGACATCAACATGACTTGCACCATTTTCAACGCAAGCTTTGACCACAGGCTCTCCGAAAAATCTATACGGCCCACAACAATTGATCACAACTTTTGTCTTCTGAGCCATTTCCTTGAGGCTTTCTTCATCCTTGACATCAGCAAGAACTATTGGGATTGTGCTCAGGTCCACACCTTCACACAAAGAATAGGTCATAGGTCAAACACTTCCATCTGACATAAAAAGTTGGTTAAAAAAATCCTTCATCTGCTATAAAAAATACATTCATCTAAAAACTTTGAACGTTAAGGGTTTGGTTTTCATAGAAAAATTTCAAAACTTTGGGGAACCAGTTTGACCGACCAGTTTACATCGAGCTGGAACTGCCTTAACTTCGGCTCAGCTCCTAAACACCTCTGCTTGAAATCCAGGGTTTCTACAGGTAATTTTTTTCTTATTCAATCCCTGGTTTTCCCTTGACTTTTTTATGTTATTCTTAACCTGGCTTCAAAATTTCCCAATTCCCTGAATTTTTTTTTGATCTTTTGAACAAAACTTTCACTTAATTTTTCTTCTGAAGGTGATTCGTCAAGCTCAAATGATGTGGTCAAAGTGGAGTGCGATTTATCGCATCAATTAGGTAAAAAATCTCGGCAGATTTTGAATTTGTAGCAAAAACAAGGACGATAGCCCCTGCGCATGAGCCTAAAGAATCATTCTAAACCCAAAAATCAGCAAAATTCAGAGAAATGAAAGCAGAATAGTGTTTGGAAAAAAAATCTTGCATTCGATACAGAAATCAATGGCTGAATCGAATGCGAGGTTTTTTTCCAAACACTATTCTGCTTTCATTTCTTGGAATTTTGTTGATTTTTGGGTTTAGAATGATTCTGTAGGCTCATGCGCAGGGGCTATCGTCCTTGTTTTTGCTAAAAATTCAAAATCTGCCGAGATTTTTGACCTAATCAATGCGATATATCGCATGCCAGTTTGACCATGTCACTTGAGCTTGACGAATCACCTTAAGATTTACCCTGACGATCGCTAAACTGAGAAAAAAAATTCTGTTTCTACAGATTCAAATTGTGGACAGAGGCACTCAGATGTTGCTTAAGCTCTGGCACTGGCTGACGTTTATGAGCCAACGGGCTATACTTGCAAAATTTCCTGGTTGCCGTAAATTCCATGTTATTAAAATATTTTTATTGATTTTATTTTTTATACTTACGTGGGTATTTGCGAAAAATGTCCAATTTTTTTTTTTTTTTTTTTTTTTTTTTTTCTACTTCAAATAGCCCACAAGGGCTAATAATTTAAGTCCCATCCCCCCTCCGTCCCTACTGAACCAGTCCCAGGTAACCATTGTTTGAGACCATCAAACTCGGGACGCTTGGCCGGAAATCGAACCCGGGACCTCCTGGTCATAGAGCAAGCGCTACAACCACCATAGGATAGACACCATAGGACACCAATTCTGATGATGGATCAACTATTTTCAAATTTCTTGGCAGAAAGTAAACTAAAATTGTGTTTACTTAAGCTGGGATTTCCTTCAAATGCTTACCCACCCGTGCCAATAAGCATTTGGAGGAAATCCCGGATGTTTTTCGAACATTTTCAGAAGGAAGCTTGTTGAGCCTCCAAAGGGACATTATTTAAGTTCAAGATTCCCACTTCCTAAAACTACCTCCTTAAGTAAGATTTCATGCATCTCCACTCCAGATAATAAAATGACACACCTGTTTTTTCTGAGCTTTTATCTAATGCTGCTTTCAGCTTGTCGATATTCCGTCCTGCAATTCCCCAAGTGAGGTTTCCATGCTCTTTTGCAAGTCTCACTATTTCAGTAACGACGAACTGACCGGTGAATCCTGTGGCACCGAAAATCAACAAATCAAGCCGAGTATGAGACATGCCAATGATTTTCTGAAAAGAGAAAACAAAGTAATAACACTCGTTAATAAAACGGTGGGTAAGTAGGTAACTGGATGGCTAAATTAATAAGACTGGAAAATTCAGTATTTTTCACCTTTAACCAAAGATCCTTTTAGAGAAATTTAAGATGGAGGGGCTAGCAAATGGAATCTACAAAAAAAGAAGGTAAGAGAGCAAAAAATCATCATGGTATGCTCGTTTTTCCACTTGGTAGGTATTGTGCAAATACTCGCAGTTGATGAAAATATTTAAAGCTACCTCCTCAAAATGGTCGAAGGATAGGTTATTTACTTAACTCACTGGCAACATTACTCCTCTTTATTGAATACAAGATTTAATCAAATATCCATCGACTTATTAGTACTAATGAAATACTTAGGTGTCTTATCTTGCACATTGACAAAGAAACTGCAGAATCTTTGTCCACTTGTATCGAACCCACATCAAGTTGAATAAACATGTTTTTACGAGATTCAGACAAAAGGTTTTCAACATGCGTCTCCTCATTCGGGTAATGGAATTCAAGCTGCATTGAAATGCTTTTAAGTACAAACGTTGCCGCTTAAGTAGTCAAGTTGTTACAATTTTTCTGGGGGAAGCTTCAAATCAGAAAACTATCTCAAATCAAAAGTATAGACTGATAAATACTGTAAAAAAGGAACTAGTTTACTGAAAGTAAAACACTAACCAACACTGATCAAAAGAATTTAGTCCATAAAGTTAAAAAATCAATGACTGTTCCGCTGTCTGGAGAAAACAAAGCTACATAACGATTCATGCACTAACTGTCGCTTACTTAGATAATGAATGGTACTGACTTCCCACTGAGTACATAACAACAAGTTGATCAAAATAAGTAATGAAATAAGTAGAGGCATAAAATTTTTGGCAAATAGTTAGCGAGAAGGGAAATTTCAATGTCAAGTACCTGTTCCAGACACTGATAACAGAGTGTCACGCGTGATAAAAAGAAAGAAAAATCTCAACTCACCTTCTCTGATAAGACGAGGAGCTAAATAACTGATAATTCGCAAAGCACGAAGGAAGAGGGCTTGCAGAGAAATTCTGAGCCACTTACGGAATGGACCTCTGAAGTCTCAGAAGACTGAGCCTACATGGACATAGAAATGTAAAGAAGTGGGCAAATTATTTGTGGAGTGGACAAAATTTATGATAAGTACACGCCTTTCTGCATGAACATGAACTAACCTAGAACCTGCATAATGCATTAGGGCGTTGCGTCAGCCGCAACTTGCAGAATTAAAAACTCCTTCAAAAAGTTGCATAGGCAAGAAACACATACTTGAAAAGTATGTGGCCAAGACGTTGTATTGAAGGCGCTCAGCACCGGCTGGACGGAAGACGGAAATATTTGATATTGAACAACTTCAAGCTCGGAGGGCTCTGCACTACTGTATTCCTTAAGTAATTCCGATCCGCCTAAAAGAATCACTAGCACGTACTATAAAAGATGCTAACATGAAAGTTAAATTCAAATCGCGTCAGTGATATGGCATTGCCAATAAAAGAAAAGTCAAAAAAAAAGTAAGTAGGTATGATGTGATGGATTGGCTTGGGATAAGTAAAGTGTGAGAACTTTACAGCGGCACACGAAATACTGCCACCAAGATATGTAGTTTCCTCACTCCAGCAGGTAGACTAGAATTTTCACTTTTTATGGAGGGATTAGATGACTGGATCGCTGAAAAATTCCACCCATTACCGCATGGTTCTGTGTTTGGAGCTGTGCGGCAGCTAAAAGTGAAATTGGACTAAATTTTGAAATTCGGAGGTATTCCTGGCTCATCTGTTGAAACACTTGTGTGTATAAGGAAACAAATGTTACATACGTTGTTTCTTAACTGAGCCAGAAATTGAGGTTCCTGGTTGCAACATGTAGTCCTTAATATGACCAAAACCGGCATAAAAAGCTCCCTATCAAATCGTAAAAGAGTACAGGCGAGAATGTGACAGTCGAAGAGTTCTGTTGAGAAGAAACTGCAGTGTCACTCGGTGTTTCTGAATCATACTGAAGACAGCTTTCTTGTCGGCATTTTCATTCAACGAAGAAAAAACTCCTTCAAAAAAATGTATAGGCAAGAGTCGATACCGTAAAAAGTATGGAGGCTAACCGTTATTTTGAAGGCGCTAGGCACCGGCTGAATGGTAAGTAACAGTCTAACAGCCGATGTGCGTCCTATACTGCATACAAGATATCTGATGATGCAGAAGATAGTCCCCAAGAATTATTGCCCAGACACTGACATGGATCGAACTCGAAAAAATGTCCGTGAGGTGTCACAAAATCATAGTTCAAAAACTCGAAATTCCGTGCTCCAAATAGTCGTCTGGGGAAAATATAGACTTGTTCCGACCAGTCGCACCGATTCCATAATTTACAGCCTGTATATTTAACTGTCTCAGATCGAAATTTCAAAAATTTCATAGGACTCAAAACATCCTGGTTTGAGGAACTCAAATTCCCTGCACCAGATGGTCATCTGGGAATAATGGCAGAATGTTCTAGAATATTGTCAAGGGTAGAAATGATGGGCACATATCGACGGAGAAACTGCCAAACTATGCTACTCGGTTCGCGACATTGCAGACTCCCTGTTATCCTCTATTTTTTAAATGGAGAACTAATCAATGTCAATTCTTACAAACTTTCATAATTTTTCTTCTCTAGGCTGAGCAAATTCTGAAAAAATTTCAAGGGATAATGTTGATTTGGACTCCTTTAAAAAAGGAAATAGGAGTGGAGATTTCGAAATGCTGCAAACCCGGCACCAGATTTGAGAGTTTCACCATCGATACAATGAATGCTTCATAGAGTGCCATTAAAGTTGCCAAGATATTTCACCATTTAAAATTGGTTTGATTTTTAACGGCTTTGAAGGTTGTTTTTTTCCGATTTTTGAATGAATAATAAAAAGTACAGCTATCTCCTCATTGTGGGGGTATTTTTTCAAAGAAAAATTTCAAAAAAATTGTCCAATCGCCCTATTTGAAAATAAAATGTAGAGGGAGATATATGGTTTCCAAGTTTAACTGAGTAGGTACCTACAAAAAAGAAAGTCTCTTTCTTTCGAAAGAGACTCTCTTTCATGGTACCTATTAGTTTATAGGTTGTTGGACATAGTAGTACTTAAAGTTGGCAATTAGTTGACAACCATGATAGTTTAAACATATAGACTTAAAATTATTTCATGATTTAACAAGTGTAAAAACGATTTTCAAACATTGTAACCACCTCACTGCATCATAGAATGATTTTACTACCTGCATACTATAATTTTGAAATTAATGATGGGGCAGATCACAATGTATTCTTTCAAGTGAATTTTATCGTCTCTGGTGTTCGAGAGTTTTGGTTTGTACATCTCAGTTCCGAAAATTTAAAATCTTGATATTTATGTTCTCGATTTTCAAACCTCGGAATAAATGAGCTTACCAGTTTGAATTAGAAACATTGTGAGTAAATAGTTTCATTTACAATGGACCAATAAACAAGGTACGACTTTAAGAATTCTGATACAAGTTTCTTAGTTAGAATTTCACGTAAAACACGATTCTTGCATCGAAAATTACTGAAATTAACTCCTAACTAAGATATTAACGTTTTTATTTTACACTGGTTACGGGAAATTTGAATTGCCCGCTCACAAAAAACTCAATACTATACGCTAGTCCAACCGCGGACTACAACCGTTCCGGCAAGCTTCTCAATTGAGCCTTGCTCATTTCCCACCCTACATTGTTCAAACTATAGACAACTTGCTATAGCTGAGCCTTAGGATACTTAACTTCGTACCTTGTCTAGTGGTCCATTTTGTAACAATTATCGAAGATTACAAAAAGTAAGAAAGAAAAAAAATAGAAATGAGATGGTATGATTTTTATAAATGCTTAGACAGTATACATAAGTCATTGGAGTAAATACAGCATTCAAAACTACAAAAGTCAAAGGACGTCAAAAAGTAGATTCATTGTAGAAAAATAATAATTTAAGTTAGAAATAAAATACGACTAGATAAAACAGGAATTGCAGAGACTGAGGGAAAAACTCATGGGTTTAGGAGAGCTCATGAGTAGCACACTACAGAGAACAAACATGTATTACATACACTTTTTTTAAGTCTTGATGACTTCCATGAGATAAAAATCTGCATTTTCAATTACAGTTGCCAGCATACATATGTAACGTTTTTGAAAAGGGTAGAAAAAATGAATAAAACATCCAGGAAAACATGGCCGAAGAAACATTGTTTTAGAAAATATTATTATGACAGTCTACTACTTTTCTTTAAAAAAGTTTGTAAGTAATTCTTTTTTGATGGATTTTTACAGTCTGATAGCACAGCATTAAACACACACCGAGAGGCAGCAAGATCTTTTGACTGGGACCACTTCACTGGAGGTGACTTCAAACTTCACATCATGCTGCATTAACTGCTCAATAAGGGATGTTTTCCTGAAAGCTGCAGCTGGAGGTAAAACACCACCCCTGGAATAAAAAAAAAAGCGATGAAATTCAATTGATGACCTATAAGTAGGGACCTGTGGGTAAAGTTGTTTTCAACTTGTCTTTAGCAGTGGTCAAATGGTATATTCTGCTCTGAAAGGCCAAAAGTGGTATTTTGAAATATGTTAAAAAAAATCTTGTTTTTCAAGCACAAAAACATTTTTCATGATTTGAAAAAATTTCTTGCAGTACCTACGTCAAATATTTCAAAAATTTCTGGGCAGATACACTTTACCTATATTGAATGTTTCAGGACTTGTGTCAATCTTTGAGTGTGGAAATTCAAACCTCAAATTTCTGCAATAATGTTGCGGGAAATCGGGTCGAAAACTTGCGCGGATTTCCATAGAGCTAGAAACCTCTGAAATTTGCAGATTTCACATTTTGAAACCCTGACTGTCGCAATGATTTTGCGTTTGGGGCACAATTTTGCAATAGGGTCTCAATTTTGCGCTTTGAATTTGACATTAGGAAGTTGCCACCAACATTTGTATCTTGGCCCCACCTCAATATGGCCGATGCTAACATTTTGTGGAAAAAAACGCGATTTGTGAACGCGAATTCCGAGGGTCCCTACCTGTAAGATTGAGAATTTTCTTGAGAAGATACAGTCATGTGGGGTACTTTGTGATGATTATTCTGAGAACGCAATGAGTTTTACTCTAACAATTTATAGGAAAAAATTTATGAAAAAAGAAGAAAAAGCACAAAGACATAGGTCGCTTTATCTCCTATAAGGTTTTAACTCGCTGCCAGATTTTTTTGTATGCTTTTAAAAAGAAAGAAAGAGAATAAGAAAAGCAAACACAAACCTTCCTGGCATATTTCCTGATTCCTTGAGGGTCATGATAGAGCATAAAATAAGAGACAGAGCAGTAAAACCATAACCAGGGCTCTTGAAAGCGACCTAAAAATAAAGGATAAAAAATTATTTCAGCGTAAAAGTAAGATATTTTACAATACAGAACAGATGACAAGTTTTTTTTAAAAAGGTTACAATCTAATTTCAATTTTAATGAAGTTTCATGTGAAATGAAACTTCAGTGATAGAAGATATACAGAGCATAAAACTAAGAAACCAGTATTGAGGAAAATGTCACCATTTGGAAGGCACAAAGAATAACATTAACAATAAAAACCTTTCCATTTTAAATAATGGTTCATTCTATTTTGGTCTCTTCAATTGTGCATGTAGAACAACCGGTGTAACGTCTTTCATCACCTGATCCTGATTTGCTCTTCAGTTAAGGTGAACAGACAAACCTAATTCCATAAAATACTCTTGGAGTTTTTTTAACTCATGGTGAGATCATACAGATAGAAACCATGACATAGGTATGTATCGCCATTGTGTTGTTTCAAAATTCTCGATGCTATTTTAATTGCTTCCATTGTAAAAGGAACAAACCTATTTAAATCTCTAAAATCTGTACATACAAGTTTTTTTGACTTTTGGTAAACCAGAGAGAAAAAAACACAAAATGTATAAAATTGGTGGTCCACATTACCTATTAATCATCCTTTGTTTAATGTGGAAGCTGGTATTCAAAAAGGCTTAATATATTTGACCTGACTATAAGATTCAATTGACATGACACAATTTTGTAACACTGTAACTGACTCACTTGTCTCATCTTCACTCCTCTCACCTAAACTGAACATTAAATTGAGAGAGAGGGAAAATGCTTGTAAAAATTTAAAAATCTTACATTGGTAATGACAGTCTTGTCTGGGGGACAGGAACTAGCCATATCTTTTTCAGACCATCCTTTGCCTCGAAAAGTGAAAGTAGCTGAAGTGTGTTCCTCTGCTTCTTCTGTTGGACCTTCATGGCTGACAAAACCGCATGTAAATACCTTCGGATACTGAAAAATAAAGTAAGTTGTTAGAAATTAATCTTCAGGACAGTAATGTGGTTACAGATCAACTAGACTATCTTTAGACATTTACAGTGGCAAAAATTGAGAGATGGAACTATAATGCTCAACATGGAGTCGGTCTCCTGTGGTGTAGTGGTTGAAGCGCTGGCTCTATGATCAGGAGGTCCTGGGTTCGATTCCCGGATAGGCGACCTGAGTTTGATGGTCTTAAACAACGGTTGCCTCGGGCTGGTACATAGTAGGGACGGAGGGGGGCAGGGCTCTAACTGGAAGCGTAGGATTATCACTTGTGTGGTATTTGAAGAAGTTAAAAAAAAAAAAAAAAAATGGACTTAAGTTTTGAAGGCTAAAAAATCCATAGAGATATTCCACTTCTACCATAACAGGTAAATCAACCAGAAAATTTCTCCAAAATTTTCTATTTTGGAGAAAGAAAATGGGGGAGGGGGAGGAATTTTGTACGAATAAGTTTTTATTTTTCACTGAAAAAATATATTTATGAAGGTAATGAATATAGCTTTTCAATTTAAAGATGTGTAATAGATACATCTTGAGCTTCTGTTACAGGTGGCCTCATTTTTGTAAGACCACTGGCCTCAATAACAAAACACTTTTCTATTTCTACAACTTCAACCGTGCAAAACTAGTCGAACGGGAAGATAAGCTTAGTTGAAAGCAAATCATTGGTTTCTTTCTCTGTTAAAGGATCAAAATAAGATAAATTTTTGGGTCATAGAAAATCAATAAAAACTTTCTATTATAAATATTGAGTCATTGATTCATTAGGTATAAAACACATAGGGATCTTTGTTATTACAAATATAAAATGATTAATTCCTCTTCTAATTTGCATCTTTAGTTTTTGTGAGTTTTCTCAGGAAACAAAGGTGAAAACTTGCTGGATAAAGGATAGTGACTTAGGTGAAGAAATAGAGACTCCATCTTGCTTCAGGAAAAAGCCAAAGCTGCTTTATCTGTATGAGAAAATATGGACTTTGTCAAAATCATCTCCCAATTCTACTTCAGAATTAAAAGTGTTTACACGGAAAGTAACTATGTTGCCTGCGAACCCTATATGCACATTATTGCACATGGTTTATTTTAGCAAAAATAGGTCACATTCAACTGATAACTTATTCAAAGATTTTTAGCAAGTAAGAAATTACCTTCAGAAGAAGTTTTCTGCCCAGACAGCACTGGGACATCAATAGGAACACTAAACCGAGAATGAAAAGGCCAATGACGATGAGGAAATTACTGACAACAAAATACGTATTGATTTGAGCTGGTCTCTGCTCACTCTTTTCAAAGAAGTGCCTTTGCGAACGCTCGATGACCGATTTGTCCACAGACCAAAAAGTTAAACACCATGGTCCTCTCACTATTTCGTTGTTCAGGATAAAGGGCCTGCAAAAATAAAGAATAAGATTGGAGTCTGGGTTTTCATACAAATAATTTTAGTATCATTAGACACAGCTTATAAATTGAACTGACCCGGTCAATGGAGTTTCTTTGGTTTTTAAAAAGAAATAAGGTCAGATTTGAATAGCATGTTCGCTTCAGAAAAGAGAATGGAGAGAAAAAAATAAATGAAAGAATTACATACCACTGAATTAATTTCGGTCGCAAAGCTGGCAGTTTTTGTTTATTGAGCTTTGACCTGATCCGCCATAGTTCATACCAATGCGCAAACCAATAAACTACACTTTCCCAAGTACCAAAATGAGCTAAAGCGCCTCTCTGAAACATGTTATACATAAATTAGCCAGATGAAAACTTACGGATAAAGATATGAACATTGATAAAAGAGAAAAATTATTGTTTTAAGTATTTTAAAAATCATACAATGTAATTATTTTTTATTTTATCATGTAAATAAATCAAAACTGTAAAAGCGTGATACACATTAAGTTTAAGTGCATTATTAGCTAAGTAGTACCTACATAATTAAAGATATTCCCCTTTCCTTAGGATTCTTGGGGGTAAAAATGAAAAAAAAAGTTATTTTGCACACAAATTTCAAAGCATTAGATAAAGGGCCCCGATGATTTTACACTTGAGAGACTCCTAATCAGATCAACACAGCTTTGGAGAGGTTCCTTAATTTTAGGGGAGTCATATACCAATAGTGAAACTCCCAAACCACGTATCTCGGTTTGCGACGTAGCAGACTTTCTGCCATACTTAATTTTTTTAAATTGAAAGTTACTCAACAGCAATTCTTAAAAGCTTCTAGGATTTTCTTATCCGCGTATGCAAAGCAAATTCTGAAAAAACTTCAAAATCTGATGCTGATTTGTTCTCCTTTAAAAAAATGAAATACAAGCGGAGATTTTTAAACACCTCATATGAGATACATGGTTTGGGAGTGTCACAGTCGATATTTCATGTTTGTACAATGATGACAAGAATTGAAACACAACTTGACATCGTGTACCTATTTTTGCAGAGATTATAGTATTTTAGACTCCAAACTTTTGATTTTAGTCTTTTGAGATTCAGAAAAGAGGTTGAAGAATACGAGATTTGAAAGTGAAATAAAGAGAGAGAAATAAAAAGTTTAATTTCACTTCTTCTTTTTAATTACGTACTTATTTTTCAGTCATACTAAAAATGTGCAATCATTTCTTTTGAAATTGAAATTGCTTACCTATTTTGAAATTCCATTTAAACATGGAACAAATGAATGAGCACTTCAAGCCATTAAAATTTGATAGACAATCAATCAAAAGAGCCAACACATACGATCATGATTGTTTGTGTTCATTTAGACCTATTTGTATTCATGACCATATTTGAGCTCCATACATCTATAGAATACTACAGAAGGATCCTAGTCTGATGACACACATCTCTAGATCAAGAAATCCTAGAAGTCTGCCAGCTGCATATTTGATGAACTTGACCTTATGCAACGATCAGTGTTCCTTGGCTAGCTGTCAGTAATTATTGAAAGAAAAAAATTTGGACACGTCTTTCTGTTTTGGTAAAATGGAACTTCATGCCTATTTATGTAGTGAGAGTAAGGACAGTGAATTAAAAAGCAAATGTGAAAAAACAATAACAAATTACTAATTTTGCGAATTTCACTCCTCATACAATTTCCTGTTCCAGATAAACATTCAGGATCAAAGTCTCAGTCCTAAAGTCTTTTTTAGAATGGATTTTAGGATTTTAGGTTTTAGGGATGTCTCACTGCTTTTCAACATGCTTTTAAAGCAGTCAAAAGTCATTAGAATCAAGTCGGAAACAGATAAAAATGTGATCATGTGAGAAACAAGTTACCAAGAGGCTTCATCACGTTTTTTGAACAGGAAAAAGATGGATTCAAAATCTTATGAAAATTTGATCATGTGAAAAAATGAGACAAACATCTACAACCACAATCAATGATGATATTTAATTGTCGTTCTCGTTATATGAGGGGAGGGGGGGGGGGNCGTCCAAAATGACCGAAAACTCTTCTCTTCTCTAAATTGAACTAATTTCAGGACATTATTCTAATTACTTCCTCGACACTTTCTTAATATATTATTTTTAACATACTTACTTTAATCTTCTTTTCTGAGGGTATTGTCCCAATCCTCAAAAAAATTTCAGCTGAATTCATTCCACCTATGAAAAAGGAAACATAAGAGAAATATAGTGTGAAACATTAATCTTTTTTGGATAAAATAATTTTTGGGTACTAAAACAACTGATGTCTTTCGAAGTTTTTAAGAGAAAAAATAAGGAAAAAACTTAGAAGGTAAGACAACAAAGATTTGCTACTACAATTTCAAAAATTCTCATGCGCCTTTCCTTAATTTTTTTTCTTCTTTTTTCCTTAGATATGACTAAAGTCTCAGCATATATCATTTAAAAATTATCATGAATATTATCCTCTAGACTGTTTGCAACAAAATAAAAAAAAAACATTCCTCGCTGAACACTAGTGATCAGTGAGAAACAATCAAAAGATCTGTAACATCAGGAAATGATAGATGAAAAGAATTATTTAACGTTTCCTGATTTTCCTTTACTTCTCTCCTTCTTGAAAAAACTCTCAGAGTATCTGGTTCCTCTCAATATAGGTCTACCTGCTTCTTTGGTTAAATGTAAAATTGCAAACAGATAGACAAAATTGAAATAATTGATGAATAATTAATCGAGCTAACACTTGGAGGGCATTATATTTTACCTTCAAAATTTTTCTGCAAGTAGACTGTCCCCAAGTCAGTGGGTATGGAAGCAAATCCACATGCACTGATTACATATACTCCTTTTTCTTCCGCTGCTTTATTATATTTCAGCTGCATTAATTCCATATACTGAAAAAATGCGAAAAAAAAGTTGAGACACCTAATTATTCATGTTTTCCCTTTCAACTGAAGGAATTAAAGCTAACCATTCCATGAATGAGGTGTACCTATTATCCATTACAGAAAGGATTGAATGATATTGAATTACAAAAAAACTACCTAAACTTAAAATGGTATTCAAGAAATCAGGCATCAACTTGACAAAACATTCAATGAATAAAGAAAAATTAAAAGAATAAATGCACACTCTGTTTCTGAAACTATTCTACATACACTGATCAAAAGGAGACACGATGCTGAAATTTGCGGATTTCATTTCTTCAAGAGAAAGGAGAGGGAATTTTAATCCTGAATATAACAAAAAAAAAAAAAAAATAGAAATAAAATGTTTAAGAAAACCTGCTAACTACGAAAAAGGTTCTTTACCTGAGGCTCAGTGCTGATATCTAAATGATGAGTGCCACTTTCAATACAAGCTTTTACCACAGCTTCACCAAGGAATCTGTATGGACCACAACAATTCACCAAGACTTTAGTGCGTGATGTCATTGCTTTTAAACTTTCTGGATCCTTGACATCGGCTATTACAAGTGGTACATTGGACCAGTCCTCACCTAAAAGAACAAAGAAGTTCTCATCAATGATTGAAAAATATACACAAATTGATTGCGGTGGATGCACCGGTCGTAAGACAGTAGGTTGGAGTTTTTTAGCCAACATGCGTTAAAATTCAGCATAAAGCTGAAAATCTCAAAACGGAGGAGAAAAGCTAATAAATGCACAATTTTCCCTCAAAGAGATATGTTGTTTGGTGCAACACTAGATACGATCATTTAAGAGCGCAACTACAGACGCGTTTTGACCTATGAGCTTTTTCCCTCTGTATGAGATTTTCAGCTTCATGCTGAATTTTCAACGCACGTTGGCTAAAAAACTCCAATATACTGAAAATACTGAAAAATATACCTGCCAGCCTGTCAGAGAGAATATTGTCAACTACATATAAAGATAAGGCATAGGCGGATCCAAGGGGGAGCCTCGGCGCGTCGGTTAGCATGAAACATATATTAGCGCCTACAAGACTCCGTGAATACTTCACGCATTGCGTCAAATGTAGTGCGGTCGGCAGCGGTTGGCGTGGAACTCATAGTGCCTACAAAACTGCATGAGTACTTCACGCATTGCATCAAAAACAGTGCGGTCGGCATGAAACGCATAGCGCCTATAAGACTGAAGGGGATACTTCACGCATTGCGCCAAACACGATGCGGTTGGCGCGGGTGCGGAAATTAAGATTATTAAACCATATTCATGTTTATTCTCTCATAATTTTTTCGTTCATTTCTTATAAATGAAAGGCCCTGTCCACACAGAGATAGGTTTATGGAACTGAACTTTCGCGCGAAGTTCCGTGAACTTTTGCTAGTGTTGACAGGGCATTCACAAAAAATGTGCCCAACACGAGTATACGCGTCTTATGCACCCCTCCTCCTCCGGCGCGTTCACCTTATAGTTTGTATCGATGTTTCAAAACGAACGAGATAGGGGGCGGCAAAATACAGGCGGCCCATGGGCGGCAAGTAGGTAAACCCGGCCCTGAGCAGAATCTCATTTTTTTGCAATCTTCAGGAACAAGTGTTCGAAATTACAGTTTAAGGGTTGTGACTATTTCAAACTCTAACATATTCTACTTTAGAATTGACCTTGGGTTGCGCGATGTTATCACTTGCTTGTCATTAGAAACATAGTAAACTTTCAAACGCAATTTACTGAAACTAAGTTTTTGCCTACGTCCCCTTTTTCCGGCAATGTATTCAACTGTCGAAAATTACAGAAATAAGGTAGTACACATCATACAAGACGTACATTGTTCACACAATCTGACTAAATTTAAGAAAAATCACGTTAATTAGAAAATAAGTTCAGGGAGTAGGTAGGTATTGATAAATTATAAAAGTTAAAGAGTTCAATGTCAAGGGTTAAGTGATATGTTGATTCATAGGAGCAGCCGAAATTTGAGAAGAGAAAAAGGATGTACCCAAGTAGCAGTGATCGAGATAAATAGCGACTTTATCGGTTGAATATCGCAATTATATCGGTGGCAATTTATCGCAATATTATCGAATTATTATTATTATTATTATTATTATTATTTTTGGTATTATTAATATTATCGAATAAGAAATTGCGATTTATGGCGATTAAATCGCTATACATCGCAATTTTTTGTTCAATAAAATAGCGATCAATTTCCGTCGATAAAATCGAGATTAAACCGCCATATATCTCGATTTTTGTTGCGATGATATCGCGATAAATTGCCGGGCGATAAAATCGCGATTTTATTGCGACAAGATCGAGGATAATCACTCAGGTGTTGATGATCTTAGCGATTTTATCGCCGGCAAAATCGCAACAAATCGCGATTTTTCCGTTGAAAAATGCTACTTGGGTATAGGTACTTAGAACTGGGCCGTACCTAAGTATAAGAAAGATGGAACCTCGTAAATAGCAGATTATTCAATTCACATCGCAGGGTCCGTTCAAATATAAATGATAATTTGAGGAAAAGTTACTTAAACTTGCTGTGAGGAAAAAATAAAAAAAAACCTTACGTACCAGTTTTTTCTGAGGTTTTCCTCAAAACTCCTTGGAGCTTGTCTTTGTTACGGCCTGCAATGCCCCACGTGAGGCTACCATACTCTTTAGCAAGCTTCGCCAATTCATTCACAACATACTGGCCAGTGTAACCCGTAGCACCAAAAACTAAAATTTCTATCGACCTTAGGTCGGCCATGTTTCGTGTCTACCTGTAGGACATGACAAAATAAATACTTTCAATTAGCTCATGACAGAAAATCGTAAACATTGGGATGGTTTTACAAACTCAACAATTTATAGGTGTCTTCGGTCGAAAAGGGTCTTTTTAAAATTATTGATTTGAAATCACAAGTAGAATATGCATCTATCAATTGGCTCTATTAATAAGTTCAAAGTTTTCGACAAAATTTTGATCTCATCGTGTAAATATTAATTTTGAGTGAAATAAATAAGAAGCACAGAAATATGTGATTTATGAAGGTTTAAGAGTAAAAATTGCCAAAATAACTGCAAGACAGAACGAATTTTACAAGTACAAGATAATTACCCATTACAAAGTAGGTCTCCTTTAAATATTAAAAGAAATTGTAAAAATTGAAAAATTGTATGCACATCACTGAATTAAAGTTACCTACTCAGGAGTTCTGAATGGGTGTGGCTTGAATTCAGGAGGACCTCATTGACATAAATAAAAGCTGAAGATTTGATACTAAAAAAATAATAAATAAAAAAACCCTCGGGTTCTCTCGCCGATTTGTATTGCTTGACTAGATCGGTCACCTATAAAATTTATACCCTGATGAAATAATATATGTAAGTAAATAATGTCGATAATGAACAATAAAATTAGGGGGGGGGAAAAATAAGAACTAAGAACTAAGGTTACGGATTTTTAAAAAATGGCGAGTGGAAAAAACATTAAAATAAAGAAATTTAAAATTAAAAAAAAAAAAAAAACATGAATGAAATAAAGATCAATAACTTAAACCGCCTTTCCTTCGTGCAACAACGACGTATGATTGCAATGAGTGACACATTCTGTTATCACAAGCGGAGAAAATAGAGATCGCTCCCACTTTCTCAATGGCTAGGTCTGGATGCGACTATTCGTGTTCTCAGGATCCTGTTGTTACATACACAAAACATTACGGGCGCTCTGGTGTCTTTAGGTACAACAAAGTATGGCTGCAGTCGGGGATGCAGAAAGTTCTTTGCTTTCACATGTTTTGAGGTTGCGCCTTCACGTTGCTATCTACATGAGACTTGCGCGCTTCACCATTTCCTTCGCATACTCTACGTTTTACTATTTAATCCGGATCAAAGAGCTTGCTTTACAATTTCCTTCCCACAAGAGAGCGCGTTGCACAGTTTCTTCCGCAAAAAGCAATAGGCTAAGCAGGTTTAACCTTGCTACCTTCACATTTCTTTACCTCTTGGTGTTCAATGGTTAATGAGCGCCTGTAATTTTTTGTGTATGCAACACGGACATCCCGAGAACACGAATAGTTGCATCCAGACATAGCCATTGAGAAAGCGGAAGCGCCTTCAATTTTTCCACTCGTCATAACAAAATGTGTCACTCATTGCGTTCATACGTCGTCGTTGCACAATAAGATAGGGCGGCTTCGGCATTTAATCAAATTAGTAAGTTGCTTGAATATAAATAAGAAAAAATCGGAGCATCAGTGCGGCAAAGTCTGAGTTTTATTTTTACAATAAAAAAATCGTATTACATGGTCTTGGAGAGTTAGCGGTTTCGATTACATTTTGATGACTCGATTTTAATTAATACGATCATCACGGCTACGGAAGAGAATGAAAAAATCAAGGGAGGATAAAAAAACTTGTAGAAAAAACTGCCTCTCACCACGGAAATAAAGCGTTTGCGGAACTTTCACATTGTTCACAAGAAGCGTCGCTCCTGTGGCGTGATTGTGTATCTCAATGTCCGCATGAGCCCCAAAAAGCATGGATTTATAAATTTAAAAAGGTGCAAATGGAAATCTACATACGCCCTTACGACGGAGGGGCGACGCGACGGAAGCAACTTATCATGTCGGTCACGGGGTTATTTTTCTGGAAGGTTTAATCAAGAATCAAAAGGTGTTTGAACTTATCCTAAATAGAGCAGTAAGTGCCTGCTTCGCATGATACAAAGGCAAGGCTCATCGTCATCAGTACGTCTTGTATCGTCCGATCTTTCCTCAACAGTATTCAGTCTGTTTTTATTTGTATTTCTTTGAATTTTCGTGAATGTTTTTAGTTTTCTTCCTTCTCCTCGAGTAATTTTTAACAGGTTTTTGAATAAAGTCTTCAATAATTTCAAAAATGAACTGCTGACTCTACTAGACATGTGACCCATCAGTAGAATTAGTAAACAAAAATCTCTTCCGATTAAAAAAAAAAAAAAAAAAAAAAATTGAAAATCGCATGTACTTAAAAAATTAATTGCCAGTGATGATTTTAGAGGGAGGGATAAAAAAATAAAACAACTACATTCGAAATAGAATTAGCCAGGAAAAACTCGAGAAATTCATCATGCACGAAAAAGAAATTGAAAAAAGTAACCCACCTCAGAAATAATATGGGTATCCAATTAAAACCGCACACCACACAAGAGAGACAGAAAGAGGGGACTCTTCAAGCCGTCATGTAACTAGCTTCGCGTAGAGGCATAGACTGACCGGTTGCCTCATGCGTTAGACATAGACTGAGAGGGAATCACACAAGACACGTGCGCGGAGAGAGGGAGACAAATTTTGGACGGCCTCCTCTTGGCGCCTTTGCTGAGGAAAAACTGAAAAACGGCACTGGAGCCGCACATGAAAAACTAACTCCACTGGTCACACCCTTCCTCCCACCTTTTAACAACTTTCATAAAGTTTGATACCACACAAAACGACGAGAGACAACTTGCCGCGAGGGAAGCCACGATGAAGCAGGTGCTTTGCATTGTTGCGACTCCACAAAAAATAAAAATTGCCTGGATTCATTCACAGACTTGTGTCCAATTAGAACCTCCGCAGGTAAAGAATACTGCCGTGCTGAGGAAAAACGCCGTATGAGCCTTCAGGCGTTGCCAAATTTTCTGTGGTAAAATACTAAATTCCTGGTACCCTTATAAATATTTTCCTCCCAATGTTTTAGATAATTTTGTTCGCAATTTCCCCTAAAGTTCCTGATAATTTCAACGAAAAATATTCACAACTTGCCTGAAAAATAAACGTTTTTGAGGTGCTGGGTGTAGAAAAGGCATTTCTTGGTTGCGGTGTCTCAGAATCTCCGCTTACGTTTCATCTGTCACGAAGTTAGAAAATTTATGGAATTTGTCGAAACTTCCACCGAATTTTCTTAATGATTTTACAATGCTGAAAATGAAAAATTTAAAAATTCGGTAGTTTCCTCTCTATAGTATAAATTAGCAGCGGAGACTTTTAAACACCACAACCAAAAAATGCCCTTTCCGCACCCAACGCCTCAATTTTGTGTTGTTGTATAAAAATAAGAGAAGGATTTTTCCAGACGATCTTCATAGAGATCTCTGGTCAGTTTTCCTTTGAAGAATAAGATGAGAAGAGCGCTAACAACGCCGCGAACCAAAACACACATTTTCCGACTCTAAAATGATTCGATGGACGCTATATTACGCGCGTCAGAACGACTTGCGATATGTTGCATCGAATATGTTCCATCTTTTCAGCTACTTATAATTTTTCTCGAATTTTGAGATTGCACTTCCGTTGTCAGGACACTAAAGAATTCACTTACCAATTTTGATAAACAAAAGCAACGTAATAAAGGCGCGTGGTTTTTTTGGAGGAAAAACGTCGCATTCGATACTGATATCGAAACTTCACTCGAATGCGATATTTTCTCTCTAAGAAACCACACCTAAATTACGTTGAATTTTTCTGTCAAAATTGGTGAGTTTTTCAGTCTCCTGACAACGGAATTGCGATCTCAAATGACGAGTAGCTGAAACAAATGGAACCATTCGATGCAATATTTGCAGTTTTGACACAAAATATAACGTCCATAGACCTTAATTCAAACTTCTTGGCGATTTGGCGCCTGTGGAAGTGGAATACTTGTGCTGCGCCGCGCCGCCGCCGGACATCTCCTCATACAGCGACCACACCGGGCGGGGCTTGCTGGGTATACGTTTGGTATACGTTCAAGACGGAAACAACCGTCCAGGATCTACGATTCAACATTACTTTATGGAATGCCTCCGTCAATGATCGTGCGTCCAGAGATCCATTGATCATGAGCGTAAACAAACGTAGAAAGAGCATGTTGCGGGGGGGGGGGGGGTGTTTGGAGGAAGGGAGGGAGGGGAGGAATTGATTACATGCACTTGTTACCGGACGTAGATTATTATAATTAGTCAGTCTTGTTTATGTTCTCATCATTCATGTCGCTTATTTTCTATGACGATGGCATCCGAAGAAGAGGATGAGGGCGAACAAGAAGTAATTGAGATGAGCAAGTTACTATTAAAAAATGTCGGTCGCTTAATTAATTGTAATTGCTGGGGGCAAAAATCAGGATCAAGGAAGAGGCAGCAACCCCCATCCCCTCCCCTCTTGCAAAAAATATCCAGTTTGAGAGGATTATCTATTATCTTATTATTATCTCACATTCTGTAATAAAGATTTTCGCGAAACGGCCAGTGGAAGGCTCATCTAGCTGAATTTCTCCAACTTAACTGTTCTTTTAAATCGGTGGTTTTCATTTGATCGGATTGGTTGTTGAACTTGATTTTTCCTTTGCTTTCGAGATTTTGTAGTTCTGATGTTACTGCTTATCTGCGATGCGCATTTCGGACGTTAACTCATCTTCAGTCACTGTGTAATCACGTTTTTTGAAAACGCACGTTACTTATACGACACGCATAATAATAAAAACTAATACAAAAGACCATAAACACGAAAGCTAAAATGTGATAAATGCTAAGATACCGGTTATTGATAGACGTGATACCGCGTGCACATTATTACCCGCTAGGATTTTTTTTTCCCCCCCGCAAAACGTGATTATACAGTGCCTGAGGATGGATTAACGTCCGAAATGGGCATCGCAAATAAGCAGTAACATCAGCGGAACAACAAAATCGGGAAAACAAAGGAAAAAGTAAGTTAGGTACTGTTTTTTGTTCATTCAGGGCCTATATTTTACGGAATGCATCAAGATTTGGTCATTTTCGGTCTTTTTCTGGGTCTATCATTGGCCTAAACATTGGTCTGGAGACCGAATCTGGAGAGAAATGCGGATTTTTCGGCATTTGGCGCAAAAATCGGCTCTCGGACCCATGGTATAGTACGAAGCAAGTTGCTCAAAATTTTCAGAGGAATCCACACAAACGTTATCTGGTAGAATATTGAATTGCCCAGTTAAATATGGCAATAGCTGATGAGGCTTCGTTCCTTTCTGTTGAACGCGGTCCAATTTGCCCTCATAACCAAAATTTTTACTCGAATAACTTTCCTTTGAGTCTCATTTCATACGTCAATTACGTCTATTTTTTCAATCTAAAGAGCTCATAGTCTCGACGTAATACAACTATTTCGACTTCGAAAGAAGCGAAATTGTATACCCACGAAATAAAGGGGAACGTAAACTTTTTACGGCTGACTCGGAGACTTTAACGCAGAGTAATAAAAGTTGGATGAGGCGAAACACGTGATACAACTATCTTGACTTCCAAGAAGACAAAATTGCATACCCGCAAAATGAAGGAAAAGGACACCTTTCCGACTGACTCGGAGACTTAAACGCAGAGTAATAAAAGTTGGAGGGTGCGAAACACGTGACAAAACGATTATATTTTCCAAGAAGATACAATTGCGTATCCACAAAAAGAAAGAGAACGTGGCGTTTCGTATCATAGCAACCATTCGGTTCTTAAATCCAACTTTTAGTTTGTATAACCAAACGTTTGGTTTTTAGAAGGAACCGAACCTAAGAGGTTTAAAGAATTGATGAAAAATTAAGTTCGGTTACATTAACTGAGCGTTCGATTTCACGAGTAAAATGATCGCATTTCTTCTGAAGAGTGGACACTCAATGCACTGATTTTTATCAATCTGGCGTGGAAAGGTTAAATTTTTTGGAATATTACAGCGAAAGCGTTATAAATGTTTGGGAATTACTGGGAACGCGCCATATCATAGTAACGTAGACTGAATCCCTGGTTGCCAGAAACTGCATAGAGGCCGAAGAATTTTCTGCACCCCTAGACAAAGGCTTAAGTCACCCTTTTCCGATCTACTCTTAAGACTATCGATATACATGATCAGCGGCGATTCAACTTGCATCTGAATGTTCCAATCAATCTCGCGTTGCAAGTTCTCGAGTCGTACAGTCACAGAGTTGGCTTCACCTTGCAAAACACATTTACAACGTTCCAAATCGGAGACAACTCTCATAATTTTTTGGACCGTAACCAAACTTCTCAGTATTCAATTTCGGCATCACTTACTAATCTTCCTCTACAATATAAAATTAATAGAGTAACGCGTAAAGCCGTAACGCATAAAGCCTCAGGTGCGAGGCGCTTCGGGGGGTTGGACCGCGTAGCGGTAACAGCTCGAAGCCCTCTACTTAGGAAATTAAAAAAATTAGTGAACTTTATAGACGCTTTGAGCATTGGACCAGTCAAAAATACTTAACATGACGCGGAAAATCATCTGATTTGCGTTATAGATTACCTACAGGAGTCGGCCCAGGGTGTCGACTGAGGTCCACAAAAAAAAATTAAGTACTCTTTAAGTACTAAAAGAAAAAAATTAAGTACCTCTCCTTGGGGAAAAATTAGACCTTTTCACGACGTATCGCACTTCTTCGATAGCAATGGGCCTGTTGCAAACTTTTGCTAGAGCAAAAATAAGAGTTGTTTCTTATAGATAATGCCTCAAAAATCACGATGAGCGCATCGGCAAAGTCTGAAATGCAATCATAACTTCACAGTCTGCGTAAGAAATTTGCGGTTTTTTGAGCTTCCCGCTTCAAAAGCGATACTACGGCACAGGTGAACATTTTGTAAGAGGAGTCGTTCCATCGTCGGCAATACTCATCATGGCCGACGCCAATCCGCCAAAACACGTGTGATGGGACGAGATAATACCTGAACTGGATTAGACCAGATAACAATTGGCGTGTTTTACGTTCATGTTTTCCACGCCCACATTGATTGACCTTGAACTCTCCTCGAATTACGCGCAAAACTGCGCGCAAGTGTCGGCCATGATGAATATCGCCGACGATGGAGCGACTCCTCTAACAAAATGTTCACCTGTGCCGTAGTATCGTTTTTGAAGCGGGAAGCTTAAAAAAACGCAAATTTCTTACGCAGATTGTGAAGTTATGAGTGCATTTCAGACTTTGCCGATGCGCTCATCGTGATTTCTGAGGCATTATCTATAAGAAACAACACTTATTTTTGCTCCAGCAAAAGTTTGCAACAGGCCCATTACATCGATTAGTTTGACTCAGCCAAATCCTAACAAAATTACTTCCTATTTAGACTGCCGTGCTATTAAAGTCACAGTATGAGCTTTCAGGCATTGCCAAATTTCCTTTAATACAACACAAATTGAAAACAGTAGTTTCTAATTGCAAGATGAAGTCCAATCAGAGGTGATCCGTATGCGCTGTCTTTTGGAAGAGCGGATTTTTTAGTTGAGCGCGTGAAAAATTGCAAGAGGACACTGGAAAAAAAAAACACATCGGATCTAGAGTCCAGACTCTTGAAAACATTGAAAAGAAAAAGGACTCTTGATTCAAGCAGATTTAAGCTTAAATCAAAAGGAAATCCGCTCAAATCAGGAGGCTTGGTTCTTGATTTAAGCTTAAATCTGATTGAATCAAGAGTATTTTTTTCTTGTCG